ATTGTGTCGAGTGTACTAGAGTACCAGATTCTCAGAGAATGTACTAGATCTAGTACAATTGTACTAGACTGGCAACACTGTCCTCAAGTCAATAATAATTGGTGAAAAAAAATTACTCGTGCTTCCATATATTCTCTCGCCAAGCCAGATCCGTAATTAAAATTTTTTATTCAAATTACAAACAATTTAAAAATGAAAAATAGTTTACCTTGTAGTGGAAGTATATAGGTACATTCCAGAAAACAAAAATATTTTCATTTTATTCATTTCCAATATTAACTTGGGTTAATCTTTCTTATTTTCTTCTTCTATTTTGATTTTTCCTTCCCATTATTCATTCCGATTCATCTAAACCCTCGTCATGTAAATCGTTTACTGGGATGAACATTTTATTGGGTGAATTTAAAAAACACAAAGATAGAACATAAATAGGACATATAAAGCATTATTTGTATTTTGGAAAAAAATATATTTGAAGTGCAAATTTATAACTCATGACTAATGACCATGACTGATAACGATTCTAATATTTTCAACATATAAGTAATTCCAGAAGAGCACCAGATTCTCAGATAATGTACTAGATCTAGTACAATTGTACTAGACTGGCAACACTGCTGACAATACAATTTTTAATGGAATTCGTAATTAATATGGATTAGTAAAACAAGTAAAACATTAATTTATTATTATTATATATTTTTATCGCTTAAACTAAAAAAAATTAAGTATATTTAATAAAAATCAATAATAAAATAAAGGCAGGCAACATTATTTACGGGAAAATGTATGAGAAGTTGCCTAAGTCTAATAAGTTGTCTTTGAAGAATTAACCTATTCTTTCTCTTACCTATGATTCTGTCAAAATAAAAAAATACCTCTAAATAATAGCGTGAAGTTAAAATGTATAAACATAAGGATTATTTCATTTTTGTTCAAAAGAAAACAGAATGAATAATTAAAAGTGGTTTCCTATCAAAGTTATAAAATTCCATTCCAGCCACATACCACAAAGGCAGAAATGTAGTTCTTGATGAACAGTTAAGATTAAAGGGATGTTGAAGAACATCATAAAATGATATTTATTGTTTATTTAAAACCTTTCAAGTTTCTAATGTCTACTATTTTCAGTATTACTGTTATTATTACAAAAATAAAGGTAATTTTTCTTCTTATTGTACACCTATCCATTTATTTCTTTGATTCAATTTCCACTTTGCTACTGAAATTTTTTATAATTTACTCTGTTTTTTTTGCTAGTATTTTTACAATTTTCAATACAGGAACTCCGGTTTCTTATTGTATTGTTTTTACCTACTTTTTGAAAAAAAAAAAAAAGTAAAATGTATACGTGTATTTAATATACCAAAATTACAAAATTTCGCCCTAAAATGCACGAATTAACCGCAGCTAGCGCTTCCCCTACCATGACTTCGCACAGAGCGATTCAATGGGAGTTTCTTTCTTTTTAAAATGAACACGTAAAGTTGACGTATTGCAGGAAGCAAAAGACCACTGAGTAACGCTGTCAATCTAGAGTTAAAGACTAAACAATTTAAAAAGAAAAGCTGCAGTTTCGCTTTTGATAGTACAACTTGGATGCGTGATTTTCAATTAAAACGAAATTAAAATGTCATTTACATGAAGAGGTAACTCTGTAAAAAGCGGAACAAGCAGTCAGTTTTATTTAATTACCATTGAAATTGAAGTTATTTCTAGGAAGTGGTGTAATATCTCCATGCTGCAGTTACCTTGAATAAATAATTCCCATATCATTTTAATGCCGGATGGTTGAATTTCAATTTCTGAAATAATAAAACATATTTAGTGTTAATAAGAAATATGGTAAAAGAAAATATAAAAAGTTTCAGATTAAAAAGGAATCAACCGTCCTCTAAAATAGTTTGTTATAATTTGAACAGGTATACAGAGTGTACTTGAAAACAATGCATATTTTAAAGAGTTTATTAACCCAATCCATGTATCTGCCTTGAGGCAGACTTTATTGTTTCCTCTACTCTAAATATCATTTACACATATCAAGACTTATGACATATCTCCACCCACACCTATATAAGTCTTGAGTATGGGTAAAATGTATTTAAAGAGGAAAAAGTCTGCACCAAGGCGGACAAATACATTACAGGCTTGAAGAAATACTATGAGCATGGCTTGTAAAACGAAGGTAAGTAAAAGTATACCTTACTGTTTTGGAATATACATATGTTTAGACATAAGATATTCTTTATTTTTTAATTAACAACTAAAAATAAATAAATAAACAAACTCTCCATCGGTTTTGTTATTTTTGATTTATTCTGTCTATTCTCATTCTGCATTTGAAATACATGACAGGATGCGATGTGAAACTGATTAATATCTAGGGATATTAATTTTTTTAGATTGAGGAATTGTCAATAAATCCAACAAAAACCTTCATATATAAAAAATATTTTTGATTCATTTCTCACTGTCTATTTGCAGGCTTACCGTGTTCAAGATAAAATCTATTTCATTTTAAGTTTAAGAAATTGCAGAAACTTTTACTAGATATAAAAAAGATTTTGCCTGAAACTTCTGAAATATTTAAACTGTCGAAAACCTGCATTAAAAAACATTCAAGTGGCCGAAACTTCTACACTAAGAATCATTACCAAGATGCGACATCCTGAAAACCCTACTCACCATCCAGCGAATGAATATCTTTACGAAAAAACTAAGATTTAGCCTATCCTGGAAAGAATTAGAAAACTATCAAAACATTTCTCGAAGAAACGAAACAATTACATGTCAATAAACATTTTTTCGATGCAACGACAAATTGGTCAAGCAAAGTTTAAATACCCAGTGAGATCAATAACAGAAATCTTAAACGAATTTGCTGATGAACAATAATTAGTGGCACATACTGTTTTTTTTAAGTATCTTAATATTCGTATTCATCTTACACATAATCCTCATACATACTATACAAATTGTACTGGCTGAAGGACCTAAGTCGATGGCCATTTGGTTGTAATATTTATAACCAATATAAAGTGCTTTTATTATTATTATCACTTCTGAAATATTTTTGAACTTACGTTGTTGCACTGGATGTGTAATATTGTCGTGCTATCCATTTTCAACCGGTTCAAGCCTGATCTTCGTTTACGATTTTTTCGTTCCATTTTAGCCGCCCGTTTGTATGCCGCTACCGCTTGATGATTGAAACAAATGGACTCCAACGAGAAGTTACTGGAAAACTCTAGCACACACGTGGATGCATGGGGAAGAACCATCTCGAAGTCTGCGAAACAGGACTGGATTTGTCTGGAGCATAATATTTTTTGTATATAAATGGATTCTTTTGCCGTTTGAGTTTTGATTACAAACAAATTAGTTATAAAATAAGTTGCTTTATTTATTAAATGTAAAATAGAATAATTAAACATAACAATATGTTAATATTTGTTGAGTCCATGCTCCATGGCCCCCTCTCTGTAGCCACCTTTGCCTTATACTATACTATATTTATTTTTTTGTTATAAAGCAGAACCTACCAGTAGCCCACCCTGTAGGAGAGTGGTCACTATTACTAGAGATTGATCAATTTGTATTATTATCATGTAATTCAATATATTTTGACATCTCTGCTACTTGGATTTACATAACTTTTTTGTAATTCCATATTTCAGATAATTGTAACATTAAGTGTGGTTGATTTTTAGTAATACTCATATCATTTCTTATTAATGTATTGGAAGGTTCATAATGTTTAAAAATAACTTAAAACTTACCTTCACAAACGTTACATCTATTTTTTTTTTCATTGGTAAGCAAGAATTAATTAATTTTTATCAAATAGTCTGCCAATGTTTCTATTGAGATGCTTTTAGTTATAATTAACTGTCAATGGAACCAAAATTTTGGCACACTTTAATGACGTATTCAGGCTCGAAAAGAGTTTCCATCAAACAAATACTAGATATGTTCATAAAATGTTATTATAAATAATTATTGTATTGTGTTTGTTTGTTATATACCAGTAAAAAACAAGAGAATAAAATTAATGAATTTAGAAATATCCCTATGGCTGAAAAAGAAACTAATGTTTAAAAATAATTTCTTTAATACATTATTGGATATTAAATAAAATTTTTCAAATAAAAAAATCACAAATTACGTGTCTGAAAATTCTGAATGTAACATTCCTACTTCACTGTTCGCGAGATATAAGAAAAATTTGATGTGTCCAACATATGACTTTCCTATCTAGTTTATAGGCTTTTTCCAGTTATTTTGTACAACCTATTTCAGCATCTCTATAAATGTTTAGAGGATAAACTAAATATATACATTGTCCACATACATCTACCTCGAAACATTTTTCTATATTCATTGAAAACGAAAATACTGAAAAATTTAAATTTAGCACTCCTACAATTTTTCCATTACGGTCCATTTTAGAAAAAACATGTATAAACAAAAATTATAGAGATATCGCAAACAACTTTTAGTTCAACAATTTTCATAAAAATCAGAATTCTGCACATTTTGTCAAATTTCTCGAATACGGACTATTTCAGGAAATTTTTACATAAAGGAAAAATTATAGATAATAATATTGGAAGTAACTTTTATTTGAACAATTTTTGTCTCCAAACATAAATAACAGATATATTCCATAAAATATAAAAACGGCCTCCCATAAAGTACCTCCCCAGATGTTCCGACTTTGTCCAAAATCTAATCATTTCACGTCAGGCCGAAATAAAACTTAAGTTTAAAACTTAATGTTTTTTCTTTATCCGTTTTTGAGTTTTCTTCAAATTTCGAAATTTACACATTTTCCCAAATATCTCGAATAGAGAAATTATGTATAGGATAAAAACAACTTTTGTTTGAACAATTTTTATAAAAAAATATTTTTCTCGAATACGCACCATTATAGGAAAATTTTGTATAGAGCAAAAATTATAGATACTAATATAAGAATTAACTTTTATATGAAGAATTTTCTTCCCCAAACGTAAATAACAGATATATTCCATAAAATATAAAAATGACCACCTATAAAGTACCCCCCAGATGTTCCGACTCTGCCCAAAATCTAATCAGCTCATTGGACGCTAGAACAAAGTTTAAGTTTAAAATTTGGTGTTTTTCTGTGTATCGGTTCATGAGTTATGGGACACACACACATCATCGCGAAAATAGTCAAAACGGATTCAGGGGACCTCAAAACGTAAAAATCCGTCGAAAACTCGAGGTAGAAAAAAATTATGATTCCTATACTTTCCTTATATCTGTATACAGATAGGAAAGTAAAAAATCGCCAGTGAGAACCGTAATTCTGATGACAACATAGCTTCATCAAGTTCTAAGGCAGAGAAAAATGCTGAAGATAACATTCATACTTCAATAATAGGGCGGTATAAGAAAATACAAACTACAGAGAATGATACACCTATAGAAATAGAACATATTATTTTATCTAGCACTGATGATTCTGTTAAAGAAAATGAAGATATTATACATGTAAGTAATGAAGACGAGTATACTAAAAGTTCACCAACAACTATCTTGTCCTATTTAATTCTAGCTTGTGCAATACTATCTAATATCCCAATAAGCCGTATGGAGAACAAAAATTGGCTAGAATTGTCTTCGTTATTGAACAATAAAAATTTCAAATGTGTAATACTCAAAACTAATAGAAAATTACATCTCAAGCGATGATTTCACAGATAAAATTATTTACATTTCAAGTAACATTTTTAAATCTTGTAGAGTTAACTTATTTTTATTGACCTGGCTACTTCCAGTCAACATACTATTTTTTTTCCTGGAGGTCTAAAAATCTTTTTTCTATGGTATTCATCATTATAAATTTATAAACAAATACCGGTTTCTCCTGACCATCTCTGTATATTCTATCTTGGGCCTGTTTCTCCAGTTGTGGATTCCAATGTAAATCCAGAAGTATTAAATGATTGGCCCACACCAAATTCAATCCCACACCACCAGCAGTTAGGGAAAGCAAGATAATTTTCATATTGTTATTTGGATTATTTAACCTACAAATTAATAAAGGAACGTCAGTATCAAATACAAAAAGTGACTCGCTATTTACGAAAATTCATATTTTCTATCAAATTTTGTTAACAATTTTTCATTTTTTTGCCACTTTAACACACCTGGATTTTTAAGATATTGCATAGCTTTTATCGCAGGCTTTGAGTGGCGACCGAATTAAGAAATTTCACACCGTAACGAAAAAACCTAACACCCCCCACTCCGACCGGCACAGCGGTACGGCGTTGAAAGCCGTGCATCGTCTAACGTCGTTTCAGTTCGGCAGATTTCGGCACGGTGTTTGTGTGCGTGCGATTAGACGTATGCGTGTAGACCAGCTGCTAACTGCTCATAATTGATTCTATCTCTATTAGACACGATTTCTGAAAAATTGAAAATTAATAATGATCCACAAGAATCCTCAACAAAATATGGGACCACCATTGATGCGGTATTTTCCAGATATTTAGAAGATATCAACTCTTAAACTTATGTTTCTTATTTCAGTTACCATAAACCTATAGTTTCAATGATAAAAATTCCTAAATAACCTACATGTATTGTAAGATAAAAGTATTTTAAACAATATTAACTTCTCTTTTATTCAATAAAAGAAAAAAAATTGTTTTCTTATCGGTCACCACGCTCAAAAAGTGTAACTTGAATTAATATCAAAGAAAAAAATACTGCACAAATAAAATAAATAATTATAATTGCATAAGGTGATAAAAAAATTTATGCAATAGCTTTACCGCGGCAGTCCCCGAGTGCCACACGTATTTTTTAATATAACTTTTTTCCTAGTGTATTGACTATCACATTCTTTTCAATAGGTGTTTTAATAATGTGTACGGAAATACTTATCCAGTGATTATTACTATTTGCCCAACAATATATAGTTAGTAATGGGATTGAATGGTTGTTAAAAATAAATAATTTTTGGCAGTCCACATATTTCTAAAGATCCCTTTTTTTACAATAATCATACTAATTGAAGTCATGCAACTACCTCCATAATAGTGATTGTTTTGAATAGTAGTTTTTTATTCTTATAAATAATTTGCTAAATTACCAACCTGTCGACCATTTTCATTCTTTTGAGCACTGGGACTTGGCTATTGAATTGATCAAAGTGAAAACCTTCCTTTTTTAAATGAGATGCTATCAAGTTTAAGAAGGATGACCATTGTGACACTAACTGCTTTATCTTCACTCTGGACGATTTTTTCTTTAAGTAATTTTATAAAAACTTTGATTTTACTGCTTATCCTGGTCTTTGAAGGACAACACAGTTTTTGCCAGTGTTAACCTAAAATTATTTTGTTTAAAAACACTCAATTCAGGATTGTTAAAAAGAGAAAAATAATGGTTTATTTTTTGACATTCTACTTAATTAAATTAAAAATTATATTGAAAAGTAGTGAATCTGAAGCAAACAACTAATTAATTTGATAATACAACTATTATTGAAAGTTCAAATAAACATAGTTTTAGAGATACAGGGCGTTGAAGGGTTTAATATTTTTTTGTAGGTGGGCACTTATGCTCAAATGAGCATAACGAAAATGTTAATAAAATAAGTCAAGTATTTGAGAGGCAAGTACACAACTTGTGATTCCCGATTCCCCCAGTCTGAACGTCGTGCTTTCATGAATTTGTTGGACATGTATCATAGTACAATTTAATAATAAATTTAGCCACAATAAAATTGGATTCATTTCAATTTATCACCTTGTTCCTGATATTCTTTTTGTGATACCTGTGCAATAATAATTATAAAATTGAAAGTAAAAATACAATTTTTGTACCCACATAATTCGAGGGCCATAGCCCAGGACCTCAAAAATTATATTTTATGATAATTTTGTTTAAAACCTTTCGTCCATCTACTGTATAGGGGAATTATTACAATTTTTGAACAAAATGTGGATAAATATTAGTCCTATTATAGAGTAAAATAGATTATTGTGTGCCCTTGTGAATCTTTTTCATCTCCTAAAAAATGTTGATTTTGAAACTTACGAGGTCCTGCCTTGTGGCACCGCACCCGAATTAATAAAACTAATGACATTGTAACTTTATATTGTTCTGATTTTTTAATTTTGAGCCATAATACGAAACGAGTTTCATATATAACACATATCACATTTATTCCTAGAAAGTTAATTGAAAAAAATAAAAAATAAATCAGTAAAAATTACCGGACATTGATACTCGATTATTAAAATTGAATTACCCATATAAAACATCACTGTTTTCCAAATTTTCTTTATTATTTAGAATTTGTAATATACAGCATCATTTAAAGCCCTTAAATTTATAATTTACTCAATATAACTATCTACTTTTCTCAATTTTCAAAGAGTACCTAAAGCTTAGTTCATACAGATGCGAATCACGAATTGCGAATTGCGAATAACGTTCCGATTGGTCAATTTTAAACCAACATAGTGCCAACATGACGGCATGACATTATTTTTAATATTTTACGAATTCGCATAATTTAAAATTTAGGGGGCGGGAAAATTGGGCTGAGTTTAATTTATTCGCACGATTTGGTGTTGTGAACGAGTGTTTTGTGGTTGACACATTATAATTTTAAGTTTTGTGGGTTTCAGAGTGACGCCATACTGCTATATACGCCATTTTATAATTTGTTTATTGATGTTAGCTGATTTGTGTTTGATTTATTTGTATTTGATTTATTTGTATTTAATTTATTTGTTTGATTTTTTTGTGTTTATTTTGATTAGTTGTAATTTAATTTAGTTGTTTTATATTTATATAAATTTGTTTCCGACATGGAAAGGGACGAGGTTTGTTAATTATTTGTACATATCACCAAAAAATTCTAATGTTTCTCTGGTTTAATTTTAGTCTCAAGTCGAATGTAGCGATTGTGGAGCCATATTCACCTTAAATAGATTCCAGTTTCATGATTGTTCTGGTAATACACAAGAAGAAGAAGAAATTAATAGCCAATTGTCTGAGCCAGAATCAGAATTGGCCAACTATCCTTCCTTCATGGAATCAGCAACTAAATCAAGCCAACCTGATTCGGACAGTGAAGTCTGTGGTGAAGTTAATGAGGAAAATTTAATTTCGAAGTTAGCAGAAGCTGTGCAGGCTAGAGATGCTCTTTGGGACCACACTTTGCCCTTAAAACGGAGGAGCAAAGAAATTAAAGAGAAACTCTGGATGGAAGTGGTGAATCAACTTAATGGTTTAATTCCATTAAACCAGGTGGAAAAAAAATGGAGAAATTTAAAAGACACTTTTTTAAAACATATGAAGTTAGTTTCATTTTTATAATAGAATATATTATTCTAGTTTTGTCATTTATCAAATAAACACATTTTGTCTTGAGGTTATGCTCAAGCAGAAGCTCAAATTTACTGATATATATATATGGTACTTGGTACTATACTATGTATCTGTATTAAAATTTTCAATTTGTCTCCAGTTACCACAAAATCTTTAAAACAAAAATATTAAAAGATTTTAAGTCAAAAAGTAGTTAAAATAATATAATAAAATGTTTTTTTTTTTAAGGACATACAAGCCATCCGGAGCAGGAATAGAGGATAAGAAAAAATGGAAACATTTTGACAGTCTCTTCTTTTTAACAGAGAAGAATATGCCAAAGCCCACAATAGGCAACATTTTAGAGAGTCAGTTAATGATGCCATCATGTGCTAAACATGAAAATATGACTACAGACTCTTTTCAATCGCCTTCTACAAAACGAAAGAGAAAAAGTAGGTTTAACGTCCACTTTCAGTAATGTATATGTAGTACATCTAAAAACTATTATTAGAGAGTTATCAAAAAGTATCCATTGTACTTTCTACTTCCTTTTTTAAAGTTTCTATTATTTTGACATAAGAATTGACATCCATCACATCTCTTTCAATCATCTGTTAATGAAATACATTTGTATTAGAATGGCTATACATTAATTTTAAATTTCAGATGATGATGAGATGCTGCTAAACATCATTAACCAGCCACAAGTACCAGTAACTGTGGTACAACAGCTAGATCCTTTTCTTTTGACGGTGCAGTCAGTATTGGAGAAGCTACCAGTAAGAGTAAGAATGCAGGCAGAGATTGACATCCTTACTAAAGTTTATTCATTATATGATTTGCATTGTACTGATAAGTGACATTTAGTTCTTGTAAAATAATAAAGATTGTTTTTTAATTTTTGTGTCATTCAATTTAAAGGTAAATGCCGAATGAGAAAAGTGGATTCAATTCAATTGATTTTGTTTACAAATAGTTCACTCTTAACTTGTCTTAAAATAACTAGCTAAAACGTTAAACAGTATAGCTAGATGTGAAAATACTCATTTATTCTAGTCAGGACTGATGGTTCCATGAAACCAAGAGTGACATTTTATTTATTGCTTGATAATAAAACTACATATTGAAATTTAATATAATTTAATTATCAAATAAAATACAAACAAGTTGATATTAGTGAAAACTATTTAGACCATTGTGGATCAATTGGTGCTGAATTAACAAAATAAGCTGCTAGCTTAGACCGCATAACACTTGCTCCTTGAGCATAGGCATTCCCTCCCATTCTTCCTGCACCAACTAATCCCTTTGCTAGATCTTTTCTCCATTCTCCTGGAATAATTTGTCCCGCTTCAGTTTCTCTGTCAACATAGTTAGAAGGGCAATATTTCTGCTTATCTGTTTTATGTAAATCTGATTTTTTTAAAAAGTTATGCAAACAAACAATTGCCCCCACCATATTTTCAATGGTTTCCAATTTTGCAATGATTGGCCTTTCCAATATCCTCCACTTTGCCACTAAGATGCCAAAAGTGTTCTCTATAACCCTTCTAGCACGACTTAATCTGTAATAAAGAACTTCATTATATTATACATTAAAAAGTAATAGTTCAGCTTTTATAACGCATTACTCTACCTACTAAAGAAGAGGACTTCTTCAATACATAATCCTATATAAATTTACCTGTAGTTAAAAATTCTTTCACTCTGTGGCAGGTACGTTCCAGGATATGGCCTCATCAAATTGACCCCAAAAGGAAATGCTGCATCTCCAACAAAACAGTATGGAATCTGTTGACCATGGCTTGTTAGTTTTCTTGGAGGGGGCAAGTCAATGGAATTTGAAAAAAACAGTTTTCCAAAATTACTGTTTCGAAACACCCCTCCATCACTCTGTCTTCCTTTTGCACCAATATCTATCACCGTGAAGCAATAATTTGCATCACAGACGGCCAGCAATATAATGCTAAAAAAATCCTTATAATTGAAGAAATCTGATCCAGTATTGGGTGGTGCCTTGAATAAAAAATAGTGTAAGAAAAAGAAAAAAAAATATTATATAGTAGATACCTACTTGTATCCTGACATGTTTCCCATCAATAGCTCCCACACAGTTTGGAAAATTCCATTTGGATTCAAAATCCTCTGCAATTTCTTTCCAAACATTTTCTGTAGGGAACTGTAAATACTCAAGTTTTAATGTTTTCCATATAACATTACAAGTATCTCTTATAATGTAGGAAACTGTACTTAGGCCCAATCTGTATAAGTATGAAATACTCCTCATACTTATGCCTGCTGCTAAATACCTAAAACAAGAAATACAGATAAAAATAAAATGCAAATATATCTTTCGAAACATTTTTTCATTTTTGTAAAATTTGTATTAGTATAGTATAAATAGAAAGGAACAAGTATGATTGAGTCTAAGTATATACTTACCTAAGTGTAACTGATACCATTTCTCCAGGTGAAATAGGTTCCCGAGAATGATGCATTTTTGATAAATGTGGTGTCACTTTTTCCACTAATATATCAAAGTCTTGTACGGACATTCTATGAAAATTTTTGAATTTTTTTTCATCTTTGGAACGCATTTCTTTGATTAAATTATTATACGCGCCTTGTTGCTTCCTTAGTTTAAAAATTTCACAGGTTCCAACTGTTCTACTTATTCTGTTACGTCGACGTTTCAGCAATAAGTACGCAGCAATTTTACGCCTTCTTTGCCATTGATACAATTCGTTCACATATACATCCATTTTTATTTATGAGGCGTCAAAAAATTCACAAGTAAAATTATAATTCAATAAAGTTTTAAATATCAATTGTCATTATTGTCAATTATCAGACGATGTCATGTCATAATTGTCATATTAACTTACTCACAACATTAAAAATATTAGCAGAAAACTAAATATCACCAAAAAAATCGCAACTGTATGAAATAGCACAAAACCTGCGAATTTTTTTTCTGCGAATTTGTAATTCGCAATTCGTGATTCGTATCTATATGAACTCAGCTTAAGGTTATAAATGGTTATAAAGTTGTAGTTGTAGATAAGTTTACGTCAGTGCATTTGCTTTAACTATTAGGCATTCCAAACTTAATGGCTACCAGTGGGTTCTGACGGGTTATGATATGGCAAAATTATGGCAACCCTGTAGGCCTGGTGATTTAACAAGGTCAATGAAATAGATAGTTACATAGATTGATCATCCATATTTTTCAAAATAAACATAAGCTTATGCCTTGAAGTAAAAATGTAAGCAATTATTTTTTTTTAAATATCTAAAGGCTAAAAATTGGTTTTAAAACACATTTTTGCTAAACCGATTCAAATGAATAAATATTTGCTAGGCAATATGGCCGCTCGTAAACGACCAGCTTTGAGCAATCTATATAACTATATATGCATCATTGACCCTGTCAATGACAACATGACAACAGGGTTGCCATATCTAAACTGTCATTACCCACTGGTAGCCATTTGGACAGGTCGTTGGAATGCCTTTAATTGTTTTCTTCTAGATTGCTCGTTTAACGTATCGTCAATTTCCACGTTTACGTCAGAGAGATACGCATACGTATCTAGCGTTGCTTTAACTCTCTAAAGTATACGTAAATTCAATATTTCAACTTCTTACGTTGTTCTTAAGTTACGTTACGGCGGTTATAAATTAAGCTTAACAAATGTACTAACTCCGTATGCTTATGTGAATACACCTTAACCGTATACGTAGCGGCAACTGCCCATCCCATTCGGCCAAAGAAAATAAATCGTTGGCAACATTGTAGGGAAGTGAAGTGAAGTGACAGCAAATGTGAAAAATTGTTTTGGTTGTGTTTTTCTGAATTAAATGACTTCTGGAAAGGATACAATGGGGTTCGTACTTTAATTTATTTATTATATTTAATATCAAATTATATGTTACATAGTATTTGCTTAAGCAGACCGAGTTTCATGGTCGAAGCAATCAATTAATAAAAACATAATTACTTCCTAATAAAACTGCATACTTATGTCCTTTTTATTAATCTTTTTAACAGGGAACAACCTATTTTTACGTGCAAAGCCCACGTTTTCCATATAGACCCCAAAACGAAGAGATCCTGGATGCCAGCATCCAGTTCAGCAGTCAGTGTATCTTTTTTTTATGATTCCTCTAGAAGTTTGTACAGGATTATCAGTGTTGAGGGACAAAAAGCTGTCATAAACAGTACTGTTACCCCGAATATGACTTTTACAAAGACATCACAAAAGTTTGGCCAGTGGTCAGACGTTAGGGCTAACACAGTTTATGGATTAGGATTCTCATCTGAAGCTGAACTTCAGAAGGTATGTTATGTCGGCTGTGAAACTTGAAACAGTCAAGAAATGCAAGTTGTGTATTTGTTTCAGTTCATTGATAAATTTAACGAAGTCAAAGAAGCCACTAGGTCTGCCATAAGTAAGGTTACTGCCAATGGAGGTTCAGTTGTGACTCCTGTGACCAGTGCAAATGCTAGCCCAATTAGTGCTAGAGCAGCTACTGCTGCCGCTGATTCATCTACTGATAATCTGCTTGAACCACCAGGTATGTTTATTTTCTCAATAACTTGATAATTTCTCTAAAATATATCTTAAAATCATTTATAGTTAAACATTACAATTATATATCAAAACAAACAAAGTAAATTTACTAAAACAGTCTCATACTTATATAAGTGGACTATGAGGTTCCAAGAGCAAGATAAAACACTGCAACAAAATATAACAATCATTAGCCCTAAATTCATTAAACTATTTAAACAGAAAGTTAGACATTGGATCCTTACACAACCTAAACTTCTTTTTCAACAATATGTTGATATTAACATTTACTACTTGTAATGAGCAGCTTCTTTAAAAAACAAATAACTTCATAATTCATGTATATCAAAGTTTCATATTTCATTGTTTCAAATTTTTACTTTAGCAGTTCTATTACTATGGATATGCATAAAATATTTAGTTTTTAGTGATACTTTTCACATTTTTAATCATAGTGTTTTTATATAATATTATTTGTAAAAAAAATGTATTATACCTAAGTATAAATGTCTAATAAATATTATGAAGCGTTTACATAATATACAACATTGTTATCCTATGTGTTTTTGCTCATTTGTTACAGATACATTCAAAAAGTTTTTCTTTTTGAATTAAACACAAATTAACTATAAAATTTTAATGCTTTATCTATTTGATTAAAATAAGATTATGTAAGAATAAGATTTTTTTAGATAATAAACACATCTTGAACATGAGCACATGGAATCTATTTGTTTTGAGTTACTAAACCAATATTTACATTCTTTCATAAACCAGAATTTCATATAGATAAGAAAGATAAGAACTGTTTTCAGTGCTCATAGTTATTCAATAAATATTCTTTTCCAAAAATTAATTATATTGACAATAGTTGTTATAACTTATTTAAAAAAGTACCTATTATTGTTGTAAATAAAGTGAGTTATATAGTTTATATTTTGATGTCTTTTATTTTTTTGCCAAATGTAAAAGGTGAGAATAAATATTATGCTTTAAAATCATTTGTTCAAGGTTTTTGATCAACTTCTTATTAATTATTATTTTCTCGTTTTATTACATATGTCATTCCTCTAGTTTCTTTCCAACTGGACCTAATTACAGTTCTTTATGTACTAATTTTGATCTTCTTAGTTATTACTTTGGGTGTATAAATGTATTTTTTTGGTTATTATGAAGTATAATTGCACTATGAAGACTAGAGATGGGGCGAATTGGCATACTCAAAATACGGTCCCAAAAAACACAGGCTTACTTCAGCTTTTATAATTAACCGCATGGGCGCTGGTACTGCTTCAGTGTTCAAAATACATGGCTTCTTATGGGAATTATACATAATTTTGTCAAAATAGAAATAAACTTGTTTATAGCTAAATAAAGCACAGATCATACTGTTGTATTTATTTCTAAATAAGTCTTGCATGTTTTAAGAAGAAGAATCTTTATTTAATATAGGAAGTCCTAATACATAGTAGTTTTTTTAAAAATATTACATATCGTCAGTCTGCACAAATTCAGTTGAATAAATAAAATAAATACATATTAAAGTAAACATACAAAGTTAATTTAATTTATGGACTGGAAATAAATTGTATTAAACATTTTTTAAACTGAGGTAGAGAGGTACTCCTTTTAATTTTACTAGGCAAAGCATTAAATTCAGGTAATCCAAATATAAAAATAGATTTTGTTGCTATAGCTAGTCTTGTTTAGTGAAATATAAAAATTATTAACAGATCTTGTATTGTAGTTATGTATTTCATTATTGTAGATGATAAAATCATTGAAGTACTCAGGAAGTTTTTGATTTTTTGCTTTATAGACAAAAGTCATTGCTAAATAATAAAATATTTGTCTGACTGAAATCCAACTTAAAGTGGTCAGCATACCATTTATTGGTGTGTATCTGTTACATCGAAGGATTATTCTCATTCCTCTATTTTGCAATTTTTGTAGTCTTTGTAAACATCTATTATCCAATTTATAAAGTAACGATCCGCAGTAATCAAAATGAGGTTGTGTAATAGTTTTATACACTGTTAATCTAGAAAAAAGGGATAGATTTGAAGCAATCCTTGAGAAGAAAAATAGCTTTTTTGATATATTTTTTTTGCATACATATTCGCAGTGAGGTTTCAATAATAGATTTTCATATAAAATAAATCCCAAGTATTTAAATTCATTAACCTATTCAACATTCTCGTTTTCAATTCTAATGTTGTATCTATTATAGTTTATTTGATTTAATTTATATTTACTTCCCAAAATCATTTCTTTCGTTTTTTTTTAGTATTAAGCTAATTTTTTTTTAAAACTGGGTTAAGACTCACAATATATTATTCAGTTTATTTAGAATTTCCTCAAAATTATACCCATAACATGCTACCAGTGTATCATCATATGCAAATAGATTAATAAAGTCACACTCAATATAATTAATGTCATTTAAATATATGATAAATAGAAGCGGCCCTAATATACTTCCTTGCGGTACTCCTAAGTTATTTGTTAGCATTTTAGATGTTGATTTACCTAGCTTTACATATTGTAATCTATCAGTCATATACTGTTCAAACCAGGTCCTGCAAAGCCATAATATTTCAATTTATTGATCAAAATTTTATGATCTATTGTCTCAAAAGCTCGTTTAAAATCTAGAAAAACTGCTATTATATATTTATTTTCATCAAGTACTTGCTTCCATTTAGATTTAGTTAACAGTAAAGATGTTTCACATGAATGGCCTTCCCTAAATCCTGACTGATTTCCCACAAACAAACCATTATTATTAAAGTATTCTAATATTTGGTCACGAACTACGGTTTCTAATAATTTTTCAATCGTCGGAAGTATATTTATAAGTCGCAAGTTGGATGCATTTGTATCGTTTGTAATTTTTTGGACTGGAACTATCTTGCTTGCTTTTAGTCTATCAGGAAATGTTCCTCATTCTAGTGAGGCGTTTATTAAATTTAACACTGCAAAGCCAGTTGTATACAAGGTTTCCTTTAAAAACTTAGCACTCAATATCTCATCATAGCTTCTCTTATTTTTTAATGAATAAAACAGCTTTTTTTAGTTGATCTAATGTAATTAATTTAAAATCAGTTAATGTTGATTGAATATCATTTAAAAAATTTGGTGACCAATCATCAGTTGAAGGTATTGAATTTGTTATTTCACATATACTATACACCCCACAAAAATTATCGCATCACTAATAGTTTTCAAAAATTTAGAGTTTTTTTTTTGAACCGTTTGATTGATTTGGATATTCTTTTTTTGGAAGATAAGTTGATTGTTCAGAAATAGTAATCTCTTTGATTCTTTAAATAAAATTTAATTTTAGAGTGTATACTGGATGTTACAATAATATAGGTTTTTGGTTGGAAAATTCGTAACACCCTGTGGAGTGTACCAGCAATAATAGCATGTTATAATTGATAGCCTACTTTAGCCTCATTTTTCGCAAAATTTTATTTTTTTGATTGTTTTATTCTCTCTGTTATTAGAGGAGAAATACAGTTTTTTAACACTGCCTGTTTTTATAAACATACATTGCAAACATTTTAGTGATGTGATAATTTTTGTGGGGTGTATATTTACAAAAAAATTATTTAATTTGTTGGCTGCTTCTTCTTCCGTTTTAGCGAAAGATACAGATCCATCAACAGAAAACCCAACAGAGTCAAATTTAATTTCCATATTTTTACTTTTAATTAATATTTTTTAGTGTTTTCCACATTTCCTTAGAATCATTTTTATGTTCATAAAACTCTTTTTTCTTGCACTTTTATTTTTGTATTCATTCCACAATACATTTTTAACTGGGCCTAAGGCTCTTTGAAACTTTTTGTACACTTTATCCCTCTCTCTGGCTTGTACTTTTACCTCCTTATCATACCATGGAACATTATTTTTCTTTATCTGAATCTCTATAATAGGTGCAACACTGTTTAAAATTAGATGAAATTGGATTCAAAACTGATAATCTCGAGGCTATTATTTTATCAATTAATTAATGTAAAGTAGGTATGCATTAATTTGGATTTTTAATGGTATTCCAAACTTCCCTTCTCACAAAATAAAATATCACTTTTAGCACTTATATCATAAATAACTATTTTTTGGTTATTATGAAATATAATTGCACTTAGCCTTTTAAAAAAATAGTGCACTTAATATGCTACTTATTCATTTTATTTTTAATAAATCTTTTAATATTAAGATTCGTTCTGTGAAAACTATTCTAAATTCTATAATTTAATTCCAGGATTCTTAATTCCAGGCAATTCTATGATGCCGTCTGCCAATTCCAAGTCTGAAGATGATATTCCACATCCTCGAAGCCATTCCATTTCCGGTATTCAAAGCAACGAAAGTCCCAGCCATCAAGTGAAAGTAGATAAAGGTCCATATAATACCAGTCCCATTGACATGCAGCTCAAATACGAAAATGACAGGTTGAAGTTGGCTTTGGCGCAAAGGTAAGTCAAAATATTGATATGTATTTTTAATTGTTACTGATGAAGTTATGAACTTACCCTAGAAGATGGTGTGGATTGTTGTAAATTATTTTCGAAATAGCAATTTTATGACCATTTGATCATGTGTAATTTTTTGATATTAAATATTTTATGGTTGTATTAATTAGCACAGAACTTGTGAATTTGTGTTAATTTAGAAAAACTTCTTACAAAGGTATTGGCGATTTGAGCAGAGCAATTTGCCCTCAGGTGGAACAATTTATGAGCTTCAAAAGTTTATTTTGTATATTATAACGGTAAATTTCAGTTTTTTTTCATCAGATAATAATTATAGTAGTATTAAAAAAGGGTTGTTTTGTTATTTGTATGCTAAATAAGTGTATTTTATATTAGTTAATATCTGCTGTTACTGGATTTAGTATGAAATTTGCCCATACAAGTACTAACTGTTGCTAACCTGTTGCTGTAGCACTGCGATTGTTGATAAAATAAAGTGAATCTGCTAAGCTGCCCTTATAATATAAATAATTGTTATGCAACAATTTATGATGATGAATGTCAACAGTTAGATATCAAATTTAGATGAAGCATTTTTTATAATTTTAAATGTTCCAACTTAGGAAATATTTGTTTCTAATAAAAAATTGTTGATGGTATTTTTGAGTTTTTTATTTCAAAGTGTTAATTATTATCAGTTATTTTTTTCTGCAATGACAGTAAAAAAATAATATTGACATAATGTAAACGTTTTAAAATGTCTTCCTGACAGTTCTGTTGTGAAACTAAACTTATATGCCAAGAAGTCTAAAAAATATTGAGTTCACCTTATAATTTTATTATTATACAAGGACCGGGCAATAATTTCAACACAGATTCAATACAAAGTATCTAGTTAATTATTTTTTAATCTTATTTGTTATCAGGGATGGTTCAATATTTTAACATGGTATAGAAATTGTTTTTTGGAGAATTTTAAAAAGTATTGACAACGAATTGCAATAATTTCATGAAGTGTTGAAAAAAAGAAATTCAATTTAAAAAATATTGAGCTCATCTTGTAACTTTTTTAGTGTACAAGCACTGCGCAATATATTTTTAAATAAAAAATTCAAACAATTAAAAAAAATGGGTTAAACTTAATTTTTAATACAATGATTGTCGAATAATTTTTGAAGCAATTCATCATAATTTATGGATTTTTTAAACAAAGAAATTTCAATTTAAAAAAATATTGATCTCGCCTTCTAACTTTTTCATTATATAAGGACTGAAATATATTTTTAAGGGAAAAATGTAACGAACATTTATTAGATCATATTAGGCGTTGCTGCAATTATATGCATCCATATTGATTCGTTCTATTAATAAATCACCAAACACTCAATAAACCCGCATGGTACTACTAAAATGCCATTCTGGCACTTCAGTTTTTGGGGTAATTGTGGAGCTAACCTTATAACATTATGTATCAGGAAGTCAATAAAAATATAACTTTATTATTATTCAAGGACCGCGTAACAAACAGAAGTATCCAATTAATCTTATTTTTATACCAGAATAGTTCAATATTTTAACACGCTATAGAAATTGTTTTTTGGAAAAACAAGAAATTTCAATTTAAAAAATATTGTGATAATCTTTTAAGTTTATCATTATCCAAGGACTGCGCAATATATTTTTAAATAAAAAAAATTGAAACGATTAAAAAAAATTGTATTATATCTCATTTTTTTTATAGGATGATTATGGAATCATTTTTGACGCAATTCATCAAAATTTACAGATTTTTATTGGATATATAAATTAAAGTATAATTTAAAAAAATATTGAGGTCACTTTCTGACTTTTTCATTATACAAGAGCTGCGGGATATATTTTTAAAGAAAAAAAAAACATGTATTCTTTTTATTAATAAATCGCCAAAAACTCAATAAGCCTGCATGGTACATACTTTCTAAAACATATTTAGTTCACCTTATAACTTCTATTGTTATACAAGGACAGCGCAATAATTTCATGACGAAACAAACAAAAGTGAATGTGGGAAGTATTAATCTAGCTTTCATTTCTAAAATGGTTCAGGCACTCAAGCCTGAGTCTGGACTTGCGAATCTAAGAATCCGCAGTTAGAATCCTACCGTTGGTCGAGATTTTTTAAATTAATGAATTAATTTATTTGAAAATAATTCTGATACATTATGTCTGGTATACAGCGAATATTTCAATTCTTAAGTGGCCTAAGTAGGCTTGGACGTTGTCTTTCTGCATATATTAATAATAATATTGATATATAATTATGAAATAGGAAAAATTATCTCTGACCGAAACTATACTCATGAAGTAGGTACATCGTCGACGGAAGACGAAACAGAACACTAATTGCCACCGGCCGGTAACAACGGTAATAAAAGTTGCATTATCGATAATTTTTTTTAAGTGTTTCCGCCATTTCTGCAATTCTAGACGATCTAATTAAAATATGTATTGCGATTTAGTGATTTACTTAAGCATTATGCAAGATCCCTCCGTTTTATTGTCAGCCTTGTCTAGCACAAGAAGGCGCGAAGAAGTTCCGCGGACGTGTTCTCGGGAAGGTCTACAGGGTTTTTTATTCTAAAATTTATACATCGTACAATTTTTTTTTTTTTTTAAACGTTAATAATTTCTTTTTATAATATAGATTTTGTAGAATCAAAAAAAAAAACTATTGTACCAATTTGTTATTTTTTCACTCGGTTCTGAAAATTAGTTCAAAAAGTCAAAACCAGCTAATACATAATTGAAATATACACGAGGGCGTAACCAAAAATAGCTGAACTATTTTTGTACAAAGTGTTCTCTTTCATTTTTTACAAGAAACCTTTAGTCTTCTTCAACGTACTCTCCATTGAAGTTGATACACTTGTCCAATCTTTTATTTCACTGTTCGAAACATTTTTTAAATTCATATTCTGTGATATTTGTTGGTAAATTGCTTTCCTTTCATGTTTCTTTTGATTCAGAAGAATAAAGGGATGTCGCATGTGACTAGGTCCGGTGAATGGGAAGTGGACACTAAGCTGATACCATTTTTAGTCAAAAATTGACACACAGAGAGGGCTGTGTGAGCGGTCATGAATCTTTTTTTTTTTTGTTTTTTTTTTCTTCGTTAAAAGAAAGTTTCTGTTTCAAATTCGGCCGAAACTAAGACAGTAGCCGAAATTCGGTTTCTATTTCGGTTGGAGAACCTTGTTTGGGTCGAACACTAACATTTATCATCGTTTGATTCTCGCCCCATCCGAGAAATTGAGCACGCCAATGAATCAATACACAGCCGCCCATTATTTTGCAACCCGGTAGAGAGAGTTTTCAACGGCTATTTTTTTGCATAATTCTTTTTCCAATTTTTTACACACGCCATACACATCCGAGACCCTATCTGCAGTCTGTTGTATGCTGAAATTTCTAACGCAAATAAACTGAAATATATTTGTTGTGTAAATTCAGTCTCGCTTGTTGAAAACGATGTTTATTTACTATCATTTATTTTGTAATATAAAATAGTAATTAGTTACCGATGATGATATATAGCGTTTATTGGGTAAAAATAATATATTCGTTATAGCGGTTATAATTTAGAATTTGAAAAATATTGAATATTATACCTAGAGATAAATTAACTAAAATTTCAAATGCAACTTCTAATTTGAGACTTTAACAAAATTGATTGAACATTTATTTAAAAATCTGATGTATCCAATCAACGACGAAAAACTATTAGACTAATTTTGTTTACAAAAATCGAACTCCAAATATTCACGGTGTTACCCACGTAGTTGTCAAATTATTACTTTCCTGTCTGTATTACAGATGAGGAAAGTACCTACAGGGATTTTTTCAACCTCGACTTTTCGACGGATTTTTAATTTTTGGGATCCCTGAATCCGTTTTGACTATTTATTTATTTATAATATAATACTCTACAGGTCATAAACCCAATTACAAAGCAGTAATTGACAGAATATAATTATTAATAAATCCCAGATTTTTTATATGAATGTTAAGCACATAAAAAGAACTTTCGCGATGATGTGTCATATATCCAATAACTCATGAATGGATACAGAGAAAAATACCAAATATTGGACATAATCTGAACTTTATTGGGGGTCGTTTTTCTACTTTATGGAATATATCCGTTATTTACGCTTGGAGAAGAAAATTATTTAAATAAAAATGCTTGTACTAGTATTCTCTATAATTTTTATCCAATACGTAATTATCCTAAAATTGTCCGTATTGGAGAAATGTGAGGAAAAGTGCAAAATTCAAATTTTAAAAATTGTCCAGATAAAAGTTGTTTATGATGTCATTCTCTATAATTCTTGACCTATACATAATTTCTCTAAAATGGACCGTATTCGAGATATTTAAGAAAAAGGGCAAATTTTAAAGATAATTCGAAAACGGATAAAAAAAACACTGTAAAACGTATATTTATTAATCACAAAATTAAATTATCAAGTGTATCACTAAACGGAATAAAAACAATGATCAACATAAATGTTTTTAATTTTTTCTTAAATGAATTGAACTCCAGCAGCCCAAACGCGGATGGCAATACATTATAAAGACCAAAGTCGATGGAATTGTTTTTTGATTTATTTAGTCGATATCTATTTTTTCTTAAGTTGTTAGCTTGTCTGGTGGGATATTTGTGAATGTCGGACTGCCTAGAAAGACATGATAATTTCTTATGAATTTCCAAAAGGACACTAAATATATAAATAGTTGGTAGAGGCATTATTCCTTGCTAAATAAACAAGGGCTGACAATTTTCTCTAAATTAGGAACCAGTTATGATTCTAACAGCCTTCTTCTGCCACCGAAAAATCAAAATTGCATCTGAACTGCTACCCCAAAGTGCAGTGGCGTAATTTATGTGGGAATGGAATAGGGAAAAGTAAACCGTTTTTAATATGTTACGATCTGTTTTAGTTTTAAGCTGCTTCAACATTTATATGAATTCTCCAAGTTAAGTTACTATCTAATATAACTCCAAGTTACTTAGTACTATTTACTATTGCAATTTTGACAATCGGTAACCGTAGAAAACTGCAATTCCTGAGATTTATTTTGATTTAACATGAGATTGTTAGCTAAGAACCAATGTTCAGCTTTAGCGATAATAGTTTCTGCAGTATTTTTCAATTCGATTTCATTTTTTGCAGAATACACAAAAGTGGTGTCGTCTGCAAATAGAACAGATTTAAAAGGACCCATATAATTGCTTAAATCGTTGGTATATATAATAAATAATAATGTCCTAAGAGAGAGCCCTGAGGAACTTCATGCTTAACCGAACTAAAATTTGACCTTTGGTTCTGAAATGTAACAGCCTGAAAGCGTCCAGATAAATAAGATTCTAAAAGTTTTAGCGCACTTCCTCGGACACCGTAATAATTTAACTTCTCAATCAAGATGTCATGAGAAATACAGTCGAAAGCTTTGCCGTGGCGCTCCGGGGCGACTTAGAGATTATTGATGGTGCAATTTGACTTACGGGAAAAACCCGGAAAACCATCATCAAAAACGGTAATGCTTTGTGATTTTATTTTAATAATCTGGATGTCATATCAAAAGAAATTAAATTTCTGCTAATATGGCATCCATCAAATCCTATAGAGAACCATGCAAATAAATTCACATGGTCTTCCGTAGGTCTCGTTTTACCAGAAAATGAATGCCGCGCCGTAGACACACAATTGCGTGGGTGGGTTAGGTGCCCAGACAACACACCAAATCCCAAAGATATCCACAGAATATCTTTTGTGGATATCCAATATATCCACAGGATATCAGAAATATTCCGTGGATCTAATATGGATATCCAAATGTCCGTCTATATCCAGAATATAGAAGATATCCTATGGATATTCAGCAAAATATCTAATTAGTATCTTCCAGACAATACAAGAAATCCCAGAGATATCCACAGAATATATTTTGTGGATATCCAAATATAGATATCCAACCAAATGTCCGTCTATATCCCAGGATATAGAATTCAGATATTCAGCAAAATATTTTATAGGTATCTTTAGTAGACATTCATAAGTAACCAAATGAATGATAACGTCGAAAGAAAATAGAGATAAAAAATATTTCCAACAATCTGTCTTTGAGTTTGCCCACTAAGGAAAAAGTCATCCTTATTAGGACTCTTCAGTAATAAATGGAAATTCTCGACTCCAATCTCTAATAGAGTCTTAATGCGAAAACATGTTCGATCAACTCAATTATGGCGGGTTGAGCATGAATAGATACGAAAGTGGTATCGCCATCTATACTTAGGAAGCAAAATCAAAAATTACATCTAGTAGTTATCCACGATGGTTTGCGTCCGCGCTAAGACTTTGATATATGTGGATGTTCATGGGATATTGAATACACCTTAAAAATATTAATTTTAAATATCTGAACGGTACTATTAGTCACAATGGCGAGCACAATGGCGTAATTTTTTAATAATTTGCTATATAATTACTATTATTTATGGACATTTGCATGTCTATAAATTACATTTTATAGATATAAAATAGATATCCACCATGGACTGGACATTCAGTGGATATTGGGATGTTCAGTAGATATCCAAAGGATTTGGTGTGCTGTCTGGGTGGTTAGTGCATGGAGGACGAGACAAAGAGTCAGCCACCACATTAGTCCTACCAGGCGAGTAATGTATAGCTTGATTATTATCCGTAGAGTACATTACTTTACAATGCGCAGAAACCAGATTGAATTTATAGGCAGTAGGCGTGGTGACAGACTTCCCAGCGTCTTATTTATAATATTGCACAGTTGCATTCAGTAGCGTAGTAAGCGTTTTACTTATTGCATTTCCTTTCATTGTTTCGATTTGATCCAAAGAAACGTTTAATTCTTAGTTTTTCGACTATTCAATTTTGTGTGTATTTTGGTAAGTACAATTTATACCTAAATAAATCATTTAAAGAGTAAAAAAGTAAGGTTTTAAAAGACCATTCTAAAAAAATTATTATTTTACACTTATTCTGGTATGTAAAATCACACTTTATACAGAATAATGATTGAAAAAGGAACATAAGACCTTTAAACTATATGGTTGAGATTGAAGAACCCAACGAGCCAGGTGTTTTGAGTACGAGCAGCCACTTAATTCAATGGTTGCTGGTCAGTAATTACAATTGTCTCGGAATTTTCGATATAGCCTCGATGCTTCCTCCGGTTGCAGGTCGTAATTTCATTTTGAGAAGGCCTAAATTTTTATACTTGTGGGGATAGGATTGGTTTCAAAAAAATGTATTCTGTTAAGTAAATAAAAAATTAAAAATCGTAACATAATAAGCTGCATTTTCTGTTTCTTTTTAAAGTTATTTGAAAAAGTTGTTTATTTTAATGACTTATACACAATTAAAATAATTATTAGTTTAGGATTCACCCTGTATATACCATTGTGTAGATCCAAGATAATTGCGGCAAATTCTTTTGCAATTGCTTCTGTAATACACAAATTCTTATCAATGATTTTTTTGTTTAATAAAACCAACTAGTTTATTTTGAATTATATTTAAATATTTCTTTGAAGTTTTGGTTTTTGTTAAAGGAACAATTTTTTTCTGGAAAACGTTACATAGTTTTTACTATTATTAGACCTGTTGGTACCTACTTCACAAATTTTCAATTGTATTCCCCTTGTAGGAACGTTTTCTAAACTGTCAAATCTATTTTCCTCATTTTAGTTCTGTGAACAATACTGAAAAAAAAAAGAAATAAGGCAACAATTTTATTTTTGCACCACTTTTTCTGAAATATCGTCAAATTTAAAATTTTGGCTGGTACCTAGGGTCAAAATCGATCGTTTGCAACGGCAACACTGTAATATATTATTACCTCATTGAGAAATGGAATAAAACAATCGGGTACTTCAAAAGTGCTATTTTATTTATTCAATTATGGTACAAAACTATACAAAAATATGCTTATAAATAACAATACTGATTACAATAAAAAAAATTATCACAAAACAGTCGTAACGTTCGTCATTTCATTGATTCAATTGGTTTCTATAAAGATGACAAAATGTGGCGTATTTATATAAATATATTTATTTGTCACTTTCGCGTCCGAAAAAACTACAATTAATTTATTTTTCGAAGGGTTAACTTTGATACTAGTTAATATTATTTATTTTCTACCAGCTGGTAATGATTTAAATGTGTTTAAGTTTGTACAAAATACGAATAAGTCTATTTCGATAAATATCTGCGTTTTTGCTAAATTATTGTTAGTTATTTATTGATTTATCTAAAATATGCAGTTTACAAGCCAGTTGAATTTTACATAAAAGGTATTTCAAGGCTTCATGCTAACGGTATTCTTACTTGTTAAATAAAGATTTTATAGTCTATTGACTATTACATTAGCAATCTTAATTTATTTTACAAAGGTGATATGTACTAACTTTTAAATCATAATGAAAAACTGCAAAAAATATATCGAAAATAAAGCATAAATGACTGCATTTACGACTAGTGAAGGGTAGCTTAATTAGTAAATATAAACTATTAAAAAATGCCTGCCATTATATTTATTATGTGATATTTTTATCCCATATGCGTCTCTGAATGATTTGGTATGAAGTCCTTAATAATCAATGTTGCTAAACTGTTAATTGCAGTAATGTTTTCAAACATTAAAAAAGATACTACGGTTTATAACATCCCGTAAATATTATTTAGAAAAATTCTTCTATTAAAATAACTAATTAAAAATAATCTTAGATTCGCAAATGTCCAGAATTAAGTGTATTAATTTTTTATATTGAAAAAATTTGAGGATTTAAATATGTACAGATTCTAAAATATTTACACATATTTGATAAGTATACATGAATGTTTTAACAAAATGAAAATGTTATTACAAAAAAAATGGTATTTTCGGCGCAAAAAATGTTAATTCTTATACGAAAAATATCAAAAGACGCAATAGGTATTCTCGGCGGAATATTTCTAGTTGTCCTTGTCTGCTGTACATTTTTCATTTTTATATTAACAAATGACATAAAGAAGGATCCTAAGTATGCTTTATAGGTACTTATATAAACCCAGGTTTGTTCCAACTTTATACAAAACTGTTCAGTAACTGTACATATGGACAACTTCGATTATAATGTATTTAGATCCAAATGATCACCTCAAAAAACCTGGAACAAACTGAGCTCCGCTTTTCTCCAAGCCTTCTAAACTGGTTTGTACGATGTTTATGTTGATACAGATTTCGTTTTAACTAAAAAATTACTGGTTTCTGAATCTTTTCAGTAGATACATTTTTATGGAACTGTTAGTCCTAACTTGCGCAAAACTGTCTATATTAAGTTGAATATCTTAACTTACAAATTATTTTTTTTTTTTTGATAAATGCGAAATAATGCTAACTCAATAAAACCATTTTGTTTTTCAAGAAATTGTTTAGAATAGGAAACATTTTCTTCTTTTTATTTTCTCTAGTTTGTGGAACATATAAGACAATTTTTCGATACCAAAACCTAAAATCTAGTTGGAACAAATCTATAACAAGGCAGGTCATAAAATAATTACTCAGAGAGCAATTGAAAAGTTACTGTTGTGGGATCCCCAAGTGACCGAAATAGATATACCTAGTCAAAGAACGTACTTAGGATACTAGTTTTATTTGAATCAAAATGGTATTTTATCAAGGTATAAAGAAGACAGAGGTCAAATGGAGCAACGTGCTAGATTCTAGGGCTAATCTAAAGGTACTCCAAGTCTACCACGCGTCGCTCGAAGAAGGCTCAACTCAAAGGAATTTGCGTGAATTTAGTTTGCATGACATGTAATTGTAGGTGGCTCGAGGCAAGTGTGTTGGCCAAAAAATGTAACCGAGCCTCGGTTCGCTATACTTATATACATCTTAACCCTTAATCAAGCTCGCCTGAAGTACACCTGAAGAAAAAAATATGTAGGAATTATATATCCTATGTTTTAAATGGGAATATAAGACCCAGGTCCAGATTAAGAGCTAACAAAGAATAATCCTTCCACCGAGAATACCGGCATGATTATAGACGACCACTTACCAACCGCGCGATTATTATCGCCGAAAATACGCCTCTAGAATTTCTAATAAACTACTAAACGACTGAAAACTGAAATTTTCCTGCTGTTACGACTTAGGACCTGACCGTATGCGCTCAATAGTGATGTCCACCGCCACCGCCGTACGATTCGTACCCTTCGTGTTGTACAGTCGGTTCTCCCACTTTGTGTACGACCGCGTTAAATCCGTTGTGTTTGTCGGCGGCGTACTGAACGATTCTGGTGGTACCGTCGGCCTCTTTGAGCGAATACTGGCCCTTTACGGTGTCTCCGTCGCGTTCTTCGTACTGTTGCTTTTCGTCTCCCGTATGCGGATCGTGTACGGCATAGTTGAATTTGTATTTCGGGTGTTCCTGTAACAAAACAAAATTCGTGTATTTTAGACCATAATGAACGATTTTGAGTACTATATTTGCTTTAAAAACGTTTACAGAACACTATTATAGAGTAAGATCTAATAACATTACTGCAACCTTTAAAGAGCACAGTTACATCATTATAAAATTAAATAACTAAAAAAATCTGCCTGTTTTTCACTCACAACTTGAATGGGACGCTTAGGAAGAAAGGGAACAAAGTTCGCAGTCAAAGGTACATTTCAAGTAGCTAGCCAAGTCTGCAGAGCTCTCAAATCTCTGACAAAGTTCTAAATATCCGTTGATCATAGGTATTTTTAAGTTCCACATTTAACATTATTTTTATCGTTATTTTGGTAACACTTTTGCAACGTTTACATTTAATGACAAGTTTCTGGGGAATTATTTGGCATATTTATCACTTATTTATGCAGATATGCTGTGCAAATTTCATCAGATCCGGGGAAAAACAAATTTATAATAAAAGAAATTATTGAATGAAGAAGTTTATTCTAAAAACTCCAAAACGCGACTTGCATAATAATGACAAAAACAATTGACAACATATGACATAGCGTCATGTTTATAAAAAGAAGAGTGGTCTCGTTCTGACAACTGTTCTACAATTATTTTTATATACAGGGTGTCCCAATGAAAATTAGCCCATTTCCAGAGATTATAACTTTTAAACAAATCTTAAAAACGTGCGGTTTTTGCTGATATGTGTTATTTTGCTATAAGTTTTGCTTCAGTGACACAGAAATTATGTATTACCTATACATTTTAAAAATCTCTTTTAAATTCACTGTAACCAAATTTTATCAAATGGAAACGGGCTCCTTTTCACCCTGTATTTTAAAACGCGAATATCGATACACAAATCTGAGTGCTTACATAATAATCTTCGTGTCCGCCATCATGACCACCTCCGTATCCACCGTCGTGACCACCTCCGTATCCACCGTCGTGACCACCTCCGTATCCACCTTCATATCCACCACCTCCGTATCCTCCGTGCAATTCAAGTCCACCATCATGTCCTCCGCCGTAACCTCCATCGTCATATCCTCCAAGAATGCCGGCACGGCAAAAAGCGAGGCAAGACAAAGCAAAAGAAATCTAAAAAAAACAGGTAAAAATATCTTAATGTGTTTAGTTTTCTTATTAAAATCATCGAATTTCCGTTTGAGAGTTTAAATGTCTTCATGATGCCGACTTTGTCAGCTTTAGTGCAATGGTATATAGTCTAGAGAAGAAGAAAAAAAGTACCTGTATGCACTTGTTGCATAAATTACTATTTTTATAAGATTTCGGCAAATAACTTATTTCTACTCGTGTTTCAATTGAGAAAAACGTGATTTCCCGCACTACTACGGAAAAGTGATTTCTTTCACTAGTGTAGGAAAGTATTTTTTGGACAAATTAGTTTTGCAATTTAGAAATGCTTTAATTTATATGTAGAATTAATGATCTATGTCATGTTAGCATTAAATCCTGGTGGAGGTCAAAGTGTCAAATTATAATAGGGGATTTAGAGAGGGTTAAAGCTAGAATTAATTTTTTTTTTAAATTGATTTAGGCCATTCGATGGTTAATAAAAAAAACAAACATCTTTTTTTAATACCATTTTGAATGATATATAGGTAATAAGGGATTGAGAGGGGGTTGAACCGATTTTTTTTAAATGTATTTTAATGTTTTTTACTTTCCCTACGACCACTTAGGAAAATGGCCCATATCGCACTATTTAGTCTTATGGAAAGTGCCCTATATCATTAGCTGTTAAAAATGTCAAACGCATTATTTATATTTTGATTTATGTAATATCTATATTAATAGTAAAAATTATTTTTTGATTAAATAAAATTAACATTTATTTTTATTCCTAGATATTTATTTTTAACAGTTATTAAAATAAATAAAAAGTAACTACCTTATTTTTTCTGGTTAATGCACATTTTTGATTAGATAATTCGTTCATAAGCCTTCATAGCTTAGATCGTTAAGTGTTCAATGGAGGTTCAATTCCCGATAAAACCAATCTTTTTAATTTTTTTTTATTCTAGAAAAATATGAAAAATTTTAAAAATACTACTATTGTTGTTTATTTATTGTAAATATATTTAATTTATCATAATATAAACCCTACAGTTAGGCAATTCGTGTTAATATTTTCGATATTATTTATTTTATACTATTGTAGGTATCACCTTTAATAATAAAAAAAGTTCTTGCTCACATATTATTGTTTTCCAATATTTTTTGTATCTAATATTAGTTTACCTTTATCATCATATGAAAGTATTTCTAGATGAAATCGCAATGTTTTTATTTCAACAAAACACCATTTGAAAAACACTTTAAAAAATATTCAATGAGGCATATAGAACCAGCTACATACTTCTTGATTGAACATGAATAGATATATTTCCTAATTTATCTTCTTTTTGATGAAATTATTTTGTAATCGTAGGAAAAATATTGTACTTGTATAGAAGTGATTTTTCACTCAGGAAAACTAAACATTTTTTGAGGTTTATTTTCCCGTGTTAGTTGCACTGATTGTAACAGAAAGAAAACGAAAATATCAATGTAAAAATCAATGATTTAGAGACCAACAGTCAAAATAGTAATTTTTCGAGTATTTTACAACACTTCATGAACGACTTTTTTAAATTAATACAGGGAGGAAGTATATTTTTCCTAAAAATTAACGTTTTAATTTTGTACCATATTTGTTTTTATAATTAGTTCAAAAAAACATTTTTTAAACAGAGCTTCCATATTAATTTGTATTATATTTTGATCGATTATAAAATATAGCAAAAAAACAACCACCACTTTTAAACAAACATAATTGATGAATCACACTATCACAAAGATATTCACCACTTTGATACAGGCTTTTTTTCACTTATTACAAAAAAAGATACACTCACTTTGGCAATGGTGAACATTTTTCTTGTTTGTTTTTTTTGTGGCACGTTTGGACGAAAACTGACAATGGTAGGAAATGGTCATTCTGGTTTTATAGTGGTGAGTATGGTCCGCTTTGTATGGGGATCGCCCCCTGTATCTCGTTTGTCGATGTATGTGCTTTCTCCAATTTGAGGCATCGTTGTGGAAACAAATGAATATTTTGTTTCTGATTTGATGGTACTAATGAGATTTCGGCGATTTCGTTTGGAAATATGTAAGTAATAATAAACATTTTTAATTTCTTAGTATTTAATTCTTTTTTTAAATTAATATTCTCTTTTTTAAGTTTTTCATATTTCTCCCAATGCTGGATCCTTCTTGACACTTATCAATAAACAATCCCTGCTTTAGCTAGTTTTTAATATTTTTATTTAATATTTTTCTTTTAGAAATACAAAATAAAATGTCTCCTCCATTGAAATATTCATACAATTTTGAAAATAATTAAACTATTAATATCTTGTCAATGTTTTTTTCTACAATTGAGTGACTTACAGTAAGGCTTATAAATAAAAACCCACCCGGTGCGATCATGGGCGTCGTTACATAATTGTCCAGAAAGGGACAAAAAACTCTAGTTCTTTGTACTTGAAAATGATATTAAAAATCGGAAATACCTTTCTTATTTTTATTTGTCAAAATTGACATCATTAGCATTATTAAGGTGGTGAAGGTTTCGGAAATAATGAATTTAGATAAAATTTAGAGAAAATAGGTATATTTATTGAAGAATTTGTTAAAATTAAGTTGGAAATTAGTATTTTGTATACAGAGAAAATAAACTAATGAAAAATTATATATAAAAAGAAAATTTGTATAAGCAAATTAAAAGACAGAGACGCAGAGACAGAGTGGAGCAGAACCATCAGACACTCTTTCTAAAATAGCAACAGTAGTAGAAAAGAGAAGACAGAACCTTAGATTTAATTTTTGTTGATTTAGGATATTTATTTTTTTTTAGAAAAATCAACCTACCCCTGATTGAGATGTTTTTTTATTGAATATTACAAAATTTAAGGAAATTTCCATATCAATACATTAAAAATATACAGGGTGTACCAATAAAAACTCCCAGGCCAGATATTTTGGTAAGAAATAGAGATATTTTAATTCTGTAAAAGTCAGTTCACAAAGCACTAAGAGAGCTTCAGTTTTAGATATAAATTGATTTTAAATAGGTCAATATGTAGATGGCGCTGCTCTCAATAAATTTTTTTTTATAGTAGGATCTCTCTTATTTAGCGCATCTTATAAAAAATGCATTTTTAAGCTGATTTTGTTCTATGAACTAATTCGATAAATCTAGCCATTTTTGATATACAGAGTGAGGCACTTTTAAAATTCACATCAGTTTCTTTAAAAGAAGTCAAAGGTTTCTCTACAAAAATTGTACAGTGTTAGTGTTGTTGATTTATTGTTGTTTTATTTAATTATAACTGAAATTGGGCACAAAAATAAAACTTATACATAGAATTACAATGGCTATATCATGAACTAAAGATGATATTAGAAAATTAATACCTAATAAAAACAACTTATTTTATATACTTAGCAAAGTAAATATTTAAAAATTTAAGTAGTGATTTAATAATATACAGGACGTCCCAAAATTTAAATAAAAACTTTAAATTCAAACTGAATAGATTATTAGTAGCGGTAATAGTAGTAGTCGTAGTAGCACATTTTACAGTAGTAGTTAACAGAAGTAATTTTTGGATAAAAAATATTACTCTAAAAAATTGCATCAAAGATGAATACGGACATCCACTCAAGTTCTACATTATATGTTTTTACCATTCACTAACGAAAAGTGTCAAAATTAATTTGGATGTTAATGAAATAACTATTACTTAAAAAATAAGATTTTAATTAATCTTCATCCTAAATTTGAACACCGGACCTGTCACATAAGAACTCAGTACGATATCGGGACGGTGGTGTAGCGGTCTAACGCGCTTATATTCATTTATAGGCAAGATTACGAGTCGGAGACTGCTGGGCTTCGAATCCCAGACCGGACCATGTGGATTTTTAATTAAATTGCATGGTTTGGTTTAGGATTTGATGTGTGCTGTATTAATAGAAATTCAATTTCTGTTGATATGACATGCAGATTATAAAATCGCCATGCATTACCGTCTCGATGATGGTGGGTGAGGTTTTCCGGGTTTTCCTCACCTGTAAGTCAAATGGCACCATCAATCATCTCTAAGTCGCCCCGGAGCGCCACGCAAATAATAATAATAGACGTCCCTTTCTCCGCACAAGCTGAGCTTTTGGGGTTAAAATTCACTCGTAAGGGGGTGAATTAGGGAGAGTATTATTATTATTATTATTATTATTATTATTATTATTATTATTATTATCTCTGTGTTAATGAAACAAATAGGATTTTTTTTTAATACTGATAATTAGATTAATATTAAATAGTTTTATTAAAATTTACCATTTATTTTTTAATATAGACTGGTGTATTGCTATTATTATTTATGGATTCTTCACAATAATCACTAATTTTTATTTATTTTTAATCTCTATATCTATAAAATATACTGACAATTAGTTTGACAGAATTATCACTTATTAAATTCTAAAAAATACTAATAGCTCGGTCTCCTAATGTGAAGTGTTACTGGTAGATTTCATATCCGTGACTAGAGTGAATATGAACATACAAAAGAAACTGTCACAAGTGAAGTAAGTGTAACAACAATAAGGATGACGTAGTGACCCTTTTGACCACGTGATTGCATCTCCTTCCCGTTTCTACCACCACGTTGTTATTATATTAAAAACAACCTGTATTAGAATCTAAAATCATAGACTCATGGATATTCCTGGTGGTACCTACACCAACCTTGCCGATCAAAGTCCGGATCTGGACGGTTCCCGCGAGGAAAAGTCTCGTAATAATTACGTTGTTGTATAATTTTCGCGCATGAAATGGAAATTTTCTTTTAGAAACCCAACTTCGTTCTCAAATAATAGTCTTCTCGTTGCCATTATATAGCTCGTGAAAATTTCCTACCGTGACAAACACTTCTTCGGCAATACATTACTATCTAGACCAAACAGAGTGTACGGCTAGGTGTTAATTAAACTTAATTATAACGGCTGGCGTATTTGTATGGAAACTGGTAATTAAAGAAGTGATTCTCGCCCGTATGCATTGAAACGCAACCACGAGTAAAGGACGGACAGTGATTCCTTTATTCTGCGTAAGAATTACGATGGATGACAGCTACTATTGGCGTTTTAACTTTCATTTAAATACAAAGGGAAACATGGCTAAAATTGATCAGTGATGTGACCGCTAGGGGGTTTAGCCGGTTATAGTGTATTCATGAACGTTTATAGCATTTTTCATTTAGTAGATTATACGTTTATTGAGGGATAAATACATTGGCTATTATCGTGCACACCTATTTTTTTGGATATTCTTAGAGAATTCCTAGAGTAGAGTATTCTTAGAGAATTCCTAGAGTAAAGTATACGTAGACGTATACTATTCTTAGACGAGACTCGTCTTAGACTAGACTATTCTTAGACTATTCTTAGATTATTCTTAGACTATTCTTAGACTATTCTTAGACCATTCTTAGACTATTCTTAGTGTATTTTAGTGTATTCTTAGTGTATCTCTGAGTATTCTTAATAGAAACTTAATAAAAACTTAATAGAAACTTAATAGAAACTTAATAGAAACTTAATAGAAACTTAATAGAAACTTAATAGAAACTTAATAGAAACTTAATAGAAACTTAATAGAAACTTAATAGAAACTTAATAGAAACTTAATAGAAACTTAATAGAAACTTAATAGAAACTTAATAGAAACTTAATAGAAACTTAATAGAAACTTAATAGAAACTTAATAGAAACTTAATAGAAACTTAATAGAAACTTAATAGAAACTTAATAGAAACTTAATAGAAACTTAATAGAAACTTAATAGAAACTTAATAGAAACTTAATAGAAACTTAATAGAAACTTAATAGAAACTTAATAGAAACTTAATAGAAACTTAATAGAAACTTTATAGAAACTTATTAAAAACTTAATAAAAACTTAAACTTAATAGAAACTTAATAATGGAATCTTAAACTAATAGAAACCTAACTTAATCTTAATAGAAACTTAACCTTATAGAAATTCAATAGAAAAATAGAAATCTAATAATAACTTAAACTTAATAGAAACTAAGAGAAACTTAATAGAAACTTAACTTAATAGAGACTTAAACTTAATAGGAACATAATAGAAACTTAATAGAGACTTAAACTTAATAGAAACTTAATAGGAGCTTAATAGAAACTTAATAGAAACAAAATAAAACTAAATCGAAACTAAATAGAAACTTAATAGAAACTTAATAGAAACTTAATAGAAACTTATTAAAAACTTAATAAAAACATTAAAAACTTAAAAAAATCTTAAACTTAATAGAAACCTAACTTAATCTTAACTTAATAGAAACCTAATAAAAACTTCAATCTGTCACTGAATTGATGCGGCTTTCGGTTCGTGGTCCAAATGTAACTAACAAATATAGTTTTTTTTTTTTTTCATTTAGGAACTGCTGTCAAAAATACATATACATTTGATATTAATAGAAACTTAAACTAATAGAAACTTAATAGAAACTTACTTAATAGAATCTTAATAGGATCTTAATAGAAACAACAAATATGACTCTTATGCTTAATAAATAAGGCATTTTAATGCCCTTGTCGTCGTCCTGTTGACAGACGACTGCCTGGGCCGTTCCAGATACTTCAGCTAATTTTCATCGATCCAACGCCATCGTATTTGTAATCCTTACATATAATATATTGTGTTGCAATAAAAAAATAATTCGAAGCGATAAAATAAAATTAATAATGAAAGCAAGATTCCTTTCTACGATCACCGCGTTTCTACGATTGTAGAATCGCTGAACTAAATATATTTCAATTACGGTAAACACAACAACTTTAATAAAATGCAAATCCGAGTTATTGCATGTTACACATCCGTCCGTAATGGTACCGCACTTCTAGCAAGTCTTCGGCTTTACGATTGATTATGCAACGGAAGCAGTTGAGCTACTATAACTATATTACTACATACACACGTTTTCGCAACGCCTATAATTAAATGTGTTTTGTGATGTGATAATCGATTTTTTTTTCATTCTTCCTTATTAATTTAAATGATGATCTATTTGTTTTCCACTTGATGCATACAAAACGAATGTATATACAAGTGATTGTTTTTATTTACTTCATCGATGATGGATAATTTGTATGTCTGCTATTATTTTTTCGCTTTCTATTGGCATTTTTATCAGAAGAAGTATCTGTTTTCTATAGTACAATTGATTAAAATATAAACAAAATAAATGAAGACACGAGTGGATGCGTTTACTTATAGAATTAAACAATTTAGTAAATGTTACATTCTTCTAAAATGTTGAAAATATGCAAGTTTGGTAGAATGTGCGGCAAAAGTAGCACAGCTGCTCTACGATAAAACAAAGTAACCAACATTTTTGTCGAAATTGATATTTTGACATTGACTATACTCCCTTTCTTCCTATTTCACATGGAAAGGTTAATCATGTAAATTAAAATGAAAAACAACGTATAGTACTATATTTTGTTTCTCCTTAAAACAATGATATATTTTAAAAATGTTCTAAAAGAGTAACTGCAGAGTAACTGTCTCAAAACAAATTTCCACAAGAAATTTCTACAATATAATAGCAGTTTTAAAATCCTCATAAAAAGTTGTATTAGTCATCAATTACATCAACAGCAAAAATTATAGAAATATCCTCCATGCAACGTTTTGAACTATTTTTGGTTCTCCTGTAAAATTGTATCTGAAGTAGATACTTTGTTTTACCGTAAAGCAACCGAGCACCAAATGCCCTTATTGGTATCATTTTCAACTCCGTAAATTCGGCCGTCCAGTCGCTGCTGAAACTTTAAAAAAAAGCTGGTTAATTTGATTCCAAACGTGTGTTTGATATCTACACTTTGGTCATTATTCGTGTCAACACTTTTATTGCTGACGCCAAAGATTTCAATTTTTAATTATATTACTAATACTTCAAAGGTTGTACTATGTTTTGTAATATTTAATACTTTAAACTCCTTTTTTATTGCCATTGCAACTCCTCCTCCTTTTGTCTTACCTGATATTTCATTGTTTCTATCCGCTCTAAATAAATTATAAATATCCTGGTCTACTATTTCTCCATACCCCTTCTTTCAACCACGATTCCACTACTATTTTAATATCATAATTACCTTCTGACGAGTTGCTGCGAAACTCCGCAGCCTTGGTATTCAAACCTTATAATTTAGGATTCCCTGTAATATAATATAAGCAAATATAAACAAAGTGTTTTGACCGGTATAGTTTGGCTTTTTCTTAACTTTTCCAACAAAATCACTACCAGTAGATAAAAAAATAAAAATTACTTTTTTTTTGTAAAAAAATTTCACCTAGGTTTATTTTTAATGTCAAACAATTTCCTTTCTTCCGAAGATCATGAGTGCACACAAAATCAGATATTCTTTATAAAGCAGAAAACAGGTAGAAAATTAAGTAAAATAAAAGAGTAATCTAAATGATAATAATAAAAACTAATTTATTATTATCATTTTTTTTTCTTTTCTTTTCTTATTTATATTGAATTCTAATAACTAAATCATGCCTAGATGTTTTAAAAATTATATTGGTTCTCTTTTCATAAATATATCTAGGCATCTATACTAACAAAACTGTTTTACCTGGAAAAAGTAAAAAAAGTGATATAGAACGTAAACAAGGCGAATTCACAAACCAACTTTAGTAAAGCAGTCCATACACGTGAAACCCAGTTAAAATTAAATGTACGTTTCACTTTCGATTTTGCGAATGTTCTCATTTTCTTTATTTCTTTTTCTTTCCATACTTATTCTTGCATTTCTTTAAAATTTGGTAATTTTTGGTCGTCAGTTGTTCATTTAAATATATTTCAGTTCCTTTTAGCGTGTTTTTGAATTTTAATTTCTCGTATTTTTTTAAGTAGGATATAAAATCCACTGTTACTGTACGAGGTCTATTTTTTCATTAGTGTTTTTAAGAGAATCTGAAATTTCAGATATTTTATTTGACACTTCTTCGATTTTTTGTTCCATATTATCAAATTTTTTTTCAATTTTTTTCATTTATATGGATAAAATCTGCAATTGTTGATTCCATTATATTAAATCTTTTATCCAAATCGTTGTTTAAAAAATATAGAATAAAATATATAATGACCCACCAGAAGGTATATAGCTAAGTTTGAATCGCCAATATACTTTATCCACCAACAAATATTTTGCGCTCATGATGTAGTAGATACGGACCTTAACTTGTACGAATATTATTTTCAGTTCCGCAAACGCCAAAAAATGGGAAATAGAATTGGCAACATTGAAAAGCAATAACGCAAGATTAACTAGCGCCCTTCAAGAAAGCACGGCAAACGTAGACGAATGGAAAAGGCAATTAGCTAGCTTGAAGGAGGAAAATATGAGAATGAAGGCTAAATATCAGGCTGATTTAGAAAATAGCAAAGGTATATTTTTCAGAATTTCAAAAAGTTCATTTCAAATTTGTATTTTTTTTTTAGGGGGAGGCGATCTAGCAGACGAACTTAGAAAAGAAATTCAAAATTTAAGAATTCGAGTAGAACAATTAGAATCTGAATTGGCCAGTAAAAATAGCGAAATAAAACTTCTCGCTTTATCTGATAATACGACTGAACTACAAGTAAGTGAATTAATCCCACATATTAGTTATTAATCAAACAGGAGTTAGTTAAGCAAATTAAAACATAACTTTATTAGAGGTGTAATTGACGGTGGTCCCAATAAAGCGTCTATAAAAGTGACAGGGTCCTGTTAAAATGGCTAAGAATTTATCAAACTCATTGGCCAACATTTTTTTAACCGTCGCCGTACCAAAGGTGAGTAAGCGATGACCAGAAATCTAATTTTTCAGGAATATCTCGTGGCTCCGTGATTTTTTCCGGAGATATTTTGTGAATTCTCCTAATTTATGACAAGAATGTTGCCTTTGGAATGAATTTTCCAAAAAAAGCAATTTTTCCCCGGAAAACTGTCAATGGTTTTGGAAAACAGCGGTATACGCTAAAACTCCAACTCGACAAGCCGTAGCAAGATTTTTTTTTCGTTTTTTTTTTTGCGCGTGTTCGAAATTTCTTGCTTTGGCCTTCAGTCTGCAATTGAACATTACTCAGTCCAGTCTATTTTTTTGTGAATAAACAATAGTGAAGTGCGATGTTGTCTAACAAAAACGGTCTATCCGATAGGGACCTCTACGAAATCCTGACACAGTCTTCAGATGACGAGTTTGAAGAAGAAATACCTTTGGAGCAGGCATTTAGTGATTTCTCAGATGTTGAGGACGTAGAAGCTGAGAGACTTGAAGGCAGTGTTTCAGCAGAAGAAGATGAAGAAGTTCAATTACCGGATTCGCCAGAAGACGAAACAATGAGCAATAGGCAGTCGCACGATGTAGATAATCGTACTTGGTGTACTGTAGCACCTAAAACAGGAAAATCCAGATCATGCAATATCTTGCAAGAAAGCAAAGGCCTCACAGATACGAATAAGAATGTGAATTCTATTACTGACTGTTTCAAACTGTCCTTTTCTGATGACTTGTAAGATATTATAAAATACACAAACAAAAAGGCTAATGACTCCATAAAGACCTATAATGAAAGCCATGAAGACAAATGGAGTCATGGATTGAGATGGACACTACAGAAATGATTGCTTTCTTAGGAATTTGTATCCTCACCGGTAGATTTCGTGAATCAAGAGAAAGTTTACGAGATTTATAGTCGACTACCAGCAATGCTTTATCAGGTGACTATGTCCAGAAACAAGTTTTCATTCATTCTACGTCACCTCCGTTTTGATGATCTATCTACAAGAGCTGAGAGAAAGGAGCAAGATAAGCTTGCCCGATTCATAAGATTACCGATATATTTGCCAATAATTGCGGAACATCTTGCAAGCCTTCAGCTTTTGAGACTATTGATGGTAACTTTCCGAGGTCGTTGTTCATTCAAAGTTTATATACCAAGTAAACCAGGCAAATGTGGTGTAAAGGTATGGGCCCTTTGTGATGCTGAAAATTTCTATTGCTGCAATTTTGAAGTATATTTAGGAAAATTGAATGGCATAGCAGAAAAGAGTCAAAGTCCTCCAGTCGTAAAAACTTTAGCAAGCCACTGGACATTCAAAAAAGAGCAACCTATTCTTACAGTACCAAAAGGTGTACGTTTATTTTACAGCTGGCTTGACGTTGCTGCTTATAATGTATTCGTTGTCTGGACTCTGAAAAACCCAGACTGTTAATCAAGATGTGAAGATTGAGAATAAAAATGTATTTCTAGTGATTTACCAAAATAAAAATAAATGCATTCTTATTATCGTGATAAAATATTTAGTTTGATGTTTTTCTTTTGCAGTGACTTATCTTATGTCTTACCTTATTTTATGAATAAAAAGTTTATATTGTTTTTTTTTTTTTGTAATAAAAGTAAAGCATAATATAAAGACATGTTTTATTATGATTCCCAAGGTTTTGTATTCAAAAACCACTAAAAAAAAAGTTTTATATCTGGGTCTATTTTGACCATGTTCTGGAATCGAAAGTTTTAAAATTATTTAGGTACGGCGAGGGTTAAATATGTTATGCTCACCTGTGAAGAGTTATTCCTGATATTTTCTTTTTATCTACCATCTGCTGCATTAAACACGTAAGTAAAGGGACAACAAGAGTTCTAGCACAATCCTTATGTAAATTAACATGGGAAATCGGTAAGGTTCATTCTGCCAATTTTTGTCCATATAAAGGTCACTTGTCTGATCCGGATCAGTTCGGGAACAGTACCAGATCAGTTCTGGTTAGGTCAGGTCAGGTTGGCAACAGTTGGCTGGTGACTTCATGATACGTGATTGTTCCCGAACTGATCCGAATCTGACGAGCGACCTTGATATAGACAAAAATTGGTAGAATGAACCTTAGCGATTTCCCATGTTAATTTACATAAGAATTGCGCTAGAACTATTGTTGCCCCTTTACTCACGTAGATCACCATATGATACGATGTTTTATATAATAAGAAATGAATAAAAAAAAAAACAGTAACTGACAAACATTAAATTATTAAATAAGAAAAAATAAACAATATTTGCTGACTCAAATAACTCTAGTATCAGTGTGGCGTTAATGGTGCTTCTTTAATGTCATTTCTTCTCCCTTTCATATTGTCAGCTAGCCATTCTCGAACATTCCAGACTTGCTATCAAACAAGTTAGACTGGTACCTTCACCAAAATTGTTATTTCGTTATCATTCATCGAAGGGTCTAGAATAATAATTCACTTCGATTCTATGGGCTTATAGGTATTTTGGCTTTGGCTCCACTGTACAGCACGTTATTTCGTTGTCTTTGGCCTCTATCATATTTTTCACTACTTACCTATCTGTTTTCTCTATTTCCTCTATTCATTTTTCATAGAAGCCATATCAATAGACACCGTCTTTTCTAAGAAAGAAATATTAAAAGAAACTTTATTTTCTAAATAAGAAACCTATTTTCCAAAGAAGAGACATCAGAAGAAATTTCATTTTTCAAAGAGAAGATAAAAGTTGAAATTATAGTAGAAGATGCATTATCTGAAAATACCAAACCCTGGCCTTCTATGGCTTGTTTAAGTAGTTCCACCAATACTGGTTTATTTCTTGTTGTTTCCAGTTCAAGATCTTCTTTAGTCCACCTCCGAAACCCCTATGGACACCGCCAGTCAAAGTTAATCATCGTTCTAGATTGTAATGGACCCTTCGAAGAATGATAGCGAAACAACAATAAATATCTCAATGGTCGTAACATTTGTCATGTTTTACTATTTGCAGAAAGAAAATCAAGAACTCCAGAGCACAATCAAACTAGCACAATCAGAACTAGAGATCGCCCAAAGCACATATGAATCCCAAAAGCACATACTCTTGACGCTGAACCAACAGCTCGCCTCCAGGATACACGAGCTGGCCACCATCCACGACGAAATGACGACGGCGCTACAGACATGAGATAGATAGCAACAGAACAAAGATCGCGTTTATATAGCGTACGTATAAGATCTGATTTTATTTTGTAGGGAGTGGACGGCCCTGTAAATTATCGCGATCAACTATATTCAACGGTTTTGTATTAAATATCACAATGATACGGAAAACAATTATTTATGTTTATATTATGGCCTATAGAGTACAAGTTAGCGTTTTACAGTTATGGAACAAACGGTTTTTCTGTGTTATCTAGTTAATATTTTGAATTCTGCATATTCAAGCCCCACGTTGGGCGCCAAACTGGTACGTTACTCGTAGAGAAATTTAGTCTATTAAAACTTTTTACAACTTTACGACCCGTAACAATCTAAAGTATTCAAGTAAAAACATTTATTTCAAATAATTTTCATAAATATGATTTAATTTTTTTTTCACGTATACCAAATAGGTATAAATAATCGGAACTTTTCATGTTTCTCTTTTGTTTACGTTTCGTGCCTACGAAATCTATGAAAATACTTGTGTCTACCGGAAAATACAGGGTTGTGCACTTCCATTATTTTTTTTTGTAAGTTAATTGTGTACCTAACCTATATCGGAAGTGTTTCAGCACGCTTAAAATATGTGTCTCGTTTTATAAAAAAAAAATCCGAGTTGAACATTTTTAACTGTTAAATAGGTATGGTTTGAGTGCTTGTCGTTTCTCCAAATTTAATTCTTTTGTTTCACAAGAAAAAATTTGTTTGGGCTTCAAAGGCGTATTATTTAACAATAATTCAAGAATAATAGTTGACTGAGGTTTCTATATAAGAAATATATTTGAACATAAACCCACAGAAAAATCAATTGGAGTAAAATCCGGTAATCGTAGATGCTATTACAGTTGTACGGACGGCTATTATTATTATTATTATTTGCCGTGGCGCTCCGGGGCGACTTAAAGATGATTGATGGTGCCATTTGACTTACAGGTGAGGAAAACCTCACCCACCATCATCGAGACGGTAATGCATAGCGATTTTATATTCTGCATGTCATATCAACAGAAACTGATTTTCTATTAATACGGCACACATCAAATCCTATACCGAATCATGCAATTTAATTAAAAATCCACATGGTCTGGGTGGGATTCGAAGCCCGTCTGTCTCTGGCCATAAACTTGCTTATAAATGTATATAAGCGCGAGAAACTGCTACACCACCGACCCGATAACTAGTACTACAATTTAAATTTTCTAATTAAGATTCCATTATTAGCAATTGTTTTTATTGTATATTTTCCTTGGTAAATTATAATCATTCGTAAATAAAGTTTCCTTAATCAACAAATATCTCTAAGAGATTGCCATATAATTCATTTCTGAACAGCAATGATGAAAATAAAACTAAATAAAAATTAGAAAATATTGAACTCACAATGGCAATCATAACAAGACTCACAAGAACTAAACTTAAACGACTACACCCAATCAGTTCCAAGTACAAACAAGAAGAGACGATTACTCGATCCAAGATTAACCATTTATTTTGATACTCCTGAGAAACCGGTTAAATTCGGAACGCGGTTGGCTGAAACATTAATTTAAATGTCAATTCACCAACCGGTATATTTCACTTCCGATTCTGACACCGTGGTGTCAAGATTGAAATGGCGGTCTCAGAATCGGGAGTCTCGTGTGTATGTGTCTCTGTAAAAATCTTGATTATTAGTGAATCTTGCCTTAACAGGATTATGCATCCTGTGAGGAAGTTTCAAATACATATTTTAATTATATTACTTGAGGGTATTCAATTGCCGAGAGCAAGACAACGATACTCTCCTGTTTTGATAGCTGGGTAAATTGCCCTGTAGGATATAGCCCAAAAAAAGGAGGAAGAAGAAGAACCGGTATATTTTTAGAGTTACTGTTAAGTCGAATGTCATTCTGTCACGCGAGTCTCGGACTTTTTTCAGGAACTTAAAAAATACCGGTCAGTTACGGTTGGTTGTCGGTTACTCGCTCTAAAATTAACCATTCTGCTAGATATTACTGAAAAACCGGTTAAATTAAGGACGTGTTGCCCAAAAAATGGTAAATCAAACGTCAATTCATTAACCGGTATATTTTTACGGTTACCGTTAAGTAGAATGTTGAGCTGACACGCGATTCTCGATCCGTGCTCCAACTGTAACCAACAAATGTCGATTTTTTTAGGAACTGCTCTCAAAAATACTGGTTTGTTACCGTTAATTGTCGGTTACTCGATCCAAAATTAACCATTCTGCTAGATATTCCTAACGGTTAAATTCGGGACGCGGTTGGCTGAAAAATGTGATTTAGACCTCAATCTACTAAACGGTATGTTTTTACGTTTACCGTTAAGTTGAATGTCAATCTGTCACACGATGCTCAGTTCGTGGTCCAAATGTAACCAATAGATATCGATTTTTTCAGGAAATGCTTCAAAAATACCGGTTAGTTACGGTTGTTTGTCGGTTACTTGGTCCAAAATTAACCATTCTGCTTGATATTCCTAAAATACCGGTTAAACTACGGACACTTTGACAGAAAAATTCATTAACCGGTATATTCTTTCAGTTACCGTTAAGTTGAATGTCAATCTGTCGCGAGTTTCTTGGTCCGGGTTCAAAATGTAACAATTATGCTTTATTTTCCTGAAAAACCGGTTAAATAAGGCACGCGATTGACTGAAAAATTTATTCAAACTTCAATTTACTGAACGGTATATTTTTACGGTTACCGTTAAGTTAAATGTCAAACTGTCACTGAATTGATGCGACTCTTGGTTCGTGGTCCAAATGTAACTAGCAAATATCGTTTTTTGTTTTCCTTTTTTCATTTAGGTACCTCTGTCAAAAAATACATATGCATTTGATATTAAATGAAACAATAAACAAATGATTAAAATCATAACCATCCTCTTGCGATCTAGTAATTAATTTGAACCATTTAGAATATTAGTTTATTTTTTATCATCTATTACTCGCTTGTGGATAATAAAAATTTTTTTGGAGAAACGGTTCGCAATATAACGAAATATCCGAATCATGTACATAAAGCCCAAAAAATAAATAGCATTAGCTGCCTTGTAGAACAAGTATATCGCCCACTAGTCAAGGTATTATAAATAAAAAAATTTGTTTAACGTTGCAAGAGCAATTAACTGTGCCATTGAAAAGCAATTGACTTATGCGAAACAATTTTTTTTTTAATATACTATATAAAATTATAAAACTCTTCTCGGTATTTTGAAGTGATTTCAATTTTTTCTATTTTTACGTTGGTTATAATTTTGTTTTGATAATTTCGTTTCGAGTTCAGAAACTTTACACTGCTACTGTTTTGAAACTATTGGTCTGAGGACAAATATGTTCATAATTTTGATAGAAAATTGAATTATCTTTAATTTTGCATACCTATCGTGATTTTTATCGTAATATTGATAGAAAATGAGTAATGACGAAAAATCGAACTTCAGTACCAAATTTATATATTTAAAGTTAATAATTAAAATCGGGTCATTAAGAAACAAAAATATGTGACTCAGAAAACCTTAACCCGTTTAAAAATATACAAAAGTTCAAATCTGTCGTAACCATTGTGGTTGAAGCATTTCATAATATCGAGAAATGTTTTATTTATATTGTAATCCAACACGCACACGTGTGCTCCTAATTAAATAATAAAAAAAATGAATATTAAAAACTCAATAAAATATATTATTATACACGCAAGTTGACTGTTTCGCTGATATTAAAAACTAACTATTATTACACTTTATTGTTCTGTAAGGTATATAAATTAATAAAATTGTACGTACCATGCGGTTTTACATTGTTTTTTAGATTCTGACAGTTTATATTTTCCATTCGTAGGATTCCCGCCATTTTTATAAGTAAAATTATGATTAAAGCTTAGGAAAGATAATTTCTATTTTTTCCAGTATTAATGCCTGTTTTGTGAGATTTTTTGTGATAAACAGGTCGTAGAAAAAGTGTATTTTAGTTCATAAACTAGCGAAATGTGAGCATACATTTGGTGAAAGAAATTATTGTATTGATTGAGAAAAAGGTCAAAGTGGTAGGAAAAAACAAGTCAAACTTTAATATTTTTTATAGGTTTATTGATCAAATAATTTATTTAAAAAGTAGAGATAAACAAAATCGACAAAATAACTATAAATCTAACCTAATCATATAAATAACATTACCGTTAAAATTGATGCTTTTCATCCGGCTCGAAGGACCACGAATAGAATTCAAAGTTAATCTTATAATTAATACTTCGAGATGGTTTTCATGAATCTTTTAATTTGCACCTAAATTTATAATAAACAATATTAAATAATTTTAGCAATATTTAATAATTTAGATATCCAGTTCATTGTTTTGAAAATAATTTTTTTATTACAATATAAACATCGAATTTGAAGTGAAATTGGAGTAAGTTTAAAGTAACTACATTATGAAATAAACATTATTAATTAAATAAAGGATTTTATTTCATATACAGGATGTTAATTTAATATATTCAAATCTAAATACGAGGCCTGTCTAAAAAGTATCCGACCTTTGGACAGAAAAAATATTTCGAATACCTGACAGAGTTAGGACCCTAACCCTCTTTAAAGTAGGCCCCTTGTGCTTGCACACACTTAGCTCATTGATCCTTCCACTGCTGGAAACACCTCTGGAAGTCTTCTTTTGGAATGGTGTTCAGCTCCGTCGTCGCGTTCTCTACTCTCAAAACGGGATCCTTTCAGTGCGTCTTCAATTTTGGAAACAACCAGAAGTCGCAAGGAACCAGGTCTTGAGAGTAGGGAGGTTGACGAATTGTTTGGCTTTGAGAATCACCAAGCTTTTGACAGAATTTGATGCAGTATCTTTGCTCAATTCGTTCAGTCATCTTGCGAGAAAATTGCCAGCCAGCGACTTGCACAAGCGAACGCGTTGAAAAAATTTAAGCATGCGCATTAAGGTTCCTCCTTCCACCGTGCACAGTGGCGCCGCCTTAGAATCACTACTTTGCGCGGAAAAAAATTAAGGTCGGATACTTTTTAGACAGGCCTCGTACATTTATTTGTTGTTTATTAATCCTAACTTTTGGTTGGGATTGTCTCTAACTGCTCTACATTGATTTCTTTTTATTATGTCACTAGTTTATCTTATCATTATAATTATCAATCGGTTGAAAAATGGTTGGAATTCTACTTACTTTTCCGTTGACAACAAATTTTGCGATTGTCTATAAAAATTTCAACATTTGGAGAAAAAATAATTTACCATAGATCCAATTCCTGTCATGGGAAAAATCGTTTCGTAGTTCTTCCGATAAAATAATATTAGGCAATCCAACCGCATCCCAAAAAAATCCAATATGGCCGACGATTAGCAAAAACAGAAATACGAGGTGTCCCAGAAACATACCGCCAAACTTTAAAGGGTGATAGGAAACTTTTTTGTTTAATAAACATATATCCACAAATGAACTGTTTGAGAAGAAAAAAATTATCATTTTTGTTTATTTTGGTGATTAATAATTAATAATATCTAATAATAATTTTTAAAATGTTAAAGACTAAATAAAATTACAATAATTGTTAAAAATATTGACCATTTGCTTCAATGCAAAAATTAAAGTGTTCATTGACTCGCGGGCCCTATGGAATATTCCTGGAATAGTTTATACATATGTAAAGCCCATTATTATTGCTAAGAGATCGTCCTCAGGCATTTACTTTACACTAAAGATTTCAGATAACCCCAAAGGAAAAAATCTAGGTGTTTCGAGATCTGAAGTCAGGTTTCTTTCAACCCATCGCCGAGGAATTCGCTGGTTCAAATACTGGCGCTCGTTTAAACCAAAATGTGCATATTGAAACCACATGTTATTTCTAATTTCTAAAGGGACATTTTCTAATAATAGAGACAGAAAATGGAGATAAATGCGTTCAAACGAGCAGGCAGCAAGTGATGTATTAGATTATCTGCAACAATACCAGCCCACATGTTTACAAAAACTTGTTGCTGGTGTCTTTTAAAGACCGCACCATGAGAATTTTAATCATGCTAAATGTGGCTGTTTCTATTATTAAAATAACTATCAGTAAACAATTTTTTTCGTAGTGAGGGTCTATTGAGTTATGATCCAAAAACCATTGGCAGAAAGCTAATCGATGTGGATAATCTTTAAGATTTAAAGCTTGTACGCGTTGTAAATCGTAGGGGTGGATTTGTTCATGCAGGACACGCTATACCATAGACTTGAAGGATCTCGTATGGTGTGCAATTGCGTGAAAGTTATGTTATGTTGGGAATGGGGTGTTATTGTGATCTAAAAGATCTATTGTGCAGAATATGAATGATCGTTTTGTCCTCCTTCTCCTCCTCATAGAATCTTATACTACTCTCAGTTTACTCAGTCGCAATGCCCAGTAAGGACCCCTGTTTCAATGTGTAGCTGGTTCTTGTTCAAACAGATATATGCTTCCGATCTTTTCTAGTTATATTCACCCAGAAGTATCAGCCTGTCTTAGCCCCAAGAGATTAATCCAATTATCAGCTCTTCTACTGCCAATTCTTTTTTAATCTCTCCTAATATTGTGTTACTGCTGATACCGCAGAACGGCTCAGATCCCACAAAGGGTATTTGAACCCCTTTTCATGCAATCTCGTTATACCCCGTTATATCCTGGGACCCAAGTGAGAGTAACTATATTTCCTCGACTAGCTCATCCAGTTTTTCTAGGCATCTCCAGACTATGGCTCCATTACTATCGGACATGATGATATAGTCTCTACGAAGATTTATCGTGGATTTATTTTCCTCCACACGGTGTAGAATTCCTTCGAATTCAACTGTACCAGCTGTTCTTGGACAACCACCACACCAGTGATAGGATTCTGGACTGAGGGAGTAGTGCTTCCCGATAGAGCCGATATTTTGTCTTCGTCAGTGTAAAGACGAAGTAAACAAGAAAGATAAAGACAAAATATTTGTTCTGTTGAGGAAGACGAATCGATCAATAGTACGCTTTAGGTTCCCCCTTTCTTTACGGCGAAGATGGTTAGAAGCAAAGGTTATGTGATGAGGTTGCAGGCATTCTGGATATATTTGTTCATACAAACGTCCAGCTTTTCTTTCAGTACAATTGGACGCACTATAAGCAAGGTGCATATCAGGAAGTTCTTGAAATGGGTCCATTATCGTCCATTTTAAACATAAATTTTGAATTAAAAAATAGTAATACGGTTTTAAAATTGACAGCTTTGGTAAAGAATGTTTCTGCTCCCCAACAAAAAATGTAGTTGAAAAAAAAAATGTCGAACGAAAGTCAGTGGTGTTGTACTAAATGAAGAATAAATTTAGTTATTTCAAACGGCTCATTTGCGACATATGTTTGTTTTCTTTTAATTTAATTCTGCAAATTTACAATCAACTATTAAAGTACATAGAACTATAAGAAAACGAGTAAGGCAGGAGAGGGGAAATTATCCACTGATGAGCCTCCTGTATTTACTGTGGTTCATTCATTGTGGTTTGGGGCCTCCATTAGGTCTTTTAAGTCTTCTTCTGATATTAGGTGGATTACTCGTCTCAGTTATATATCGGTTTTCCGTTCCTGTAGTTTCTCTTTTTAGATTATTGACATTCTTTTTATTTCATTGGCGACGTATGCAATTTGTAGTACTTTTGATTGTAATCTTTGAATGATTTGTTCTGATTAATTTTAATTATCCACGTTTTGAATAAGTTTTAAAGGACGTCGAGGTGTTGCTTATGGTGGTTTGATGCTACAGCTGGATCTTCGTTTACTGCTAGTATAGCAATAGTTGTCTGCAGTATAAACCAGTTAAAGCAGTGGCCCGAGCGCACATAGGACGACGTCTTGAAACCGTCGTGTTGTACTTTGGAAATATCTTTCAGATAAATAAGATTTCATTAGCAGATAATGTGTTTTTAATTTCTTATAATAAACCCGTGTGCCAGACCTTGTCAAAGGCTTGGGCGACATGCTGTTATACAATATGCCTTCTCTTCAAGGCTCGAGATAATTTTGTTTAATTGTGGAATGTTTATTAAAGAAAAAAGTATATTTTGATTTCCCCAGTCACCTCTTAAAGTTTGTCGGTGTGTTTTTCTTACACCCTGTATATGTGACAAAGTTTGTTGACTTAATTTTTTCATTGTTGTTTATTGTAAATCGCAGCAAATTTGTAATTATCTAAAAGATTCTGCGTTAATTTATTAATTGGTGAAGTGTTTGACAATCGTCCACCATTTTAAGTCGCGTAATTTGGATTATCTAATTTTTATACTTAATAATAAAAATTACTTTGACAAATAAGCAAACTGATAATACTAAATGAAATCATTACATACAGAATAATTCTAAATTATGGTTTAAAACGCTTTAATGAAGATACTTTTACGTCCTTTAGAATCACCGTGTATATATTTTTGATTCATTTGTGACATAAACGGGAGTTAAAAAAAATGCAGTATTAGTAGAAATAATTTGAATCTAGGGTGTTATATTTAAAAATTATTTATAAAATTTTAAAAATCCATTTGTTGAAATTATTACAACCAATTATTCCGATAGCTGTTTATTATCACTGCTTTTAAACATTGACAGAACTAGCCAAATTTTTATTACCGCAAACAATAGATGTTTAATATACAGTGAATAAATAAGCTATTGATGATGATAATAATAATAATTATAAAATATGCTCAATGTATTTATTTGTAAGTTTTATAATTCTTTTTTAAGGTTTTAAAAATATTTTTGTGGCATTATTTTTAAAACATTTCCATTAAATTTCAATTTTTTTTAGGTTTTTAAGCTTTAGTAGATAGTAAGAACTGACAAATTATTTATTATTTTATACTGTTATTTTGTATGCGAAAGTTTTTAGATTTTATTTTTTTTTTTGTCGAAAAACTATAACATTGTTAACATTGAAAATAAAAATCTGTTAATCATGTCAAAACATTACGTATTTAATGTTATTGTCGAACTAATAATAAAAGACCAAATTATTAGAACATTTTGTTTATAGAAATATAAATTTTCAATTTGATTTTGTAGTTTTTTTTATAAACCTATTGGAATTAGGGCTTGGCGATTATCAAAATAAATAATCGATTATTGATTAATCGAAAATAATCAATTAAAAATTATCGATTAATTGAAAATAATTGATTAATTGAAAAAATCGGTTATTCGATAATCGATTATTTTTTATTAATCAATTATTAAGTGAAAATAATAGAAAATCGAATATAACCGATTAATCGAACATAATCGATTAATCGGTTATTTTTTATGAATCAATTAGTAAATGAAAATAATAGAAAATCGAACATAATCGATTAATCACAAGAATTATTAAACAAAATAATCGATTAATCGAAAAAAGTCTAGAGAAATAGTCAATATTCGGTCTATTAAACCCCTCGAGCAAAAACTCGAGCTCTAATCAGATTATTAATTCCAAAATTGTTTCATCAAATTAATACTAAAATATTCTCGAGATTTAGACGCAAAAACATAGGTATTTAACAAGATCTAACATTTGTGGTATCAGGATTACCAGGGATGTTGCGATACCAGGAAAGTATCGAAAAGAGTATAGGAACCAAAGTATCGATACCGCTATCGAAAGAGTATCAATCAAAGTATCGATACTGACATCGAAAGAGTAAAGTACCGAAAGCAAAGTATTGGGTACTAAATTACCCTGTATCCAAAGAAAAGTATTGATACCAGTATCATCGCAACATTCCTAAGGATTACAGAAGAGCAGGAAGGTATTTTAAAAAGGTAGGAAATTTAAGTTTCTTAATCACGGTGTCGTATAATTTATGGTAACACAAAAATAAGTTTCGTAGTCAAATAGTCATTACTATTTTTAATAACGCAAAATCAACGTATCGATTGATACCTTTTTGCCAGACTAACCTAAGTGACATTTGTTTGAATTGTACTTACGAAAGTCTGGCAAAAGGTATCAATATGTTTTAACCTAGATAACTCTTAAACGGCACTAGATAAAGAAGATATGCAGGGTATTACAACATAGAGAAGACATTAACAGAGTGACAATCTTAATTCAAATTTCTGGAAGCATGTTCCATGAGTATTAATTTAAAATTAGGCGGTAGCATTAAAAAACTGTTAGCAATGAAAATTTGTAACTTTGTACACAAACTCGATATTTTTAGCAGAATTGCGGAAAATATCGATTTAAGTACAATGTTACAAATTCAATAACTACAGATTTATATTTTGAACAGGTAATGTCATTAAACAGAAGGTATTAAGTAAATGTACATAAAGAACACATTTTATATTGCAGCAATGACACAAAAATCTAAAAAAATAAACATTAAAATCACTTACAAAATAGTGAAATAAAAAGAAAAATTCTTTGGTTGCACAAAATAGTAAAAAAATATCACTTAAGTCACTCACAGTAATTTTAAAAACCATTGATTTCTCTTGGTTTATTTGTCAAGAATATTCTGTCCATAATTTAATATTGTGACATTTATCTCTTTAAGTTGTACCTAAAAATTAACTCCAATTTTTAGTCGCCAGAACATGGAATTGCCTGACCTGCAGTGAGATTCTCATCTGTCAATACAGCATATATCGAGACGCCTATCTTCATTCGACAGATTGCGATTCCTATGAAATGTCGTAACGTGTTAAATTCGCACATAAGAATCCCTGTTTTGATCTATTAATTCTGAATTCCTTTTGTCATGACATCCCCTCGTCTTGGGTTTGGACATGATTAATCTGAAATAAATACAGAAATTGGTTAGGCCATGAAACCACATATTCTGTGGTCAAAAATAACTCGATTGAACCTAGCTTAATGCAAAAGTGCACACAAAAAAGTTACAGCCCTTGGAAAGTACAAAATGAAAATCGATTTTTTTACAATATTTCATGAACTGTTTAACATATTTTTTAATGAAAATGGATTCATGGCTTTCTTATTGCAAGAGCATCTTTTTCACATAAAACCACGACGGGTACTTTGCGACCGCAACTTGCTAGTAAAAGTGGTCGTCCAAAAATGGATACAAACGGTGAGATTTTAGAATTAGTCAAAGAAAACCTTGGAAGCAGTACAAGGGTAACAGCTCATCAAATAGAGTTGGTCACATAATCGTTTGGAGAAGTTTGAATTAACAGCAGCTTCATTCCTATCACTAACAAACGTTCAAGCATTACTAGATGAAGATTATCCTAAAAGAATGAGATTTTGCGACTGGTTCTTAACGGAAAACACATTTGTACATATTTTTTATATCGAATAACATGAATACTCAGTTATAATTTACTTTTTTGTTACTCAAAAGTATTGAAGGATATCATTAAAAAGAGGCCGCATCTCGATACAAACTGGCTTTTCGAAAAAGTGCTAGCCTTCTGCGTTTCTTCTTCGTCTTCTCCGTCCTCGTCTTCGTCTTCTTCATCCATCTTCTCTGCCATCTTCTTCATCATCATCTTCTTCTTCGCCTTCTTCATCATCATCTCGTTCTTCATCTCGCACTTTATCTCGTTCTTTATCTCTTTCTTATCTCGTTCTTCATATCGTTCTTGATACCTTTCTTCATTTCGTTCTTCATCTCGTTCTTCATCTCGTTCTTCATCTCGTTCTACATCTCGTTCTTCATCTCGTTTTTCATCTCGTTCTTCATCTCGTTTTTCATATCGTTCTTCATCTCGTTCTTCATCTCGTTCTTCATTTCGTTCTTTATCTAGTTCTTCATCTCGTTCTTCATCTCGTTCTTCATCTCGTTCTTTATCTCGTTCTTTATCTCGTTCTTCATCTCGTTCTTCATCTCGTTCTTCATATCATTCTTCATCTCGTTCTTCATCTCGTTTTTCATCTCGTTCTTTATCTCGTTCTTCATCTTCTTTCTCTTCTTCGTCTTCTTCCTCTTCATCCTTTTCTTCGTATTCTTCGTCTTTTTCCTCTTCTTCATGTTCTTCATCTTCTTTGGCACATTCCGGATAATACACCAAAATTCTGGACTTTTCCTCTGGTAGTCCTAGCCGAAAATGTAAAAAAAAACGTAAATTTATAAAAAGGTACTTTTATTTATATTTTTTATTTTGTTTATTGATGTTTCTGGCAAACGTTAAATAATCAAATATTTTAAACCGAATAAACAAAACTCAATAAAAAAAGTAGTACACATCTTCGTAGAACGGTTACATAAATTATTCTTACAAAAACACGTTTTATTAACATCATCGTCAGTTTCAAACACTATACATCCCGATTTTAAACTGTTGCTTTCTCTATCGACATCATTCGAACATCCTCTGATAGTTACACATTCTTCTTTAGAACAACTGTAGGTGGTAAAACAGTAACTTCCAATATGAGGCGGACAGTGAAACATCATTGACAGTTTTTCCAGAGGATTCGTTAACTTAAAGAAATCAACATCGCATAACGGGGTTATTTCACTTGATGTAGAGTTGCACTGGTAGCAAAGCAGACTTTCGGATCCATCTATATTCGGGTTTAAAATATCTTGATCGGCATTTAAAAAGGGGTTTATGCACATTAGAATTAGATATAAGTGACAGTTGTTCATAAATATAACAACAGCTGTCTACTAATGAAAGCTTAGACTAGGTAATAGCATAAGGTAGGTACAAATACCATTTTCAAAATCTGTTAAAAAGAACGACTTGCAAGGTCAACAAGGGGTTTGTCAACCCCAAAGCGAATTTTCCGACTATTTAATATGAACTACTTACAAGATCAAATAGGGTGTTTTTCAACCCCAAAAAGAAAATAGTCGCAATCAAATATCTCAGTTCCTAGACATAAAAATATATTTACTTTCTAGCATAGGGTAGGTACAAATACCACTTTTAAAATCTGTTAAAGAGAATGACTTGCAAGGTCAAATAGGGCGGTAATCAACCCCAAAGGAAATTTTCCGATTATTTAATAGGAATCAAATATCTCTGCTCCTAGACATAGAAACGTAAGTTAGGTACAAATACCACTTTAACCTGTCCTAAAGAGTACGACTTGCGAGATCAAATAGGGTGTTTTTCAACCCCAAAAATAAAATAGTCGCAATCAAATATCTCGGTTTCTAGACATAAAAATATATTTACTTTCTAGCATAGGGTAGGTACAAATACCACTTTCACAATCTGTTAAAGAGAACGACTTGCAAGGTCAAATAGGGCGTCAATCAACCCCAAAGGAAAATTTCCGATTATTTAATAGGAATCAAATATCTCTGCTCCTAGACATAGAAACATAATTTATTTCCAGGCATAAGTTAGGTACAAATACCACTTTAACCTGTCCTAAAGAGAACGACTTGCAAGATCAAATAGGGTGTTTTTCAACCCCAAGGAGAAATAGTCGCAATCAAAGGATGAGTAGAATGAATTTATCATCAGATGCCCAGTGTTTGGTAAAACATAATATATTTAGCGAGTACGTATTTGTAAAGACATCCAACAGATTAATTTTTGCTGACAAACTGTGAACATTTAAATGACAAAGTATAAAAAGCCACATCGGTATTAATTACTTCGTTTTCTTCCACATTGGCATTTTCATTGTTGGTTCCTTCGAGGAGAGTATCTGTTAAACTTAGAATATTTGTTAAAGTTGCGCCTTCTACGAAAAATATACTCGCTAATTTCTATTCCTTTGGGCCATGTTTCTGGTTTAAAGAGAATGTCCTTAAGGTCTGCATCAGCAGTGATTCCAAACGAATTTGATCCTATAACTTTGTTTTCAAACAAACTGCATGCAAATTCATGACCAGGAAATTTAGAATCCAATAACGCGAATGCGGACCCTCTAAATATTATTTTATTTCAATAAAAAATATTTGTTTTCTACATAATAAGACGCAGCTTTTCCACACTATTGCTATTTTAAATTATAAAAAAAATTGGATTTTTTCGCTCCATCCTATTGTTTATTTACCATGGTATAGTAGACTTTCTTAATCGTTTGGTGTTTGGTAGCTTTTCCGCGAGTACTAAAGACGCCATTTCCTATTTTGACTTTTTAAGTATTATTAATAGATATTTTTGTGTTTTGTGTTTGTATGCATTTATTTGGTTATTATATTAGTTATTAGTGTGTTAGGTTGTAAAACTAAAAAATAAATCAATAATTTGTTATTTATAATTCATATGGTATGAAAGGGAGAGGGGGCGGATAATTTTTCCCGCACACAGGCGGCAGCTATCGTAAGAACGACCCTGAATTCAGCCAAAAATGAAATTGTCAATTACTAATAAAAATATATACGAAAATCAGTTTTAACTTCTGGTCTATAAATACGATCTTTATACAGAGGGATATTACGTCCTTCCTCTAAATTTGGAGCTGATTAAATTCTATGGTTTTTCCACAAAAATACAGAATTTTAATTCTGACCTCATCCATTTATATTCGCATACATCTATCTACCTAAGATTCAGTAATGGCAGGAAATACTTTGGTTTACAATTTCCCGGTTTGTGATAAAAATTTCGTCAATAATTCATTTGGATTAAATCACAGCTTTGTGTTAAGATAAGTTTCCTTAAGTAAAGATACGCCTTGACCATGTTAATAATTTCGTTATTTTTTGTAATTTTTGGTTCTCAAGTGCTGTGTTTTAATTTCGATTTGGATTTTCCGATTATTTTTAAAGATCCTGAAGCAAGAAATTCTTCTAAGACTTACTTCGGATATGCCATCGCCATGTATCCTGGGAATGGTATGGGGGCTAAAAAGTGGTAAGTATTTAGTTATTAAGGTCATAAGTGTGTATCTTCTGTTTACTCTTTTTAGATAGATATTTAAATAATAATAATAATATGTCTTTATTAACTAACATCCAACAGAGAATAAATGCAAATATAAAAATAAAATAAATAATACTGTTTATACAGAAAAAGATACACAAATAATAAATTAAGTATGATGCCGGAATAATAATATATAGTATATACAAGGTAGCGCAAAATAAAGTCCCCTATTTGTTTTTTATATAAAAGTAAGATTAATTATAAAACAGTCATATTATAAATGAAAAATATTTATTTAAACTCTAAAAATTTGTTTTTTTACACACTAAAAACAATATCAACCAAATGCCCAACCCCAGCATTAATGCAATTATTATTATTAGTTTCGATAGCCTTCCTATATTCTTCTTTTTCTGATTTTCCTCTTAACTGCTAAATGGAAGAATATAGACATAAAACAAAAACGAGATAAACTAATATCCATGTGAGTGTAGAAAAAAATATTATGATATTTTTATTATAACCAGATGCATTTTACTTGAGACGAAAGATAGAAGGCGTTACTAACTTTAAATTTCCTAAAAGAAAGTAGGGTCACGTGATACCCCATTGGCAATATATTTTCATTATCTTTACGTCCATGCATAATAATCCTCGTATTTACTATTATTGTTTATTATTTTACGAATTAAAGAAACACAATATTTACTAAAATAAATTAATTAAAAATATCAAAGGTTATTTATCATCTATTTCGTTTATCTAAGATTTAATCAATTTTATTACATAAAACTAAGTCTATACTGTTATTCCTATAGGATTCGAATAGGCGCTCCCAAAGCTAATGACTCATTTCATTCTACTGTACCCGAACCAGGTATGGTTTATGACTGTGAAGTTTCAATTGGCTGTAAACCTATGTTTTTTCCACGTCATAATGAAGGTAAGAAATAATTTAGTTGATAGATAATATTAAAAAACCCAAGTAATACACAAAGTTATAAAATGTTAGTATACTTAATTAAAACGTTACAAAACACACGTAAACGATACAATAAATAACTCAAAATTTTTATAACTGATATAAAACTTTTTAATAGTGTAGAATCTAATAGTAGGACGTTTTTGTTAGAATTTGTTGAGTAAGATTTAACTATAGTTGTGGCAGCATATATATCGTCCTTAGGGCGGATAAAGCACTTTCTATAGATGATGCTGTTATACACTTTTTAGAAGATATTTCCAAATATTATTAGGCTCTTTTTACTGATGGTACTGTTAGAAAAATAAGAAGGGGAAAGTCAAAATTAAAGGATGTGGCAATATCATATACATTCCCAAATCTCCCTTTATGCTTGTATTATAACAATAAAAAATCTGTTAACTGTGTTTTATTTTGCTCTTAACTACTATATTTAGGTATAATTCAAAGAAACTTTGTCACAAAATTGTACTTACCACATTTCACCATTTAACAAATCTTTTCGAATTGGGTCATATCTACCTCAATTGCATTTTATATAGATAAAATTAAATAATTTATCAATTAAAACATGCGAGACTTATTTATTATGTGCTTTATTTGGAAATAAACGAGTTCATTTTTATTATTTTGACAAAATTATGTAAAATTTCCATAAGAAGCGATGCATTTTGAACAGAGGTACTAGCACCAGTGCCCTTACGGTGAATTAAAAAAGCTCAATTAGCGTTCGTTTTTTGGGACCGTATTTCCAGTATTCGATCATGAGCTATCACTCACCACCCCATGCCATTTAAATTTTTCGAAAGGGTTGCTCCCCTCCAGTAAGGGATGAAATTAAGGGTAAACTATTCATACAAAAATGTACATTGTAGAAATCAAAAATCGACGTGTCTCAGCTATTTTCCTAACAAGACTCCAGTAACGAGTTAGATAGGGGGTAAGACTTATGGTGCTCACTGTATAATGATCTAGAAGAACAGAATCACCGCCCCGGATTCGGTATCTCAATAAAGCTCTCAAGTTACCGTCGTTTGCAGTCGGATCTTCTAAAGTTAATTTTCCAGAGTCCCTATGTCCCCTTAATGTCATCTCTTGCCGCCCACAAAAAACAATTGAATCAATTATGGAAGCTAGAATTGCTCTATTTCGTTTTTGTTCTTCTTGATTTCGATTAAGCAACATTTGCTTAACATTCAATAGTTTGCTACTAGTTGTACTGCAAAAATTTTCTGCTAAAATGCAATCTTTTGTATGATATTGGTTGATGCATGATTGTTAAACTGTTCAATAACATCCTTCCAGTTTTTAAAAGCCGACGCAACAAAGTTTCCAGGTTTCTAATGTTTACCTTTACCAACATCAATCTTGTGATGAAAAAACACGCAACTTTTACAAAATACCCCTTTTAAAACATCAGAGTAAGCAAGCCAGTTAAACCTTTCCAGCCAATTTATTTGAAAATATCGCTTTTTATTTCCAATAATTTGAGGCTCCATTTTAGTTGTATTTAAGGGGCGCCATTAATTCTTTAAAATATTAAGTAGTTCGACTTCATTGTTTATTTTATCTTTAAATTCAACATAGAGACCAATGTCAAATTTATTTGAAACTTGGGGTTGTGGTTGAGGATCTGTGTCGAAATTACCATGTACGTTAGCGATACCTATGTCACTGGTAAGATTTGATATTGATTCTTCTTGATTCTCTACTGTAAATCTATCATGACCAAGGCTTGTTTCCTAAAAAAAGTACGATGTCACTGGTTTGGTTTTATATAGGATTTTTGTATTTTTGTGAAAACATGCTATGCGATATTATGCGATTTTATTTAGAGTGGGAAAATGATTATCTGACATAATTCGCTTAATTAATTTTCCGAATACGAATGTATAACTTGTTCATATTAATTTTATTGTATGACTAATAATTTCTTAATTCGGATACTTTTTTATTTTAATTTCGGGGGCCCCCCCTCTTGGCTACGCCACTTTCATTACAGTAGGCGTATTTGACTCTTTCATATAATGTCAAAAAATAGTTAAGGATTTTATTTTTAAGGCTTTAGTCCAATTAAATAACGAAAAAAAGCCCCTTCGAGCTTACATTAATTTGTAATTGGATGAAACAAAAAGGACCTTGTGTATTTTGATGTGATCTTTCCGAAAAAAAGAAAAAAAAGATGTAGCAGTTTTTCAATTTTTTTTAAATTAGGAAAAACCGGGTTTTCCGGAATTTTCCATTGTAAAAATGCTAATTATCTGGGCAAGTATCATTCCGATAGTGCACTGGTAGTTTTAATGGCGAATTTCTCGCCGCCAGAAGTGCTTTTACCAAAAAGTCGTTTTTTCGTTTTTTTGATCAGAACCATGGACATGAAATTTGCGATGAATTTGTGGCGACATTATAAATGTTAGACATATGTGCCCATGAGAGAAGTTGCGTATTTTTTGTTGGCTCTCAAATAAAATAAGTCCCGCGGCGAAATCTGACATAATTTTTCGGGAATTCGCAGGAAACCAGAGGCGTATTTTTTTTTTAATTTTTTTCCCATGTGATTTTTTCCGGGTTTTCCGAAAACATCTAACAAAATAAATATATTTAAAAAAACTAACTTCGCCATCGAAAAGAGCACAAAAAAATACACAAAAAGGTATACTTTAAAAATGTTAGGAAATTAATCCTAAGCCTGAGTGTAAGTTCCAACTTGGTGATAAGCTTGCTTTTTGTTTGCTAATATCTGGTAATTCTATATTTTGCACAACACTAAAGAAACGTCTTATAACAAGTCAGTAAAATACAATTTAATAAATTTTAAGCCTAATAAATTTAGATAAGCAAGAAATTTAAAACTGGAAATCGCAAAAAAATAAAAAACAGTAATGTAGTGTATACACGAGTTTTGGATCCCGCGGAGCGCGTGTAATGGGACTTTTGTCGGGAGAATTCTACAACTTAGAAGAAACATACCTACACACTTTAAACTTTGTATACACATTTAGAAGACATGAAATTTGGGTTTGTTTAATTTTCAGACAAAAAAACTAAAAATTGTCAATTTTAGGCAACTTTTCTCAAAAACCGTGTTTTTTGGTCGTCACTCAATGAACAGTGGTCAAAAAAATAGATAAAATATATTTGCAGAATTTTCCGTAATGTAATCGTATTCTATACACAATAGAGTACTCAAAAAAAAAGTTTTGAGCCATTGGGTGCATTTTTGGCATTTTTGTGCCACTTCAAACTTTCGAAAATTTAATTGTTTGATATCTTAGCCAATTATGATTCAATGTCGGTGAAATTCACACACACATAAGATTTCACATTTAAGAGTAAGCTTTGTAAGTGGCATTAAAAAAATTCAAATAGTTTGGCCGTTATAGGCAAACAATGAAATTAGGACCGCGGTGCATTTTGCCCTTTCGCCATATACCCAATTTTGGGATTTCTCTTGCCCCCTTCTGGGAATCACTAGTCACATCCCTTAAGTTCAAAACGCATTTTTGTTTTTTCAAATATCTTAATTTTTACCAATGTTATAAAGAATTTAGTGTTTGAACATTTAACAAATTTAATTTTTCGACCTTCGTCGCCTCAAAATACTAAACAAATTTCAATCGTCCATACCGCGAGAACGGTGCATCGGATCAAAATTTCTCAAGAGACATAAAAATTAGTATTTTTCCTAAGCTTTCAAATGTCGTAAACTGCGTTTTAAAAATATTGATTTATTTCCGACATGCGCCTGCGCAAAATTGAAAAATTGACAAAATCCAAAATTTCGGCACTTTCGAAAAACTGCTACATTTTGTTTTGCCTTTTTTCGAAAAGATCACTTCAAAATACATAGAATCCATTTTGTTTCATCTAATTACAATTTAATGTAAGCTCAAAACTCGTAATTTAATTCGATTACTTATACTATTTTTAAAAGAAACTAATTGCTATTTTAACATATGGAAAAATTACAGTTTTTCGGCGCAATAGCACGGGAAATGGTTTATGCAATCACACCAGAAAACGTCATTTTCTGTTTTCAAAAACTTTATATAAAGAGTCGTAACGAAATATAATTTTGTATATTTTTAGTGAATATTTTAAGTACTTTTTTATATTTTTATTTTATTTTTTAGTCAGAATTAAAGAAATTTGGAATAAGGGATGGATTGGCGGTACTATGGATATATCTTATACCAATGAAAGACTTGCAGTTAGTATTTTGTTTATTTATTAAAATAGTTTAGTAGTTTCCTATACAGCACACATTTAGGAAATATTTTAAAAATGTTACATTGAAACATTTGTAATGTAATGTTGATAAAAATGCATTAATTTTTTAATTGGGTTTTAAACATTTGGCCAACAAAGAATACGATTTAGTGGAATACCCTGAATATTTTTTAACATGAAATGCCTTCCCAAATAGAACATATTCCAGATATTGTACGAAAATTTCAATAACGTAAAATGTATCATATTGCCCTTACTTCAGTGTTCCAAGTAGGCTATGCATTTTCAGTGATTTTCACGATAACATTAAAGGTTTAGTTAAGTGTTTATTATGTTCTATGGTCTGAGGAAAAAATGCAAGAATTTGACAAAATGGTGAACGCGCCGCGAAAAATTTCCGCCTGCGACGCTGTGCTTACTGGCCTGCTGTATTTTTATACAATCGCTTCCCCTTCCAAAAATCTCACCGCACGCCACTGATCTACTGTTGCTCTTATTCAAGCCGGAATAAGTCAAATTTACGTGGCTAACAGATTCGGGGTATCACGCAGTACCGTGCAACGTGTATTTACACGTTTTATAGAGACGGGAGTTTACCCTCAATGTCCTGGAACCGGTTGTTTCTGGCTGAACATAGGATGAAATAAAATAACTACATATCCCTCCCATCTTGATCTTTCAAATCAGAAATTCTTCATTAAGTGTTGGCCTTTCACAACATAACCCGTTTAGTAACTTTTTGTGTAACATATATACCATATTTCAGAAACATTTTCCGTGAAATATTTAACTAAAATATTTCAGAAACTTGTGCTTAAAATGTTATATGTTTGAAACGTTTGAAATATTTCTGAAACACTTCTGAATTAATGTGTGCTGTATGGGTCAAAAGGTACTTGGAACATTAACATCTATTACGATTTATCTGTATATGTACTCAATATCTATCAAATTTCGTACTATTATTCTTTAAATAATAATAATTATTTTATGGCAACGCAATTTTAAAGTTCACAGTATTTGTTAAATAATCTCTTTTGCATTCCAAATATAGTACAACAAAGTCAAGAAATATCAGCAGGTAAGTAAAAATATAATCGTTTTTAGGTATGTGGTTTTCGACGATATTACGTTATACATAAGGATTATAATGCCATGGGTACTTGCTTTTGGTCATTTCTAAATTCAACTAATTTCAAACTTATCACACCTTTACTAGATTCTGGTAAGCATATACCTGCTCGCCTCCAGATGAGAATATAACAATAATATACGATTATTTTTAGACAAAACTACTGACACAATTAATAGTAAAACTTTTTACCTGTATGGTCAAGGCCAAGCTGGATTCTCAGCTCATTTTCCTGAGGTAAGTATACATCTCAGACAATTTTAAGTGATGTTCCAACAAACATTTATGACCCATCGTCATTCTAGAATAGTAACGAATTAATTTTGGGAGCTCCAGGAGTTTTTAACTGGGCCGGTACCCCATTCAAAGTGTCGGATCGAATTAATTCCGACCCACCATCAAATAGACGAAAAAGGGATAATATAGATCCATTAGATATCGTCGAAGTACCTAATGTCGTACAAAGTGAAGCCAACGGTTTGTTTGGTAAGACCATTTCTGTGGAACTCAATTAATTTGAAAGACAAAATACTAACTAACAATCTAACCAACCTAAATTACTCATTTCAAATCAAATTTTATAAAGGGGAATTTAAGCTAAGTGTCCCATTTTCAAGGTAACTCGGACCTCTGGTTTTATAAACAAAATTATCCTTCGAAAAGTATTGAAGTTAGAACAAGTTTCATCATCACAAATGGAACCCATATAAATATGCTAATAATTAACATCCACCCACCCTGGGGGGTGGGTGGCTCAGTGGTAGAGTCTCTGCCTGTGGATCCAAGGGTCCCAGGTTCGAATCGCACCGTTGGCCGGGATTTTTTAATTTAATTATTTAAAATTAATTCTGATGCCTTGGTTGGGTTCTAATTAACAGTGCTGTTCCTGAAGTGGCGCTGGGAATCAGTAACAAAGCCTACACAGAACACGAGGCGAAATGGCTATCGTTCGCATAAAGCAGGACAGGTACCACCCTATATTGTTAGCATAAAGCGGAACAAATATTAAATTCAATTTAATAGTTTTTTAACCGGCAAAAAACGTGCATCATGGAAGACTTTTTAGTTATTATATACATTATTTGTCCTTACTGTTTGAACTGGAGTCTGTAGTATAATTTTTTTCCAACACATCTTGCAGTTTTCGCCATTTTCTTTTTATTTTCTTATATTTTTCTTTATCACATTTCCGTTTCGGCATTTTTATTCGATAATTAATACGCACACTTTGACACAACAAAGAATAATGAGGTATGATAGCGGGTCGTCGATGATAAGAATGGAATGTGGCAGAGGCGTACCCAAAAATGTGAAATAATCGTACACTTCGATCAATCGAGAGTATACTACATATTACGGATATATTGGGCCCAGCAGTGAAGTACAATTATTGACTTTCTTTAATAATTTTTAGGAAGTTGCTGTTGTGACAAGAACAGAACGTACGGTGCAATTGAAGGAAAATATTTTGGATACTGTAGCTGATACTCTTTCAATAAGCACTCGAAGATTAGTCGCGCAGCTTTATGCGTCAAAAAGACAATTATTGAAGTACTTAAAGAACAGGTTATACCCTTATCATCTGCAAAAAGTTCATCAACCACTTCCTGAAGATTTTTCTCGAAGAATCCGTTCGCAAACTGGCTGTTAGATCAGCAACGAACAAACGGAAACTTCATTAGCACTATTCTTTTTACCGATAAAGCAGGGTTTACCAAAAATGATATTGTACATTTACATAACTCGCATGTATGGGCTGATAACAACCCTCATGCCACTGTTATTCATCATTATCAACATCAGTTCCAATCAATTAATGTTTGGGCAAGAATAATCGGCAATTTTTTGATTGGACCATGCGTATTGTCGCCACAATTGAATGGTGAACTTTATTTACAGTTCCTTCAGAACGCTTTTCTGGATTCAGTAGAGCATTTGCCACTTGAAACCCGCCGAAGTATGTATTTTATGCATAATGGAGCCCCATGCACCTCACTTTAGCGTCGCTATACGGGACCATCAGAATAAGGTCTATCGAAACCGTTGGATAGGCAGAGGAGGTCCAATTGCCTGGCCTCCACGGTCTCCCGACCTAACGCCAATGGATTTTTAGCAGTGGGGCCCATCTCAAAACATTGGTTCACGGAGCACATATTTTTAATTGATTATTTCTAATTAACGTATTTAGGTTCAATCGTTACAAGCTTTAGTTAGTTCAGGATGAAAACATAATACTCCAAGTTGTGTTTTAGAATTTACCAATTTGAAATTAGCTAATTCTGGGAGTTTAATTTTTTTTATAAAAATAAAACATTAATTGTTTTCTGAATGTTAGTTTAACACCCTGTAACTTTGTTAGGGGCCAGTTTTTGACATAGGTAAATATAGCCAAATCCACCTATTTTTTGGTAATCTGAGGATGAATGTATGACATACCTTTTTGAAACACCCTGTATATTTTCAAAGGGTTCGGTTAGCTCTTAAGATATTTTGGCAAAGTGGTTTACATGTAATATACCTAACATCTTATTGATGGGTTCCATTATTTATACTATACTTCTACTTGTTTTTAAATGAAAAATATTTATTAAAAAAATTATTTCTTTTTAGGTTACAGTGTTACATCAGGTCATTTCTATGGTAATGAGATTCTGTATTACGTTTCTGGTAGTCCGAAAGTGTCTGATTATAGAGGAAAGGTATTTATGTTTTATAAATAAATACATTTTAAATTCTTTGTTTTACTTATAGTGTAGTGTAACTTAAAAAAAAAACGAGATATTGGTACCATTATAAAGACCGTAACGTGTACTACAATATAACTATAAAATCCAAAAAGTCCCTTTACCTCAGATAAACCAATGCATAATAGATCTGTCTGGATTTTTTTGAAGCCAGTATGGTCTATGATTCGAAGTAAGGTCAATCTTCACCCATATATTTAACGGATGAAAGTTTTTTTTTAATAAATAAAATATTGTTACACAGGTTTTTGGTATCACAATTTATTTCAACTCAGCTTTTACAATAACTATTCAACTCATAACATTAACATATAACGTCTATAATAAAACTGAAAACTGACGTCAGGATCATCCTTATATAGCTTCTCGAACTGTCGTCTAAAATATTCTTGACGGGTAATGACATTTTCAGATATTTCTGGACTATTCTATCTTCTTGTACTTTTACTTTTACTTATGACGACCGCAGCACACTGTAGGGCGATGAGTAGCATTCCACTTCTTTTTCAATTCGTACGTTTCTTATAACAGCCGCAGGCTACTGCAGGGTCCTGCGTAACATTGCTCCATTCTCTCTAGTTATTCGCCCCGAATAACTAAATTACTGGGACCTAGTTAAAACTAATGGGAAGGATCTGGACCATGGTACACAGCTGTCTTTCTAATGTGAACTACCTTGGATTTACTTCCCGCTGACAGTTGAATGAGGCAGATCAGGTCGTTGATTTTCGTTAAGGACGGAGTAGGGGCCTTCCTAGTTCCGTTGCGATTTCTGCCGAAGTCCTCCTCGCTGCTTGGGTTTGCACAGCCATACCTTGTCGCCCCTCTCAAAATATGACCCTGTGGCACGCCTGTCGATTCTAGCTTCTGCTTTATCGGTTTGGGGTGAGATTACAGAACGTCTGCAACTTTGCATCTGCAACTTTGCAAATATGGCGGACTTACAAATGTAAGTATTCTAAAAAATATCTGCAAATTCGCAATATTTATTGTGGTTTATTACCCCCAACAACACTAAACCCAAATTTGGAATACGAAAACTTGATACTTGCATGTGTAAGTCAGTCATATTTGCAGATTTTCAAAGTTGCCGCCATATTTGCAGATCTGCAAAGTTGCAGACGTTCTGTAATCTCACCCTTGGGCTTTCAGTCGTTCCCGAACGAATCCATAGACCTTTGTCCTGTCATTGCATACATCACATTTTTTACACCAATCCGCTACATCCCGTCGGCAATTGACCCAATAAAATCTTTCCCGAACTCGTGCCAGTGTCCTTTTAGTATTAAAGTGTCCTTCTAAACTGCTGTTATAAAGCTCTTGCAATACATTTCTTACCTGTGACCTCGGCAGTATCACTTGGCGGACTACATGTACTTCATCGGGGCTCTCCCACTTCCGGTGCAGTAGGCCATCGTGAAGATACAGGGAATCCCACTGGGTCCAGTAGCCTTTTATAGTTCTAATCTGTTTGGCTATCTCTTGCCAAGTAGGTGTGACTTTATTTTTGAGCCATTCTCGGACAACCTTTAAGTCATTGTCTTTCTTTTGTCCCTGTCTCAGATTTTCAAGGGTTATTTCTTCTTCGTAGCACTCTGGCTTGATAGTGGTTTCCCGAAGAGTAACTTTATCAACCGGTTCTTCTCGTTCTTCGAGCCTTTTACCATACCAGCATTGTTCCTCTAAACGGGGTTGCAGATGAAGATGAGGTAGTGTTTTCAGCTTGAATGTTGCTTAGAGAAGTTTGACTACGAATTCTTCTTCCTAACTCAAGTATTTCAGTTCTAATTTGCCTTTCCAAGTCAATTTTAGCCTTTTCCTGTTGTCGCTCTAAGTTAGTTTTTAGATTCTCTTGTTGTTGCTCTAAATTAGTTTTTAGATTCTCTTGTTGCTGTTTTAAGTTAGTTTTTAAATTCTCTAAAGTAGTTTTTAAGTTTTCTTGCAGCTATTCGTGTTGTTGTGCTAGGAAATCTACTCGATTGTTTAGCGACCTACCTCTTGCCTGAAGTTTTCTTGAATTTGAACTAATCCATTTATACTCTGCACCACCGCTTATCTATGCCTCTCTTCCTTCTCCTCTTCTCGCCGTTCCCTCTTCTTTTCTTCTTTCTGCCTACGCCTTTCCTTTTCCTCCTCTTCTTCCTTCCTACACCTTTCCTTTTCCTCTTTTCGCCTTACTCTCTCCTCTTCCATCTTCCAAAACCATGCTGGTGGACCTGAAGTATCCATGCCTGCTTCATACTCAGTGGATCTAGTATTTACCAAGAACTTCTGTATCCCGCCACTGTCACCAATGTTACACAGATTTTTGGTATCACAATTTATTTCAACTCAACTTGACAGTCTTCATTAGATCCTTCTTGGAACAAGGTTATAGACTATATAAAGATAAATTTTATAGATTGGTCTATCTATTACAAACTACGTCGACAAAATGTCCGCAAAACGTAAGACGTTGAACAAGCATCTGGAGAGAAGTTAAAAGAAGTGTGAATTTGAAGACAGCTTATAAGAATTAAGAACGCTGGTTGATCTTCCTTTTTTTTATGATACTTTAAAGTTCAGTTAGATGCGTGTGTAGTTATCACGGCCACGACTCATATAACTGTCTTTGTCAGTATTTTTTTACGCGTTTTCATCAAATAGAAATTACAATTTTATATTTTTTTCTAAGGTGCAAATCTTTACTTTTAATGGAATCCATGCTATCCATAAAAAAGAGCACAGAGAAGGTCAGGAATTAGGTGAATATTTCGGGGGTTCACTTGCCAGTGGAGAAATCAACGGTGATATTTATGATGACCTCTTGGTAGGAGCGCCGTATTTCTCAGGAAAAACATACAATGAAGGAAGAGTTTATATTTTCTTAGGAGGAAAAGCAAGTGATTGTTTTAAGGAAAATTTGACGTGTAGTTATATTATCATTTGTTACAGGGAAATCTAAAATCGCCTACCATTTTGTCTGGTAAAAATAAGGGCGCCCAATTTGGAGCAGCTATTATGTACATGGGTGACATAAATAGGGATGGATTTGGAGGTAATAGATAAAATAATTTCTAACTAATACTAATAATATTACTAAACTGTAAAATGACTTACTAAATTTTGAAATCACAGTACTAAATTGTCAAATGACCTACAAAAAAGACGTACTAAATTGTAAAGTAATGTACTAAATTTCAAAATAACGTATGAAATTGTATAATGACGTACAACATTGTAAAATGATGTACTAAATTTTAAAATGATAGTACTAAGATGTTTATTGACCTACATAATAATAAGGCGTACTAGAATGTAAAATAACGTAACAAATTTTGAAATAACGCACTATATTTTAAAATAACGTACTAAACCGTAAAATGACGAACTAAATTGTAAAATTGTGTACTAAATTTTAAAATGACAGTATCAAATTGTTAAATGTTCTACAAAATAAAAAAACGTACTAGATTGTAAAATAAGGTACATAATTTTAAATTGACATATTACATTGCAAAATGACGTACAACAAGGTAACATAAGGCAAAAAAAATTAAATGACATACATAACTGTAAAATGACTTACTAAATTGTAAAATTGCGTATTAAATTTTAAGATGACACTACTTAATTGTTAAATGACCTAAAAAATAGAAAAAGGACGCACTAGATTGTAAAATAACGTAATAAATTTTAAAATGACATACTAAACAGTAAAATGATGAACAAAATTGTAAAAGTACGTACTAAATTTTAAAATGACAAAACTAAAATGTTAAATGACCTAAAAAATTGTAAAAATACATACTAGATTTAGAAGTAATGTATTAAATTTTAAAGTGACTAAATGTTAAAATGACATACTAAACTGTATAATGACGCACTAAATTGTAAAATTACGTATTAAATTTTAAAATTACAGTACTAAATTGTTAAATGACCTGCAAAATAGTAAAAAGACGTACTAGATTGTAAAATAATGTACTAAATTTAAAACTGACGTATTACATTGTAAAATATCGTACAGTATTGTAATATGAAGTAACAAATTTAAAAATGACATACTAAACTGAATAATGACGTACTAAATTGTGAAATTACGTACTAAATTTTAAAATGAAAGTACTAAATTGTTAAATGACCTACAAAATGTTAAAATGACGTACAACATTGTAACATGAAGTAACAAATTTTAAAATGTCACACTGACATTCTAAACTATAATAATAGCGTACTAAATTGTAAAATAACATATTAAATTTTAAATTGACAGTGTTCAATTGTTAAATGACCTACAAAATAATAATACGACGTATTAGATTGTGAAGTAACGTACTAAATTTTAAAATGAGGTATTACATCGTAAAATGACGTACAACATTGTAAAATAAGGTACTAAATTTTAAAATGGCAGTTCTAAACTGTTAAATAACCTACAGAATAATAAAAAGACGTACTAGATTGTAAAATAACCTAATAAATTTTGAAATGACGTATTGCATTGTAAAATGACGTAAAACTTTGTAATATGAAGTAACAAATTATAAAATAACGTACTTATCTGTAAAAAGACGTACTAAATTGTAAAATTGCGTACTAAATTTTAAAATGACAGCACTAAATTGTTAAATGACCTACAAATATGTAAATGACGTATTACATTGTAAAATGACGTATTACATTGTAAAATGATGTATTACATTGTAAAATGACGTATTACATTGTAAAATGACGTAAAACATTGTAAAATAACGTGCTAAAGTTTAAAATTACGCAATTAACTGTAAAATGAAGTACTAAATTTTAAAAATTACTACTAAATTGTAAAATGACCTATTAAATTGTGAAATGACCTACCAAGTTGTAAAATAACGTTTTACATTGTTAAAATGTACTAAACTGAGGTACTACATTTTAAAAGTGTGCACTAAACTATAAAATGACGTACTCAATCGTAGAATGTCGTGCTAAATAATAAAAATGACATACAAAATTGTAAAAAGACGTGCTACATACAGAATACAGATACAGAATCAACACTATCGGATTTATAGATGAAGTAACCGAAACGTTTTAGATGCAATATTATAAAACTTAAAGTATTTTGGTAATTATTGGGTGCCTTACATAACTTGTAACACCTATGGTTTTGTTATAAAACTAGTAAAACCGCAATATAGCCTAAAGTTCCATATAAATCCCTTACAAATATCAGTTACCTTTTAATAACACTGTAAGTGTCGTAAAATGTTAATTGGGCCTGTTATATTTTAAAAGATTTTTATTTGTTCATTTTTCAAACATAATTTAATCTTTTTTTAGGTTTTCAAAGATTTTTTTTACATCAATTTTATTTTTTTTGTATATTTTTACATTATTTTTCTACTTTTTACTTTTTTTGAGTTTTTTCTTTCTTTGAGTGTCCATTTTTGTTGCCTAAATATAAATTATTTACAAAATTAAAAATTACTATTAATTTTTGGCTGTTTACAATGAATTTTTAATATTTTTTAGATGTGGCTATAAGTGCTCCCTTCGAAAATGATAATACGGGTACTGTTTACATTTTCAAAGGCACTAGCCAAGGATTGCAGATGGAACCGTGTCAAATAATTATTGGAAAAGACATTTCACCGGATATACTGGGTTTTGGAATTACTATTTCTAAGCCAATTGATATGGATGATAATGGGTATGAAGGTAAAAGTTTATTTTTAATTTATTTTATTATTTTTAAATTTAAACTTGACTAGTATAAATATTAGGGTACCTATGTATTAGCGGACATCTTGGATTTTTTAGATATAAAGACAGATTTGAAAAATCACGCATTTTGCAATGTTGCCACATTCTTTGTTTTCAACTTTTTTCCCTAGATCTGGGGAAAAATCAGGGAAAGTGTGCTTCAGCTGAAGAGCTAACTCTTTACATATTGAATAATATAAATTTTTATTATTATTTTTTTTAGATGTAGCAATTGGAGCTCCTCTGTCAGACAGCATTGTATTTCTAAGAAGTAGACCATTGGTAGTTGTGCATTATTCTTTCAGCTCAGATCCTAAAGTATTATCGATAGATTTAAGAGAGTTTACCATAAATATTTGTTTTTCTTATGCACAGTTCCAAGAAAACCAATTAGGTAAGAACTTACTGGACAATAGGGATCAATATGATTTTTTGAAAAAAAAAAAAAGATTTTCAATTAACAATGTTTAATAGGAATATACACAGAAAGAGACACATATTTATGCGCGAAGAGCTGCCTGATATGTGCATGTTACTATTATACCTTGTTCAACTCATTGTAAGGTATATTTTTAGTATTTGTTTATAGTTCAAAGCTATGGATTAAGGTTAAAATAAAGGATTTTTGCAGATCTAACGTATAACATTATTGTGGACAAGATATTAGGGAGAGCAAATATAGAAACGAGTTCAAGTATTTCGCAAAATATTTCAATTATGCAATATTTTGAACCTCATTGTGAGAAGATAAACGTCACTATTAAGGTAAGACTCGATCGTTTACACATTTTAAATAATGTTGTAGGATAATAACAACGTAATTTAGATATGCGTTTTTTGACATTTCTGCAGCTCTACAGCACTTTTGCATCAGCCGTCACTGCCTGTAGCTCATTATTTATTTTCAAATAAAATATATAATAAAATTGGTTTAAACTTAGGTAGTTTATATCATTGCCATAAGAGCCCATTTCTTGATGGAACTCAGTTATATCTTAATTTTGATGGTTTTCCTATAAAAGAGTACCGGTGACATTTTTTACCGTAGTTTTTTGTTTTACAGTTGGGTATAAAACACGTAACTATTTTGTAGAAACTGGAACAAAACAAAATATAAACATAACCTCAAAAATAATAGTAAATGTTCTACCTGGAGCTTGGAGACGTGTTTCGTTAACAATCATTGAATTAACACACATACTTCCGATTTATTAAATTCGCAGTTTTATTAAAACACGATTTTTAAATAAAGAATTAAAATTGTCTTATGGTGAAATTTGACAGCTTTATTGGAAACATCAAGATAAAATAATGTAGAGAGGACATAAACACTATTTTGCGATATGACAAGTGTACGCACTTTGAGTTGTATTTTGATTAATTTGACGTTAATAATTTAATATTTGAAAATTGACTGAATAAAAATGTTTTTATATCATTTAAGTCATGCTATTTTAAGAAAATGGTATTTACTCTCACTAAAACTGACTAACTCCACTTGCTCGAGTTTCTCCTCTTCTTTATTTTATATCAATGATTGGAAAGTTCATATGCCCCGCCCTACTTTGTTACGTCACTGTGTGCGTTGCGCAAATTAAACTGATTTAAGTAATTTTATGTTTGTTTCACTACGTTTCACGGATCTGTTAACGTGTGACATCTCTTTTTAGCCAAAGACTTCGGACTCACTTATAAAAGAGCGCCAGGGAAACGCGATTAGCCAGAGTGCAGTGGCTTGCCCTAAAATATATATTAACACGTATGAAAACAATAAAATTATTAAAATTGAATTAATATTTTTATGTTATTTATTTTAAAGTAATGTGTTTTTATGAAATGTAACTGGAAGTTCACTGCACAAATGAACCAATGGAGAAACCTATAGTTACAGTTACAGAGCTTTTACAATTAACAGCTTAAATTCGTTTTTTTGTTTAGGTTTTATTATTTAAAATATTAATATTAAACATTGTTGTGTTATTATTTTTAGGATTCTCTAGATTTAGACATCAGTACACCAATCAAAGTATCTGTATCTTACGCCCTAAACTATCCAGTAACTAACAAATCTGTAACAATAATTTCGAATGGGGTACAACAAGATAATGACATGTTGTGTATCAGATGTCCAGTGTTGGACATATACAAATCCAACGAAACTTTTTTTGAAACTGACATTCCATTTAGTTTGGGCTGTGGAGCAGACAACGAATGCCATTCTTTTCTTACTATCGATTTGGTTTTTCCTGATTTAAGGTTTGTAATAATTTTTATTTCAATACTGCCCGATTCATGAACGATCTTTAAGCATACTTGTAAAAGTTACATACGGGTAACTTTTAAGTTAATTATAATATTATTTTCGCTAAGTTATATAGTTTAAGAACTATTTAAAAAATACTATATTGTATAATACAATGGAAATATTGTTTTTAAAGTAACATTATATTCTGGAGTCGCGCTAGAATCTTACCTTGAACCGTTGATTTTTTTAATATTTATCCATAATCTACCTAATTTTAATAAATTATCCGATTGTTTATTATTTTCAGATAATTTTAATAAAATTTAATATGAATCAAATATCTCCGCCCCTAGAGATAAAAACATATTTTTTTTCTAGCAAAAGTTAGGTACAAGTTCTACTTTAACAATCAAACAAATCAAAATTGAATGAACACATTGAAATGAGAACGGTTTTTCTTATTTTTCCTTATATATACTAGTAAAGTAGCAGAAAAAATGCCGATGCCGCATCTCTTTAACTTTACCGAAATCATTCCAGTTCTAATCTACAAAAGAGACCACTAAAATAAAGTTTTTTTTAGTGAAGAAACATTCGTTCTGGGATCAAGCAATTATCTAAAACTGCAAGCAAATATAGAAAATACACAAGAAAATGCGTATTCCACCAAACTGTATTTAGTTCTGCCAGAGTCCGTGTATTTTAGACAAACTCCGAACAAATGTAAATCAGTAAATGAATCAGCTTTGCTGTGCGACATTGGCAATCCTCTGAAGCAGTCAGAGAATGTAAGCATAAGAAAATAATATATTATTAATTGTCCTAATAATGATTGTTGTAGAGATCGATTGATTCATTAGAAATAGATGTTAAAAATGTAAATAAGGACTTCGATAAAGATCATCTAGACATATACTTAAGGACCATAACCTCTGGCAATAATACTAACGATGATACACTTAGATATTCTTTAAAATTTAGAAGAGAAGCTGATATAACTATATTTGGGTAAATTTTACAATTTTTTTTTTATAAATTACTATTCTGTATTTTTTATATATTTTTTTTTTTTAGAACAACTCAACAAGAAATGAATTATTTTGGGAACAGTTCTAATTCTTCATCTCTTACACATATATACAAAGTAAGTAATAAAAAATTATTTTATATCTTTTGAAGCACGAACGCAAACCGTTAAAATAAATATAATTTGTCACAAATACTTGCGTCATTTAAAATCATCATTGTGGGTTTAAACCTTCCCCTTAGTACACAACAAATCCATTCGAGTTACGGCTCCAGTCTTATATATTCTAATCCTTTATCGCGTAAAATATGGCGCAGTCAGTAGGATAAATCATAATTGTCCAAATTCCTTGATGAGAATATATTATTTAGCTATATATAAAGTGTTTGTATTAATTTATCACTTTCATAACTAGATAGAAAAATACGGCGTCAGTTCTTTGGAAAAATTAATAGTAAAAATCCAAGTGCCTTTCAAATACAAAACAGACGAACGAGAAATCACTTTTCTCGAAACTTCGGGTGTAGACGCGTATTTCGGAGGCCAACCTTTTACATGCGAAGTCGATGGTACAACGGTACAAAAAAAAATCATACCCATAGACTTTGAGGATAATCTTCTCAGAAGACGAAGAGACGTAGAAGTTTTCCGAAATATATCAGAGAAGAATAAAAAGGAAGATTTGAAAATTAACGATGAAGAAGTAACAATTGCAAATAAAACTCTATTTTTAAACTGTTCTACGCCTGAGATGGTGACTTGCTTTGATGTCATTTGTAATTTCGGACCTTATGATAAAGAAAAAACGCCGGCTTCCATCCAGCTGAATATGATGGTTAATGTGACAATGCTAGCAGGTAGGTGTAAATCATATGTTTTAAAAATACATAAAAATAACTGCTTAATATTTGGAATTTCCACGAAAGGACAAATATTTTTTTTATACCTACCTGTTAATAAAAGCCTCAGAATTATTACTAATTTGTGTTATGCAATATCAAATAATATATTACTTACTCAAAAGGTATAACTGCGGCAATTCTACCTCAAACCTAATATAAATTAACATAGGAAATCACTAAGGTTCCAAAGAGTAATTTTGTCACTAGATTTAGTAACTTTTACAAAATCTATTAACTTTTTCGTAGGTTGGTAACATCGATTTTCTCACTAGATTTTTATGTTGGTTACACGAGTTGTCACTAAATATATTTTTAAAATTTAGTAATATTTGACTACAATATATCCCCTGTGGGGTCGATTCTCGACTCGTAGAAATTTTTTCCTATAGGAATTTTTGACATTTTTCTATACATCGGAAATGTATAACATTTTCCTACATATAGGAAAGTGTCACAAATTCCTATAGAAAAAGGTTCCTACAAGTCGAGAATCGGCCCCCTGTAGTAGTGCATCTCACTTGTTAAAGAGATGGCACTATGTTATGTTGGGAATGGGGTGTTAATACACTGCGACCTAAAATATCTATTGTGTCCCCTTCTGTCGCCAATGCACTAAGGAAATGTATACATGCCTATAACGACCCTTCCAATCCTATTTTCTCAAGAAAGTGTAGGATTTGAAGTGGCTTCAAGTTAGGTAAATCTCCCTCTTCTATTTTATATCCTCCTAGATATAGTGCCCTTGGATTCTGGAGTGCTACACATTCAGTTAGGATGTGAATGGAGGTTTCGTCCTCCTCACAGAATCTGCACTCACTATCCTCTACTACTCTCAGTTTACTTAGTTGTCCTTTTAGTCGGCAATGCCCGGTAAGGATCCCTGTTACAATACGTAGCCTGTTCTTACTCAGGCAGATGCAGGCTTCCGATCTTTTCTGGTTATATTCCCCCTTGTGCCCGCTTCCTCACTTCCTCTACAGATGTTCCATCACAACAATCGCCTACAAACTCGCCTCTAGTAGTATTGCTCGGAGATCCTCACGAACACTTATTTTAGGATGCAGAGTCTGGTGTAAAAATACTAGATTTTAAAAATATACTAAATCTATTAACAAATTGTGTTAAGAGTACGTTAAGTGAATGGTCGGACCGGTCGAAAGCGTCTAGCGAAAAAGAAAATGACCAACATGACCAGTCATGACTAATCAGCTAATCAGTCAGGATCAGTCATAACGGTCGAGAAATTTTGTCTGACTTTGGTAGTCATTGGCCAATTTCCAGCTGTTGTTACACTTGCACACAAAAAAGAATCTTCCATTATTTAATATCAGCAGATATGCGTGATGTGAGTATTTTAAGACTTGACATAACGTCAAACCTCAACCACAGCTGAGACCATAGCCCATATTTTTACTATTTTTGATCAAAAATATGAATAAAGAAATATATTACTAAAAACAAACTTAATACACCAATCTGAGAATAACTTTACAGTTTTAAAAACAAATTATAAAGTCCGTATGGAAAAAACAGTACAATGTTTTAGAGTGATGATTATGAATTTTAAAAATTAGAACTTGACGGTTTCGACTAATTTGTTCAGCGATCTGTCTTACCATACCAGTCAACTTGACTGTTGATTTAACGTTCTGTGGATTTAACGCAGCCTAACATAAAAATCTAGTGTTGCCAACCTACGAAAAAAGTGACTATATAGATTATGAAAAGTTACTAAATCTACAGACAATTGATCTTTGGGACCTTAGCGACTTTCCATGTTAAATCACATATCTATTTTCATTTAATAAAAACTGTTTTAGAATTTGCCGAAACAATGGATATGGTGCTAATATCAACGAATGGACAAGTCTTGATTGATTCTCCTAAAAATTTCATTCAAAATGGAGATAGGTAATAATAATAAATATAAATAATAGGTAAAATACCAGTTTTCGAATTGGTTGAGAAGGTAAAGCTGAAAAATAAACATTAAATGTTTTTTTTCATAGCATTTAGTTCTGTAAATACACCTTAAGGCTGTATGTCACGATACTAAATTAAGTACTAAACTTAGCACTAAATTAAGTCATTAATTTAGTACTAAATTTAGAACTAAAAATATTTTTTTCCGTTTGCAACGATACCAATTTTTAGTACTAAATTAACTATAGGCGCACGCACATTGACGTATTAATACGTGAAATAAGCAGAGAAATAAAATATTCTGGGTAAAATAGACAAGTGAAGTAAATGGTGTTTTTATTATCAATTTGACATGCCAACAACCAAATACAGCAATGCTACTATAAACCACGAAAAAAACACAATAAAATCTACAAAATCAAACAAGCGAACTTTATTCAAGTCGATAATGCAAAATTTTCGCTAACTAAAAACAAAATGGTACAGAAAATACCGTCGTGTCAATTTTTTCTGTGAAAAACTTCTGCGCAACATTTCGACGCACTTTTAGTACTAAATTTAGTAGAAAATAGAACAAGTTCTAATTAATTAATGACTTTTTTTAGTACTAAATTTAGTACTAAATTTGCTGTTTGCAACGTAAATTTTTTTTAGTACTTAAAAAATGCATTAATTTAGTTCTAAATTTAGTACTTAATTTAGTATCGTGACATACAGCCTTTAAAGTGCTTTTTATAGATTTAAAAAAATAAATAGAATGTCTTTGTCTACTTCTTACCAATAATTGTTAAGGGGCGTAGCCAGGGAGAGGACATAGAGACATTTCTGCCCCCCTCCCAGACATCATTCACATATTTTAAATTATGGGATACGTAAAAAAATAATATTTTGTGAATATTTCTTATAAAAATAAAGCTAAGAAACTGAAGGCCCGAACTTTAACCGACGTGTCGTGAGTTCGAATCGCGGTATGGGAATTTAATAAAAAATATTTATGGTGTTTGGCGGGTTGCGAAATTAATTATTATTATTTATATAAAGTAGTATGTGTCGAGTTGCGGTTGTATATTGGAGATGTATAGTGATGTCAACAGATCAGAAAAAGTCATATTTAGACGTCCAGACATCCAAAAATATATTTATTGGATATCCAATTGACATATTTATACTGTCTGGATATATAGTAGGGAAATTTAACTTTAATATATAGTATTGGGTAACCTATATTAGAGTTTGGCTGATATCTAGCATGGTAGCAGCATTGCCATCAACCAGTTTTTGGTCTTGAATGCAGTATTGTTTATTTTCATTTAAACGGTGTCGCAAATCTAATAAAAAATAATTGAAGGTTATTTATAAATTTTTCTTACAAAGAGAGAGACAGAGAATATATGTTCTAAGTTAAAATAATTATTGGCAAACACAATATTGTTATATAAAGCATAAATAAATAAATAGTCAAACATTATTATAAATTAATATTAATACATACATCTAAAATAAAATAGAACAAAACAAAATAAAACACATATCACAGTGTCTCGTCATTATAAAATTCTGTAATATCATAATAAGGCCTAGTTAACAGAAATCTCCTGAGCATCTTTCAAAGTATGTGATAGACTGTTGTACATCTTGATACCATTATATACGCATTTATTTGCCGGAGGTATTGATCAAAGTAGTCAACCAATTTTTATATAAATAAAAATAAATTATAAAATATTTTGTTAAGGAAAATATGGATGAGTATATTAATCATTTTGATCTTGTTTTAATAGGTACCACAATAATCCAAAATGCTAGTGACTGTAAAAACTATATTAAACAAAAGGAAATGGCAAATTTAAAAATTATAAATAGCAACATTAGAAGTTTATATAAAAATTTTGATGAATTTAGTAATGAAAATATTAATATAGAATTTGACATTGTATGTTTTTCAGAAACATTTCAAATAACAACTTGGATTTGATAAAATAAAATGGTTACGATGCATTATATAGTGAGAGTAGTAATAACAAAAATGATGGAACAGTACTTATCAAAGAAACTCTCAAATACTCCTACAAAATTGTCAAAATAGGGTTAATTCCATAGAACTTAAAGTAATAATAAATGAAAGTACTTTTCTAATTACATGCCTATATAGACCTCCTTCGAAAAAGAATTTGATTTTCATATAATTTCGGACGATATCAACATCAACCTTTTCAGCGAAGAAGTAGAAGTCATTGGAGTACACAAATATTTTAAGCAAAGAAGGATATAAATCACTTATAAATAAATACACCAGGGTTCAAGATAATACTAAATCCTGTATTAATCACATATTTATATTAGATAATACCAAAGTCGACAATTAGTATATTCCTCTTGTATTAGAAACATCGATTACAGAACATTTTACAACTCTGGCACAAATTATTATCAGTGAAAAAGAAAAATTAATATTAAACACAAAAGATATTACTAAAAAATATATAAACTATAACTTACTACAAACTAATTTAAATCAGGAAACCTGGAACTCAGCCATATTTGAAAACAATGTATGTATTTCCACTGAAAGATTTATTAATATTATAAAAACCAACATAAGAAAATGTGAATATATAAAAACATATAAAAACAATGAAAGAAAACGATCGCCGTGGATTACAAATGCCTTAGTTCAATCGTCAAAAATAAAAGATAAACTTTACAAAAAAATTCAAAAACATAATACTATAAATAACATAAATGAATAGAAACGGTATAGAAATCATTTAAGGGATTTAATGAGAATTGCTAAAACAAATTATTATAGAAATTTGATAGAAAAAACTGAGGGCACCCTTCAAAGCTATGAAAAACTATAAATAATGTTATGCACCAAAGTCACAAATCTAACAACATTGACGAAATCACCCTTGACCACCCTTGACAATGGTAAAAAAATTTTTGATAAAAAGCTAACATTGGCGATAATTTAGCAAGCAAAATAAAAAATCTCCAGCAAGTCGCCAGTGATTCGTCAGAGATTCATCTCGGCGGTATCAGCAGCGGTTTCCACGGACTATTTGAGGGGTATTCCAAACTTCCAATCACTTCAAACCTCCCGGAAACTTAGACCCCACCTAAAATCAAGTCTGGCTACGCCACTGATAATTATATATAGAAAATCGTTTATCTTTGGTTCAAAATCGAAATATTGTTATTTTCAGGGAAGATTCAGTCGTGATTTCAAGCGTTTTTATAAATGACATCCTTAAAGCAGGCAAAGTGGCATTATGGATCGTAATACTCGCTGTAATCTTTGGATTGCTGCTGCTAATTCTCCTAATACTATTATTTATTAAGGTTAGATTAATTAAATTGTTCATTGACCAAAAATAAATAAATAAAATATTTTTTTAGATCGGATTCTTCAAGAGAACGAAAAAAGAAGAACTTAAGAATTTAAAAGCAGCTGTGAGTATTTTTTGTTTTATTTTTTGCTTTTTCAGTAATATTTCAAAGAACAAGTGTGGTACGATTTAATAAATAATTATATTACTAAAACACTAAGAAAGCCTAAAAAATATTGAGCCACGAAGTGCTTTCGCAATAGAGATAATACAAAAAAAAACAAATTCCAATGAATTTATCTATCGGTAGCGTACCATGGGCGTATCAACAAAAATGAAACTTAGATTGAATAATAGGGAAATCATATAAAAATGATAAATATTTCTTTTTTATAACATTGCGGTAGTTTAAATAAATGTAACACTCATTTCTTACTAAACTGGCTGACAATGGAGGAAGAAAAACTAGCGCAGATTTTTGACCATTACAATAATTGTAGCTCTGTGCCATAACACAACAAAAAACGACAGTGACAGTTCATAAATGACATGATACTTGTTACATAGAACACATTTGTTGACAGAATTTGGATTTTTAACAAAACAATGACATGTATACTACACAAATTGCATAAATGCAGTACACATTAGTTTTAGATACAAACAATTTAAATCTTCTAATTTGTGATATACTATCCATTATTACTTTATTACTTTATATAAAATAAAAAAAGATGGAATTTATATTTGAATACTTTATTTATTTTTAAACATAACATAGGTACTTAAAACTATTTGTCAATATTATATTTGCGATAAAAAAAATCTTATTTTAAAAATATCCCAACCTATCAAAATCCCTAGCTATATCAGTCAACTTATCTACAATATACTGTTCGCTTTTTCTCGTCATAGAAAACATTTTTTCTCTTTCTCCATTTTCCATATCTCCCGTCCAATCAGGAATCTCATCTAAATCAGCAACAAACAACGGCACGCCTATGAGGCACATCATCAAACCGTATTTCGAAAATTGTTTCATGTGATTCGAAAAAGTTTCTTTCGAAAATATCTCCGGATCGACTTGTAGTTTAATCAAAAACGCAGTTAAACTCGAATGGTAGATGTTCAAAAGGTGCTGGTAATGGATATCGCGTAATTTTTTATCTGTACAAGCGAAAATGAAATAGGAGATGTCTATAGCTGGGGATGCACATCTACTGAGTTGCCAGTCTAGCAGACATACCGCTGATGGAGTTGAAGAATCGTCCTAAAAATTGCCAAACTAAAAACGTTATAACCATAATATTTATAATAATTAATAATATATGTAAGAGGTCTGTTACACTCCGTTTTTATTTTTAAGTATTATTTACTATTAAAGGCGTTGGGCGCCAAATGTTACCGACTTTCTTTGTTTAACAAAAATTATAAAAATGAATTAGTCGATGTACACAAATGAGTTATCTCTACCACTCTAGTACGCCTTGGGAACACACCTGCTAAAGTAACATCAGCATTATTTGTTGAATTTTGTTATTATTATTTGGCACAATATTTACAATTCAATTTGAATTACTAGCTTGTGAAGCGTGGCCTCTCCCTGAAGGTGGAGTTGAAACACGTGATTCATTTAGTTGTAAAGAGGCTTTAGAATTTAAATTTTGATCATCTTACTCTAAACGGTTACAACGATTAAGTAAATGTACTAATCTACTCTGAATTCTCCCAAATTTTGTTTTAGAATTATCACCTGAAATATTTTTCATAGACGAAATTAAATCTTTTAGTTTTTGACTAATAATTTCATGTTCCTCCTCAAAAATAAAATCTACTACATTACTGTTCAAGGTATGACCCTCCTTCTCTAATTTAAGTAATAGTCGTAGCCAAGACCTAAGCTCATCTACTGTATTTGTATCCTCTGACGGCATACCTCGGAGAGACAGTCCATACTGCAACTCATCCTTCTTGAAATAATTAACGTTCATTTTAAAATCCATGTTGAGAAATGGTAAAAATAAAACTAATGTCCAAAAAAAAAGGCAAAAAAAACTAACGCCCTAACACTTATTTACACTAGAAATGAGAATTTGCAAATCAAAAATTAACCACTCATCTTTAAAATTAAATTATAAAAAAACCTGAGTAAATACTCCAACAGTCCAAAAGTTAAGTTTTGTAATTTTACGAAATAAATCACAAATATAAAAAGCAGTTTTAAATGGTTATAAAAGTAAAACTTATCCACTATAGAACAGAGTTACTAGCCAAAAATACCCAAAATGTAATAGTCAGGGAAACTTCGATCGGAGGAACTATTAGGTGGTAGGTTACCCTCCTTTAAGGCTGTATGTCACGATACTGAATTAAGTACTAAATTTAGAACTAAATTAAGGCATTTTTTAAGTACTAAAAAAATTCACGTTGCAAACAGCAAATTTTATTTTAAATTAGCGACAATTTCACATAATCGCCTTGAATAAAGTTCGCCTGTTTGATTTTGTAGGTTTTATTGTGTTTTTCCGTGGTTTTTATGCTGTATTTGGTTGTCAAGTCAACTAGTATCAAATTGATAATAAAAACACCATTTACTTCACTTGTCTGTTTTACACAGAATATTTCATTTCTCTACTAATTTCACGTATTAATAAGTCAATGCGCGTGCGCCCATAGTAAATTTAGTACTAAAAATTGGTATCGTTGCAAACGGAAAAAAAATATTTTTAGTTCTAAATTTAGTACTAAATTAATGACTTAATTTAGTGCTAAATTTAGTACTTAATTTAGTATCGTGACATACAGCCTTTAGTTTGCAATCCACCCAGTCAATGTTTTTTCCACAAACTATTTTGTTAGATTATATAATTTCTCAAGCTAAAAATGATCAACCTCCTTATTTGGAAATCAAAATTTTAGGTTATACAATGTTAGGTCTTTTAGATACTGGTAGTTCTAGAACTTTAGTAAATAATGAGGGTTTCAGAATTTTAAAAAGTTTAGGTTTATTTTTAACGCCCATGACTACTGAATGTACAGTAGCCAATGGCGAAAATTGTGTTAGTTTGGGATATGTCACTACTCCTGTGTCATTACTAGATAAAATTCATTTTTTAGATATTTTAGTTATACCAGATATGTCCCAAGTGTTAATTTTAGGAATGGATTTTTGGATATCAATGAACATCATATCTGATTTGGGACAGGATATATGGCATTTTGTAAATAAAGTAGATTTAGTAGATATTAGGTCTGGGAATGGAATTGTGGGACATTCAAATTTAAATTTAGAACAAAAATTACGTTTAGATTCTTTGGTAAAAGAAAAGCTTGATGCTATGGGTTCAAATTTGGGTTTTTGTAAATTAGATTGTCACGAGATAGAGATTTTGCCTGGTACCAAGCCCAATAAACACTCAATGAGTCAATGTTGAGGGATGGTATAATACAGCCTTCTAAATCTGCTTGGTCATCTCCTGTTTGTCTTGTTCAGAAAAAGAATGGTAAATTTAGATTGTGTATAATAGGCAAGTAAACAATGTAACTAAAAAGGATGCTTATCCAATCCCTTATATTTCATCAATTTTAGAACAATTAAGAGATGCTAAATACTTGAGTTCATTAGATATCAAATCAGCTTATTTTCAAATACCGTTAAGTCAAAATTCTAAAGAATATACAGCTTTCACTGTTCCGGGGAGGGGGTTATATCAATTTACTAGGATGCCTTTTGGTTTATCAAATGCTCCTGCAACTTGGCAAAAAATTATAGATATTTTGGGTGTAGATTTACAACCTTTTGTTTTTGTTTATCTTGATGATGTGGTTATCATTTCTCAAGATTTTGATACTCATTTAGAAATTTTAGGTACTGTGTTGGATCGGTTACATAGTGCAGGTTTAGTAGTACGTTTGGAAAAATGTAATTTTTGTTTGCCCCGCCTTAAATATTTAGGTTATGTAGTTGATGAGAAAGGACTTCATCCTGACCCAGAGAAGGTAGAGGCTATTTTGAAAATACCTAGTCCAACTAATATAAAAGAAATTCGTCGTTTTGTAGGCACTGCTTCTTGGTATCAAAAATTTATACCCAATTTCTCAACTATTTTAGCACCTTTAACTCATTTAACTAAGAAAAATGTAAAGTATAATTGGTCTTCAGAATGTGAGAAGTCTTTTAGAATCATTAAAGAATATTTGATTTCGGCCCCTATTTTGGCTTGCCCTGATTTTGATAAAACTTTTATTCTACAATGTGATGCTTCTTCTTATGGTATAGGTGGTTTTTTGATCCAAGAATTTCAAGAGGGAGAAAGGGTTATTTGTTTTATTTCCAGAATTCTTACTAGACAGGAACGTATTTATAGTACTACTGAGAGGGAAGCCTTAGCAGTTATTTGGTGCATAGAAAAACTTCGACATTATTTCGAATCAGTTCATTTTAAGGTTATTACCGATCATCATTCTTTGTTGTGGTTACAGAGGTTAAAATATCCTCAAGGTCGATTGGCTAGATGGACTCTTAGGTTCCAACCTTATAATTTCGAGTTAATACACCGTCCTGGAAAACTTCATGTAGTTCCGGACTTTCTTTCACGTTCTGTGGCTGTAGAGACTGTGGCAGCTCAACCTACTCTGGATTATTCTGATACAACTGATATCCCAGGATATAGAAGATATTCGGATATTCAGCAAAATATTTTATGGGTATCTTTAGTAGAGGTTCATAAGTAACCAATGATTATTGAAGAACGTCGAAAGAAAATAGCAGAGATAAAAATATTTTCAACACTCAAAATATTTTCAACACTCATATTTGCCACTAAGGAGAAAGTCATCCTTATTAGGACTCTTCAGTAATAAATGGAAATTCTCGACTCCAGTCTCTAATGGAGTCTGATTGGGATACAAATTTCGATCGAACTCAATTACGGCGGGTTGAGCATGAGCACGAGCGAAAGTGGTATCACCATCTATACCTAGTAAGCAAAATCAAAAATTACATCTAGTGGTTTGCGTTCGCGCCTAGACTTTGATATATTTAGTGGATGTCTATGGGATATTGAATACACCTTAAAAAAATTAATTTTAAATATCTGAACGGGGGGGTGGGTTGGCTCAGTGGTTAGAGTCATGACTTTGAGATCGGAAGGTCTCAGGATCGAATCCCACCGTTGGCCGGGATTTTTTCATTTAATTTAATTATTTAAAATAAATTCTGATGCCTTGGTAGGATTCCCCACTCGACCATTCACTGTTGGGTTCTAATTAACAGTGCTGTTCCTAAAGTGGCGCTGGGAAACAGTAACAAAGCCTACACAGAACACGAGGCTAATGTCCGTAGTAGTTGACGCCGATGACACCAAATTAAAAAAAAAAATATCTGAACGGTACTATTAGCCACAATGGCGAGCACAATGGCGTAATTTTTTAATAATTTGCTATATAATTACTATTATTTATGGACATTTGTATGTCTATAAATTACATCTCATGTATATAAAATAGATATCCACCATGGACTGGACATTCAGTGGATATTGGGATGTCAAGTAGATATCCAAAGGATTTGGTGTGCTGTCTGGGTAAGGACAAACGAAAGGAAGTTTTCTTTCGTTGCCATGATGATCCTACTTCGGGACATCTTGGAGGTTTTAAAACTATTTGGACCGTTAGAGAAAATTTTTGGCCGAAAATGAGGTATGATGTTTTAAAATATATTAAAAACTGTAAAATTTGTGCTGAACAAAAACCTGAGCAAAAAGCTCCGGCTGGTTTAATGGGTCGTCGCCCCAAAGTTCAGCAACCATTTCAGATGATTAGTCTAGATTTAATAGTAAATAATACTTAAAAATAAAAACGGAGTGCAACAGGTCTTTACAAAAACAGCTATTGGCGTAGAAATTTTACATGTACAATTATTGAAAAAAATCAAATTCTACGCCTATGAATTAATATTAGTCATAATTTTAATACGTTTTTTTGTCACATATAACTCTGTCAATGTACCAAATTTAAGCAGCATCGCATAAGCCGTTTTAAATTTATAATAGTCTAAGAAATATGTGTTGTTTTTGTAACGACTTTTTACAGACCCTGTATCTGTATAATATGATGTGGTCACAATCTTAGACACAATAAACAGGATAATAATATAAAAAAGTATACTGGATACGATAAATACACACGAAATTTGTTAAATCTTTATTGTTTCTCGAAGTATTCTTTGAGCATTTCTACTAACTTCTCTGAAATCCTCAGGAGATGCTACAAAGCCGTCATATTATACTCAAATAATGTTCATGATTCATACAAAATCGTGTGTATTAAAATCATGAAAATGCCCAAATAGGTATTATTGTAAATTTGCCGAAGTCGTACCACTTCTCTGTCTACAAGTATTATAAAGAGAAGTAAACGAGATGTAAAAGTACTCGACGCCATTTACTAACGTCGCTTCGTTTTCAGAGATTCTTTATTAAGAAAATATAGATCTGTAAGCAAAATTTTGTTTGGGATTTGATTAAAATTTCTCCAAATGAATAACCTACCTCATATTTAAATAACATATTATTAATCCAACAATCTCCGTGACAAAAAACGGCTGCACCTTGAGCTGCTTCTATTGACAAATTTTCCAATAAACCCTTAGGATCAATTGGAAAGTTAACGAAATCATTCAGTTTTTTTATTAATTTTTTATCAATTGATTCGTCCAAATTATTAATAACCTTATCAATGTGACCTTTTATCGTTTTACAGAGAGATGACAAATTCACATTGTTAAAAAATGATTCCCTGGTATTTTCTGATAATGTTTTGTATGTTTCTGGGTTTTTTATTCTGAGAGCTAATGCTAGAGCGTGGTACTGTCCATAAGCTGTTAATACTGTTTGACAATGATCTAAATCTGAAAAAAAAAATGAAAATTAGTTGTTGTTGTTGTTGTTGTTTATCCTCAAAAATCGCGTAAATTATTGGATTAATAACGAAAAAACTGAACAGGTTAACACCACCGACTCAAACGAATACACACAGTGTGCTCCATAAAGTTGGATTCATATGAGAGTTTTTTAAACATTATGATTAGAAAAAACGTCGCAGAACATTCAAATCTGCTTTTTTAAAAACTTAAAATTAAGGTTGGGTAGGTACTACATTAGTTAGCTGTCAAATTCAGTATTTTTATTTTGTAAAATCGTTTAATTTTTTTTAATAAGAATATGACAGAAAATTAATGTCTGTAGCCAACTTTGATATGGGCTATTTTGAGTTTTTCAATAAGCAGAGGCGATTATCCTACGAGATTTTTTCAATCGTAAAAAAAAAATCTCATGGATCCATCTGTATGGAAATTCTTACGATTTGAGCCTTTTATTCAAAAAAATTTGCTAGAAAGGGAATATCAATGCCCTTCCCGAAAATTCGTCTTGGAGATGCCTTTGGTTAAAAAATATTTTTCACGAAAATATATTCACAAAATTTGGCGTCCATACACGAATAAATGGTTCTTTTAATTGGTACCTATTATCAAAAAAAGAGTTTAAAAAAACGGATGACATAAAAATATACTACAAAATATATAAAAAATATTCTAAAAAATATATTAACCAATAAACTAAAAAATATACTAAAAATATGTCAAAAAATTTGATAAAAATATACTAAAAAATATACTAAAAAATATACTAAAAAATATACTAAAAATATACTAAAAAATATACTAAAGAATATACTAAAAAATATACTAAAGAATATACTAAAAAATATACTTAAAAATATATTAAAAAAATATACTAAAAATATACAAAATCAACCTGACGAGCATTTTTTGTTATTTGTTCAATAAAGCCATAAATGGTGTTCTGCCAATTTTTCCCAATACTGTATATTTATATTCTTAAAGAATGAAACAGTGACTTACCTATTACATTTTTCCTATTTTTCAAAACGTAACCGTGAGCAGTCATATCTTCGAAAATGAGATGTTCGTGGGGTATGACACTAGAAGTGCCATAACACTTTGCAAAAGGATCGAAAATGTCTTCCAATCCAATTTCTTTTTGAAATTTGATCAATTCGGGAAAGACGGATTCATACATGCATACTTCTCTTGCATGTAAAATTTCAATTTTGATGTATTCCCTGAATTCTGTGGCGCCAGGAGCACTTTTGATAATCAAATTCAGTTGTCGAGGAGTTTTCTTGTCGTCTTCTTCCGTTACTTGAATTTTTGTTATAATTCCCAAGTAGTTTTGTCCTTTGGCAGAGCCTTTAGAGAATTTTAGTGAATATTTTTCAAATCGTAAGTCCTTTAGTACCTGTTCGAGGTTCTGTAAAGTTTCTTGCGGTAATTGGAGGGAATCTTCCATTTTTAATTAATTTCTAAAATTATTTAAATGGTCAATCTTTATTGTCAGTGTTACTATGGATGCGAAAGCAGAAATTTATTCTTCTTTCACACACAGTGATTATATTATTTAACCAGTTATAAAGTATTCAAAGATGGATAAAATTTGCAAAATATGCTTTTTGGTGAACTTTAGCTAGTATCTTTTTTTTCCTCCTTGGCTCGTCTCTGACTATGTCTCCGAATAACACTGAAACCTATTGGCTTATTGTGTTTTACTCCATGTTAGTTCATAGCACCCACTCTGTCACCTTTGTACCTTGTACAAGTTTGTACAGATCCTTGGGTGAGTGGGTTCTATACGTTGTTGGATCAACCTGGGGTTATCCAAAAAGAGCCTGTCTTTTGCGATCTAGAGCTTCGCATTCGCATAGTATGTGTTTGGCCGTTTCTGGTTTCTTGTGACATAGTCGGCACATGAGTTCCCCATTGTACATGCAAATTTTGTTCAAGTGTCCCTTTACTGGGGCGTGCCCAGTCATGAACCCTGTTATCACTTTCAACTGGTTCCTATTTATAAAGAGTAGTCCAGTTCTTTTGGGTCATGGTCTGCCTATGAAGGCTTTTCCATGTGCCTGTTTTGGGGGGCTTCCCCAATAGTTAATATGTTGTTCCCGAATCCAGTCGTTTATGAAACCCCGGACTGTACTTTTTGGTACTCCTAGGTTTGTGTCTGGTTCCGGTGTTTCTTCTGACCCTCTTTTTGCAAGTTCGTCAGCCTTTTCGTTGCCTTCGATCCCTTGGTGACCTGGCACCCAAAATAGTTTTACTCTATTTCGGTCTGCCAGTGTTCTTAGTTCTCGATATGGCCTTAAGTGCCGCTTGGCTGTCTGGCATTATTTGAATGTGCTGATTTTCGACAGCTCTTTCATTATTCGTTTTTGCACATTACAAAATTGCGTATACCTCGGCCTGAAATACCGAGGAATGTATTCCTATAGCATAGCTATGGTTAGTATCAGGGTTTTTGGAGAATACTCCCGCCCCAGTGCCTACCGTAGTCTTAGACCTGTCTGTATACCAGTTTTGTTCCTGTCGTTGGGCATTGGGCTCCCTTATGGTGATCTCCGCTCTTTCCTGTATTAAAACCTCAAATGGAGTATTAAAAGAGTACCTCTTAGTTATGTGGTATGATCTCATGTCTAGCACGTGTCCTGTCACTAACCTTGAGATACTCATGTGACCTGGCCTAATGTCAAGATTTCCCAGTGTATTCCCTAATCTGTAAGCACCTAATATTGCCTCCCCTTGTATCACATAGTGAAAAGGTGGGAGTCCTATTAGTGCTTCCATTGCAGCAGTGGGGGTTGTTTTCATTGCCCCCGTTATTCCGAGGCAGGCAAGTCTTTGTACCTTGCTTAGCCTCGTTATTGCTTTTCTTTGCTGTGTCTTTGGCCACCACACCAAAGCTTAAAAAAATTTAAAATTTTGAGCAAAAGGCTTGTTTTTGGGTGGAAAATTATTATTTCAAAGGAACTATGGCAATTTTTTTAGGTACACATTTACTAAAGGTTCCAATACTTTTTTAGACAACGCCAACATGTTTGACATCTAAAAAAAGACACGCCTATAAATTTACATTTTGAAAAAGTTGGGATTGGTCTTTTATATTTTATTATTATTATCACAAACAAATCCTTTTTTAATTTTACTAATCATTTATAAGACCTGTCTACTATAAATTCACCTATTGCTTTATTCTAACTTTTAATATTATTCTAAAAATTTTAAATGTTCAACATAATATCTTTGCTATAAAAATTTTATTTTTTTTTTTACTGCCTGTTGGTTTGTCCATTTTAATTCTAAATTTAAAAAATTGTTTTTACAAAAATTAAAGAACATGAAAAAAATTATTTACAGCCAGAATATCAAATAACTCACCCAAGATATCATAAATATATTTTTTTACATTAAATATACATCGTTTAAAAAAAACTCAGGCAATACAATAATTTTAAAATTGCAATGGAAAAAACAACACAAAAACTTTTACTGGGATATATATTTCCCACTTTGAGAGATTATCAACTCTTCGGTAAGCAACAGTTTGAACTGATCGCACCTGGACAACATGGTAACCAAAGAATATTAAGCTAAAGCCTTATAAAGGATTTAACATTTTGTGAGATGTGTATTTTCAATCCTAGTGAAAACTACCTTTTATTATTAGACGCTAGGTCAACAGACATCTTGCAATTGGTATTTACCTTAATTTTAAGTCACGGTTATAACATGATTTATAACATGTCTATCAATTAATATATTTAACCGAAAATTAACTATTTTATTTTATAAAATAATACAATAGATGATTTCATCGGAAGACATATTGCAGTTACAAGTTCATTGCGGGAGCTTTGCGCCATCTATCAGTTTACGTAGCAGAAGCAGGATTTTATTTCAAAGAAAAACTGTAAGTTATCTTTTTGGCAATCTGTCTAAGGTTACGGCGTCAGCATAAATTCCTTTTTTCCTTGTCTGTGATAGCAGTGTAAAGCAAGCATCGTATCCGTAATAACGGATTCATTTATAAAACGAGTGCTCGCATTTCGGATAAACAAACTCGCGCAAACGATCCCCTCTTAAAATAACAACCATCTCGCTCTTTCTAATGCGGCAGCCGATGCGGTAGCTCTGTCTGTCTGCCTAATACAAAACACAATCCGATTGCTTGCAATAAAGACTTAATTATGAATGAATGGATTATTATAGTAGTTTTTCTCGTTGAAAATAACCTAACTAACAGTAGGTAAATTAAATATTATACACATATAACGACGACACTGTCTCTTTCTACCTTTAACATACACTCTTAAATTCAGTATCGCTTGTGGTCGATGCAATAGTCTAGTTCGTCTATATCTTTCTATGTCTATATCGGCTCATCTCAGCGAGGTAGAAAACGATAATGAATTGGGCTACTGTATTTCAATACGAACTAGGTCATATTTTCAATACTATAATCACTGCGTTATACCATTCTCGAGTCATAATAATTTTTAAGAACATCTTCAAAGGGTGCCAAATTATTTGTTTAATACAAATATAAGTACCATGTAAATAAAAAGGTTGCACGTGCCTAGTCATTTAAATGACCTTTCTTACAGTGACCTACTTTTGATATAATTTTTTTTAATGTACTGACTTACCTGCTCTTAACTTTAAATAAAAATTGAATTGGGTATCTGTATATCTTACACATTAAATATAAGACAATGAACTACTTTATAACTTCCACTAACTAAGGTACACCTATATTTTATATATTAACAAAACGATTAAACTGTTCATATCTCGTGGACTAGGTACTCAAAACGAGCACAAAATGCGAAAGTTAATGACCCGAGTTGTCCTTCATTGATTACTACTTATTTACGTTGTTCATATAGAAAAATTTTCTATATTTTTAATAGATGCGGCATTGAAATTTATGGTTAATTTTGCATAGTAAAAATGTCAGCGTCTACTTCATCTAAAGATAGAATACCGGGTGGTCCATAATAATCATATTGGGTCTTATTTTGATTATTTCAAAAATGTGTTGATAATATTAGTTTCGGGTGTATGTACAATGTACATGGTGTAATTTAGGTTTGCATCATGTTGTTCGTAAAAATTGTCAAATAGATTTTCAGAAATATCGCAGCGATAACTGAAGCTCAACAATTGACGAAGATTATTGCAAAAATTGGTCTTAATTAAATCATCCGTCACCGGACAACGGATATACGGCGTCTGGTATATCAAGATATATTCAAAGCATACGGCGTTTACATGCCACTTTTGAAATATGGAAAGTAGAGGTGCCGCAGTAAAAATGTTACGTTTATGGATATAGACATCCATAGTAAAAGTATTCTGCCAGGTCTAAGATTTAACGGTATATATTGGATGCGTCTGAATACAACAACATTGCCGGATATCAAGCATCGTATATCCTGTATCCGACACGTGTACAAGTATTAGAAATTAAAAATTTAAAAAACCGACTTCAAAAACGTGCAGATGCCATCACCACATCTTAACCAAATTTATATGGGACCACCCCTGAGGTACCCCCTTACTAACAAAAAAAGAATCATATGAATCGGATAAGGTGGTAAAGCATTATCGCTAAACATACATAAAAAATGAAGAGTTTGAGGATTTTCTCATGGACCCAATTATTAGATTTTGACTAAATTTATATGGGACCACCCCTGAAGTACCCCCTTTCTAACAAAAAAAGAATCATTGAAATCGGACACCGTGTTAAAGAATAATCGCTGAACATACATAAAAAAAAAATATCGCGATGAATTGATAACCTCCTCCTTTTTTGAAGTCGGTTAAAAAGGAGTCTACAAATTGCATATTTACGTTAAAAAACGATGGCAAGAATAGCAGAGATTACTATGACCTTTCAGACAAAGTGTAGGTAGAGTTCCTAATGAAGATGCACTATTTGAAATTTAGCAGAAAGGAATGAATGGAGAAGAAGGAGGATGAGGAGAAAAACAAATTCGGAGCTCAAAGGGCTTTATGGGCAAATAGAGATCAACCAAATAGTAAAAAAAGGTTACATTGGTTAGAACATGTACCTAGGCCATATCAGGTATGTTATACCAGAAACCAGGGCACTGTTGATTTGGTTTTTAACAATAATAGTGTGTAATTTTTTCCAATATGAGGGTGAATGCTTACATTTATAAGCATTTGAAACTTGTGAAGCAATAAATGAAAGCATTGACCCAGTTGTGAGGAATTTGTGAGGATTCAGTATTGTTAAGCTAATTTATCAAAATTATATTTGGCGAATTATGATACTGTAACAGCTCTAAATTTTAGTTAATTTTTTTATCACTGGGCGTGGCTTATGTAGACTTAATATGGCCGATCCTCCAAATCGGACTATTGAGAATGCAACCCAAACCTATATTTTTTTTCTATTTTTTAGCAAATATAAGTTATATTTATTAATTGTTATATAATGAATGATTAAGGTTACAATAAGGTTACAATATCTTTAAAAATACTGTTTTTACTATGACGTCTGACATTTTTCATGAAAATCTTAAGAAATCACTTTCTCTCGAGTTTGAACATAGCCCCCAGAAATTTACAGGCGGTGGGGTTATTGTTGTGACTTTCATGTGCACAAATAAAATCAAAGGAAAACTATGCCGTCTTGAGACATTTGGCACATTGGTAAAAAACTGTAAATGTCAGTCGGTGTATTTTTAAGCAATGAAGTGGAGGGGTAGAATGATAACTTTCAATGAAAAAGTATAGACACTATGCACAATTTCGTTTTGCACATTCTGTAAACAAGATTCAGGGCAAGGGCGACTCCGGAGGGCTATGTCCATGTCCCCCCTCCCCTTCAAGATGAAATTTATTACGATTTATGGGCCTTTTATTAAAAAAAATATGCAAAAAAAGGAATGATTAAAGGTAATGCCCCCCCTCCCCCCCGAAAATTCGTCTTGAAGCCGCCCTTGATTCAGGTAGGGTTTAACAACATTTTGTGCAACAATTATTATAAAATAGTGCATCGAAAAAAGCTTACAACAGCCACAACACAAATAAAAAATAGAGCTGAACATGAACATCATCGCTGAACAAAGCCAAGCCTGGAATTTGTTTACAGTGCTTTAGGGGCCTAAGTTTTTTTAATTTTTTTATTTGATTTAAGTTTTATTATGCTATACATGTAGGTACCTACTGTACGATTTTTTTGTCGAAATACCATTTTTCTACTCTGATTGTACGATCTTTAAAAAAATATTTGGCAACACTGGTCTGTCTCCAAATGACGTATATCTTTAGTTAACATCTGAGAGGCCTTCACCATGTATTAATTTGTTTAATCTTTTGCAGGCTGTTCAGGAAGACAAAATAATGGAAATTATACAAGGTAGCCAGGAACAAGAAGAATGCGGTGATGAAATAGTAGAGTTAGATCCACCTTTCGAAAATGAAGTGAATTCGTCTAAAGAAGATCTTTGCGAAAAATAAACAAAAAATAATTCTCATATACCTCTACTCTATTCTGTATAAGCCTCTGAATATAGTATATACTTAATACTAGATAGGTATTTTGTGTAAAACAAATGCTACAGTCGTATTAAATAGGACATTGTGAGCATTAACTTACAAGAATTATAGAATAAGAAATTTATTGTCATCAAAAAGTTTTAATTAATAACCTCAAAACTGACCATATAAACATTTCCTAAGTATAATTTCAAGGTAGTAGCACTAGTCATGAAAAGTAACTGAAAGTATGATGGTTTAAATTATCAGGCATAATTTTATTTTTTCCATGCTACTAGACTACATTCTTAATAAAAGGCTGTAAATATTATGTAACCCTATAGAAAAATTAATTAGTATTCAAAATTCAAGACTATGAAGTTAAAAATTAGTATACTTTTTAGTCATCTAATATCCAAAGTCGCGTTGACGCCTATTATACTACTACGCCATGTTTAAATTGTAATTATCTATATAAGCATGGTCGGCCATTATGCCATTGCAATTTGGGATGTAAACAAACATAAAAAAGGATTATAAAGCCTCATATTAATTTTCTAGAAACAATTCATATATAACTCGTTTAATTCGCGTTTGAATCATCAACTTTTTAGTTTATCTAAATCTAAATTAATTTTTTTTATTTTTGTTTGATTTTGAGTTTTGGCATAAAGCAATAGTACATTTGACAGTAAAATAAAATGCATTGCTAATTTCTGTTATTGAAATGGTTATTTTGCGGCAATATAAATAGGGTGTCTTGAGCATAAAAATACAACATTCTGATATGAAATGCGGTAGTAGTTTTCAGAAAGTTTTCTATAAGTGTCTATTTTGGCCATAAGTAATTAATTGGTTAAAATATTTACTATTTTCTAAACACCTAAAATATCTACGCTGCGCGAAAGGGCGTAGCTGTGTTAAGGAAACGACCAACTGCTACCTATAGTTAGAACTGCAACGTTTAAAAAACCCAAAAATGATTAACCAAATTGATGCAAAACAGGGTTGTGACAACGGTGTATTGATGTCAGCCACGCAATTTATGTTTGGTTGCGCAACTTTTTTAATCACGTCGCCGTATCGTTAATGACCTGCGGAAACCTTGGATGTACAGAAATTAAGTCGGCGAAATAAGCCTACGATATTTGCTGGACTTGCTTCGCTTACGCAACTTCAGAACTTACAAAACGGTATTCGTTACAAAGTTGGAAATTCAATTATTATTGCGGCTTTAGGAAGTTCTTCGAAGCCAGTTTGCTGAAATGGAAAAGATACACATCCTAACGAATAGAATTCAACCTTATAAAGGCCAAATTTTTCCTCGGAATGTCCCAAATTATTTATTATTTTGTTGTGACTTCGAGGATAACGAATTAAATCTTACTGATAATGAAAGGATTCTACCTTATATTCTCCAAAATTCGGACGACCGGTGCAAAAAATAATACAATCAAGCCGCCACTGGCTCAAGTACTATGATTATGACCGGTTCACTTCAGACGGATATCTTAATTTTTATATTCGAAATATTCCGTATTTTTTCACTTCCCTACCTGTTTTGGCATAGTTATGTGAAAACACAATTATTAACTTAATACAATTTTTGTTAAAATATGCTTATAACTTTCATGTTAAAAGATTTAATTCTCAAAAGTATCTGTAAAACCATTAAATTTTTTCTAATTTAAATAATTATATTTAATCTTCGAGCCTATATATTTCATAGAGTCCGCATTCAACAGCGTTTGTTTAGGTTAAGAGGGGAAATGTGTAGACACTATTACCAGTGTCGCATAATTTTTACGGGGTTTGCAATTAATAAAAATAAATTTGATACATACCTTCAAAATTCTTTAAATTATGCACATATTTTATAAACTTGCATTATTTAAGTACGTATCTAGTCAAGGGCATCCCCCCCTCCCGAGATGAAAATTGTTCCGATTTATGGGCTATTTATTCAAAAAAAAATATGCTAAAAAGGGAATGGCTAAAGCCAATGCACCAACTCTCAGCATTGTTAAAATTTGTATCACTAAAGTAATAAAATACAAAAAAATCACTTATAAACTACAAAAATAAGTTAGAAATTAATGAAAATCAAATGACAGTTCGAATGACTTGACATGTCAAGCAAAACGAAACAGACCAATGAGAATGCTAGACACTATTTTTTCCCCTGTACCAAAACAGTCCATTTGGACGATGGCTCTAGTTATATACTCGAAGTATTTAATTAACAAGTAATAGTAAACACAAATTGTTATGAGTTATCCTTATACATATCACTGATCAAACAGTCATTTAAAAAAAAGAAGAGTTTTACGATACGGTGATTTTTAAAAGGACTACTTTAGAAACTTTTGTGAATCACAACAAAATTAGACTACTTTATGTAGAAAATGTATTAAACATTCCTAAAAATGTATCGATATTATAAAAATACTTATTTGAAATAAAACGTCATAATTAAAAGTAGTATTTTTATTTCTAAAATAAATTAAATATTAAACTTAAAAACAAGATAAAAAGTAAGGAAAGTAAAGGGAATAAAACATATTTCCTTTCATCAGGAACCTTCTAACAATGACAGCATTATTATTCAGAGTCTCAGTTAGTCGGAATTTTAATTTTTAAGCTAATATTGGATACGTGACAGTCGAAAGTGCGAAACGAAAATCCATATTTATTTGTAAACCGTTCGAATTTGTTCCATACTTTAGACTATCACTATTCGTCACCTCATAAGTGCTTTTTAATAAATATATCAATCACAATGTATTAAGAATACGTTTATAAATATTTAATAAATCAATCGTATTAAATTCAGCCAGAAAGGTTCAAAAATTCTACATTTGAAGAGCGGAAAACACTCGAAAGGTCAGTAGGTAGTTTTTTGTTATACACTGATCCGTCACAAAAAGTGGGACTCTGTAGTATTTCTGCGATTTCCATAATTTTTGTACTATCTGTACGAAATGTTTTCTTTGTTTTCTTCCAATCTTGTTCCTCATAACCACCTAAATTCTTAACGAACTTACGATATACTACAGATGCCATTCTTGAACAAAATATGCTTTTTCATTAAGTTATTTATGAGTAAATATAGTTCCCTTGGTCATTCAGAATGTGGAAGGAAAATTCATCATCATCCTCCTCACAGAATCTGCACCCATCATCTTCTGCTACTCAGTTTACTAAAATGACCTTTACAGTCGGCAATGTGATTTTCACCCGGAGTGTCCGGATTTGTATTGTATCATTTCCAGGGCTCCGGGTTTAGATTAAAATTATCCGGGAGGGCGCCACGAAATGAAATAAAAGCAGCTGAGGGCGAAATTAGGATTAGCAGGTGGATGATGATTTGAAAATAAATATGAATAGCCAAACAAACTGGTCTATTGTATATCCTCAACAAAATTGTTTTTTCTGTTGGCAACCCCAGGTAGACAATAAGGCATACCTTAAAATATGTACTATCTAAAAGAGTATCTCATTTGTAGCAGACAAAAAAGTATTTGAAACAATAAATATACAGACAACGCAAATGTCAGGTAGAACATCATTATGATGTGGACATTTTAAAAACACGTTTTACTCCTAGAGGCGTCTTAACAACTTGGAAAAGGACCGTAGAAAAACTAAAAGAAGGGCACTGGGAAAATTACTGTGGACAAACAGAAGACCTTTTTTTGGAAGATAAAAAAAAAGAATAAAGACGACATTGAATCGATAATAATCACTTTAAAACCTAACGATATATCAGAAGAAGTAGGAGTCATAGAGAAGGAGGATGAAGATATTTCGGACTTGGAATTCAAATTTACTTTATTCGTAGCGAAATTTTAACTTTTTTAATAAAATAAAAATTTTACGATCTAGAGTCATAATTATTATTCACATTTAGTGTATTCAATAAAATATTGACCAAATGTTTTTTAGATTTCATATTTTCAATGTTCATTTTGTACTGGTGAGAAATAAATTTTAATTTACCAGCGCCAACAGAATTCCTGCCGATGATACTTGATAATAAAGTTTTAATTCACTTGATAAACAGGGTACAGTCCGTAGATAAGATGGCGTAAGAGTCATTAGAATGTGCTTTCTGTTTAAATAAGTCCAATCTGTCCGAAGTTAAACACTAAAGCCGAATCGGAATTTGGCAAAATTTTCTCAGAAAATTTACGCCAAATATCTAGCCAATCTCGTTTAAACAAACCCAAGCGAAGTTATTGGCGTCATAGCTTCATAAAAGAAATTATAAATTCAATATCTTCTTTTTTCGCAAGCACTTGCATCTCACATCACATCGAGCACCACATTACACATTTTCGTAACAAATAGAACCCGTTATTAACCTTTCGTTTTTTTCACACAATATGTATTGTATTAGAATGAATTTTCTCAGATAAAAGTAACTAAAAAATTATATACATGGTACTCAGTCTGCAGTCCTATTACATATACATAAAGTAGCGCAAAAATAATTGGAAGATGCTCTATGTTTAAATACATCCTAGTTGTCCGCATTTAAACACTAGTTGAAGCGCGCAAATTCTTTCAGAACGTTCCCGCTAAATATATAGTCAATGACGTTCAAACAAACCCAAGCGAAGTTATTGACGTCATAGTTTCATAAAATAAATTATAAATCACATATGTTCGTAACAAATAGAAGCCGTTATTAGGCTTTAGTCTTTTCCACATATTAAGTATTGTATTAGAACCAATCTGCTCAGATTAAAATAAATTTTGAGTTCTATACCTCCATCTTATATATTAACTGAATAAAAGTTGTTAAATTTTGTGGTTAATTAACATCGTTTCACTTTACACTAATCGTCCATGAAGAAAAGTAATATTTATAATTGAATCATTATTTATGCAAATTCCATCTTATATCATGATTACTTTGACATTTGTGAAGTAAAGAGAAGCTGAATACACGTAGACAAAAAAGCGACATTCTGAGGCAAGCAATTTTTGGCTAATCTTTCGTTTTAGTAATTTGCACTGGCCCGCAAGATCGCCCGGTATGTGGTTTGCAGTTTTTTAAAGACACTGGTATTCCTGAACAAGCCACGGATCTTGCTGTCCCTAAAAGAAAACATCTGACAAGAAATGGCGAATTTATCAGCAGAAGTGCCAAGAGAAGCCATGGAAAATGCTGTGAAAAGAGCTCGAATGTGCAGCAACTCTGGCGGCGATTTGACCAATACTATTTTCACTACCGTACGTAAAAAATGTAAACGTCTAAATAAACACTATCAATAAACAATCAATTATTTTTATTTACAACCGAAGTTAATACCTTATGAAATTGAGTCGTCCCACTTTTCATGTCGATCAGTGTATTATCAGTGGAAATACTTATCGATTAAAAACCATAATCGAAAAAAAATCCCGGAACAGGAGAAAAGTTTGTGCATTCCTAACTGGCTGCGAAGCATCCATTAAAACTTTATATGTAAGTCGGCGAGCCAGCCAAGTCAGTTCCGCAAGCCTCGCAAGTTTGGTTGTTCTTCGAATTGACTAAAGTACATTTGCTGCATTCGGCACCGCCTACTTCGATAGGCGCTTCGTCTTTGACGATTTTACTCTTCCCGCAAATTTCGCAAATATCCTTAACCCCGTCGTTTAGGTACGTGCAATGTTTGCACTGCCATTTATTGGATGGGTCCAACGACTCTATCGGTTGCTTGTTCACGATTTTTTTCTTAATCGGTTTTTCATCTTTAATTTTCTTCTCTACCGTTTTAGCTTGCACGCATTTTTCGATCGTCAATGGTTTTTCTTTAGGTTGAACTTTAATGACATCGATCGAAAGTCTTTGAGCTTTTTTGGGGGCGTCGCTGACTTTCAAAGGTCTATCGTATACGTTTAAGTGGTTGAAAGCTTCGTCTAAGTTCGTTTGCTTCATTTTTTTAACATCTTTGAGCTGCTTGGCCGAGTTCGGACTCAAAATATCGCCGCGTTCACCCAAATCTTTGTTGTAACCCTGGTTTTCGAGATTCCTGTATACATAATCCCAATCTTCGAGCCGCGAATCTTTTGGGTCAACTCCGTTTTTCATAGTATTATTATATTCGCTTTCTACAGGTTTCTTTAATGGTCGAGTCCTAATGGGATTATCAACCACGTCAAAAGAATGACTAGGTTCAACTTCTATCAATTTTGCTGTAGGAACCGGATAAATATTATTAGCAGTCACGGGAATATTATAAATTAAATCTTGCGGCCTCATAACCGCTTGAGTGTACGGTATCGTATAACCAGAATAGTTCCCGGGACAACAACCGTTCATATATTCCGGCTGCATAGGCAACCCGACATGGTGATGATGGGAACTCGAAGGGGGGAACGAGTGGTTCATAGGAACCAAAGGTGAAACAACAGGAACTGAAATTGTTTGACAATGGACAGGCTGAAAAGGATTAGATCCTTGAGATAAGCTCCTAGAGTGCTCCTGGTATTGACGATGGTGATGCCTGCTTTTCAACGCTATCATGCATTCTTCTGGGGTGCAAATGTGGTTTTTTCGAAAGTCCAGAACTTCCAACCAGGATATTTTGAACGAAGTGCAAACTTCTTCCCAAATGGCTTTTAAAATCTGTCAAAAAAAATCGTTATTCAAGATATAATTAAATAAGAGCTGCAAAATTGTACCTGGCATTCTACGAAAGCAATTAAACAATCTCTAGAAACGGCTGTAACTCTATCCGGGCATATGGGGTCCTCCAGGACTAGTAGTCCTTCTCCGTAATACCTGTAACCCATGGCTTCAAACAATTTTTCAGCTCCGATTAAATTTGCTTCTACTTGGTGCTTATAGAAACCAGAATAAGTCTGCAAAAAGCACACAATAAAGTAATTATAAATGTTTACACTTTAAGTTATTTGCTATTACAAATGTACAAAAATATAAATAAGAGTATGTAAGTTGTAGAAGACTTCAAGCAGATCAAAATATTCAGACTATCGACCTCTAGGTTTGCTAGCGTATTTGTGGCAAAAATGTGTTTACCTGTTAGAAGCAATGAAATGAACTGGGGCAGAATGCGAATTGTGTATATTATGTAAATAGGTAGTGTGAGACTATAAATGTAGCCATTTCATTGTTTATCTTATATACTTGGGAGTAATTATGATAACCATTTTCTCTTTTACACTAAACAATCCTAAACCACAAGTTGATGAATCTGCTTCCTGGCAATAGAGGTTGTCAAAGTGAGTTTAATATTTTGTCCTTTATTAGGACTATGAAGACTAGAGAGAAGGAAACGAATTGGCAATGATCAAATTTCAAATTTTCGTCCTTCTTTTTATAAAGTTCGCGAAATTGACTGTAGTTGGCACGTCGAATAGCAGCGGTATCAATTTTCTATGTAAGTAAATGTAAAATGAAGTGATTTTTTAAAAAATTGGTGAAAAGAATCAAAATAATGTGAAGAAAAGTACCCGAGTACAAGTAACCTGAGTGACTAAAAACATTTAAGCAAGATTTACGTCGTTCCAGATTGATAATTATACATTAAATTTAACTTACTAGAAAAGAAAATTTGTATTTTATAGAATTTTTATGTTAGATAAAAAGTTGCTACTGTTATTTTTTGTTGAACCCCAATTTTGTCATTGTAAATGTTTTTTATACTATACTAAACGCATAGAACAGTGGCAGCATATATATCGTTCCTAGTGCCGATAAAGCACTTTCTAGAGATGATGCTTTTCTATACCTTTTAGAAGATATTTTCAAGAATTATGAGACTATTTTTACGGATGGTACTGTTAGCAAAATAAAAAGGGGGAAGCTGAAATTAAAGGATGAGGTAATACCATGTACATTCCCAAATCTCCCTTTATGCTTATATTAAAACAATAAAAAAATCTGTTAACTGTGTTTTATTTTGCTCTTAAAACTATATAAAGGTTCAATTCAAAAAATTTTTGCTACAAAATTGTACTTTCTGCATTTAATAAACCTTTTCGAATTTGGTCAAACCTATCTAATTTGTATTTTATATAGATAAAATTAAATAATTTATCAATTAAAATATGCAAGACTTATTTAGAAATAAATACTACAGTATGTTCTGTGCTTTACTTAGCTATAAACAAGTTTATTTTTATCATTTTGACAAAATTATGTACAATTCCCATAAGAAGCCATGTACTTTTAACACCATAAGCAATACCAGCGCCCATGCGGTTAATTATAAAAGCTCAAATAGCGTGCGTTTTTTGGGACCGTATTTTGAGTATGCAGATTCGCCTCCTTATCTCTAGTCTTCATAATTAGGACTGCCACGTAATGCACGATTATCTAAAAGGTGACAGATATTTGATGCATGATAAGGTAAGAAGAAAGGTGTGTAATTTACCTACAAGTCACTATAATAGGTACGCCGTGGTAGATTGGTTGTAAGAGAGAGATAGAAATATCTGTTATTAGTTGCAAGACAGAAAGGCGATCTAGTTGAAGTTGTGAAACTGAGAATTATATCTTTTTAAATCTACTTTACATCTTATAAACCTTAAAACTGACACTTGGGGCGGTGGATCTTTACTCATGCATCATCAATGCAAGATATTATGAAAGACATTAGTCATTTTTTATGTAGCATCATTTTTTACTATAATTGAATCCAGTAATAATAGAATATAAGGAATTCTTGAATAATACTGCTAGTGTTGTCATATGCAATATATAGAAACCACTTAAAAAAATCTTCCTGTCCTACAACCTCTGAAAGCTCAATTGAACTTTGGCACAATGACATGTGACAGCGATCTTGACACATTAGATTACTGCCTTTTCTTTCCAGATTCAACTATATCAATAAAATACTTGTCAGTTATGTTCACTGTCTGCCTTTTAATCAATTATAGTACATTGTAGATATATATGAAGAAAAGACACTCTTTCTGCATTTCTCCATTTTAAGATTTTCATTTGATTAGTGCACTATTATCGTTACTATGATTATTCATATTCATAGGTTGGTTTCTTTTTTTAAGTTTATTATATTTAAGTATACATAAAAACAAATTTTTAAAGCAATAAAACAGCTTTTTAACCTCATAATCTGACATTTAAATTATCCAGCCTGAGGACTTTTATGATAGTGGGAAGCGATATACTTTTTTAATTGGTTTGGGTTACAAATAAAACATAATAAGCACATCAAAACAAATTTATTTTTATCAAAAGTTTTCTTATTTTCTTATAGATCAAGACTACAGTATCTATTTTTCTCTTATTTTTTCATCTATCATTTATATGATTTAAAAACTTACAATGACTAGATCTCATAAACTAGAGATGATATCAGAATATACTTAAAACCATTTCAAGGTTATGAAGGGAGAACTTAAATGAAAAATACAGGACTAACCCCCATCAAGCCCATATGCCCCAGCTAAAAAATAGTAACCCATTTCTACTAAAAAATGCTATTCAACAATATTATAAGTTATACCCTATACAGGGTGGTTCAATTATACATAATAATTATAAGCCTATTTAAAAAGAAGATGGAATGTTTATATGAATTAACTATTTCTAGCCCAGCAGAACAATATAAATTGTTATTATTATGTTTTACTTTTCAAATATCAACTTTGGTTCATGAGATATAACTATTGTAAGTATTTAAATTGTCACACCATAATATATTGTATATTTAAATATATTTATCTGTGAATGTGCAACAAAACAACAATAAAATGTATCTTAATAAAAGCAAAGACACCTTTTATAATAGGTAAAACTTTCTCATAACTATAGCACTAGAAAAAAATCACCTGAATTATCCATATCATAAAGTAAAAATTACTGAAAAATATCTATAATACATAACAATATAATTTTACAACAAATTTAAAAAGAAATTAAAAAATGAATTATGTAATTAGAAATTTAGATGCTCATTTAAATAATTTGTTTTGTTTTTCGAAGCCATTTTATTATGTGTTGTTAATAAATATTTTTTATCTGTCAAATTCTTTTTTTAAATAAGGAGTATTACCATTATTAAACCCAATTCCAGTAGACAGTAGTCCAAGATTTTAGTTTGGTTAATGTGGAGAAGCTCCTTTCTGCTTCTCTTCTTTATAACATTTATTTTAATTTAATCAACTTATGGAAATCATTTTAATTTTTAATGTAACACCAGTGACAATTTTTAATTTCAGTAAGAACTCTTCTTTATGTGTCCCTACTAGTTTTATTAAACCAAATTGTATTTGGATTCCACACATTGTGAAACAGAAATATGTGGTTTCGAATGTTATTTGCCCCTCAATGTTTTTTAAAAATTATAAATAATGACTGCATCAGATGATGGAAAAAATGCAAAACATGTAATGCTCTTTAGCTAAAAAATTGTAGCATCTGATATTACCAAGGAACTTATATTTATTTGTATTAGATGAAAAGTAAGAACAGATAATGTCTTAAATAAATAATGATGCTAGTGCAGACAGTTGTCAAAACAAATACAGAGCATTTAATTGTTTTATATCAAAATTGCCTCACAAAATTGATCACCTGAGTTTCAAAATTGCCTGAGCAATGCTCAGAGAGGTTTCCACCCCCTTTACCCACCTGGATCCACACCTGCAGGTCAAATGTTATTTATAAGTAATTAAAATTGGAATATTTTATTATGGGAAAGGAGCATTTTCTTAAATTTAAAGAAATAAAATGGTACAAAGCAGAAAAAGTGTTTGTAAACGTTTCTCTTCTTCCTCATAATATAATAATTTTACCCTACATAATATTAACTGTTAAGATTTTGTTTTTTCTTTCAATTGGATACAAACCTTTAAAGTTTTATATTCTTTTCTCCAGGGTTGTGCTAACAAATTCCCAGCATACATTTGGATAGCATTAAATCCCATTATTGCCTTATAAGCACTAAAATCTTTTTTGTAAGTTGCAGACAACTGTAGAACTTCTTGTGTCTCGTGGAAGGTGAATTTATGATAATGTCCTGATACACACAGGAAATCGTGGATGTATTCTTAAAATGTTTAGTTCATTGATACATTTATACTAATTTTTAGAATTTTAGCTTACCTTCTAGTCTATTCCTTTGATCAATTTTTTCTGGACTCTCTTCTAACACCAAGTAGCTTAAATGACAACGATCTATTTCTTGCCATAATTCGTTATAACTATTTTCTGGCAAACAACAACTCTCCATTATTACCATATTACTAAGACAAATAAACAGTACTTTGGGAGTACTCTACTGTAAAATAACAATCCCACTATAGTTTACCAATAAATAAATAGATTTTAAAAAAGTTCGTCGCACTGCGGAATTGGATTATCTTTTTAGTTTCGCCTGGATCCTCAAAATAGAAATTTTTTCTACATTTTACTTCCTGACAGGCATGACAGATAACCTATTTATCAAAACAGACAACTGTCACAACATTTTTATGCCTCTATTGATTTACCGTATACAATTTCGTGGCGTCTTCCACTGGTATGTTCAGTTTGTTTTGAGTATATTCTCACTTTCTTCTTTTCCATATCGATAAACAAGCACAGGGGTAGTATTCTCGAGTCACGAATATAGATTCGCATGCGAGATTTATGATTTGTCTCACTTGGTTTTCGTTCAACAAAGTGAGACACATTGTAAAACACGTATGCGAATGTCGGTATTCGTGATTCGAGAATACTACCCCTCACAGCAAAATGTGCGAATTATAAGTTAAAAAAAATTGTGCTACATTGGGGTCTATTCTGTAACAATTCCTTTATATTTTAACGGCCGTTAAAATATTTGCTGCGTTTGAGAATCCACATCGGATGCATCTGAGATGTAAAAAATCTTTGATCACGTGATTCAGTATACGTAAATGTAATGGGACAGATGTGTCCGATGTGGATAAAAAAACGCTCGAGATGTAAAAAATGCATCCGATGTGGATTCTCAAACGCAGCAATTGGCGGCCTTTAAAAATATTTTCTTGTTCGCTAATTTAAAAATTATTATTTATTAAGGGCCGATTCCACCGTTGTGTTAAATGGAGATTAAAATGACATTAGGTCTGTTCTGGTTTTGAGAAATAACGATCCACAACTGTCGGGCTCATGCGCAGTAGATAAAAAGTGTTCTGGTTTTTCTGGGACTACTTCGGATCTCTCAGTCCAGTGTTCTGGTTTCGTATCCGAAATAATCCGTGATTGTTGTAAACAGTCAAAAAGTGTTCATGCTTGGGAGTGTGGATCGACTCGGACTGTTTTGACCGCGCATGCGTTTTTGAAGTGTTATGAATATTGTATTGGCTTTTTAGACCATACGAAACGTATACAATCCCAAATTGTTTATTTATATGTGGACGAATGTCTCTTGTTCTTGTTTTATTTGTAAATTAAAGCAATTTTAGAATTATTAATTTTTAAATATTCTGTTTTTATTTATTCCATTGAAATGTGATGATAATGATAAACATATACATGCAAATGTTATTTGAAGCTGAGCTTTCAAAAGGAACTTCATTATTATAATAAACAATAAACAAAACACCTTCATGACGTGTTCTGGTTTTCCAAGAATTTCAAACAGTCGGGGATTTTTTGCCTTTACGCATACGGTCCGGCGCAGTTTCAAAACAGTTTTCATTTTGAGAACCAGAACAAACCTATTGCTAATGTAAAAATGTCAATTTAAACTTCGTTTAACACAACGGTGGAATCGGTCCTAATACAATTATTGGAAACATGTGACTAGAGAATTCCATAGTTTTGTCTAGGTGCTCAACAGTAAAGTTCATTGGAATTAAATTTGGAACGTACTTAATCTTGTCTGTTGGTTACCCTGAATCAGCAATGTCAATGTCATTGCTGACGTCACAAATAAGGCTTCCAGAAAAAATGGCAGACATTTGCAATGGAGAAAGTTGTTTGTAAATTAAAACTGGATGTGAAAAGTTGTAAATGCAATACAGACGTATTGTTTTTACTCAATCATCAATCACATTACATATTTAGTTTAGTGTACAAAAATATTTAAGGCAGGTTAAACAATACTTTTACAAAAATGACGGGTAAGTTGACGTATATACAATATTGATTCCATCTTGAATTTTTGACATCCTTTTTATTGGTAGATTTGTTCACCAAGGTCAATTGTACCTACTGTCAAGAAGAAGTAAACACAGTTCGAGTGAAGTGTTGTGTTTGTCAGGATTTTGATCTGTGTCTTCAGGTAAAAACATAATTAAACATAAAATATGAATGAAAAATTAATAAAAAATATTTACAGTGCTTTTCGGTCGGCGCTGAAATAGGACCTCATCGTAATGACCATTCTTACAAATTCGTGGACCATTGTGCAGCCACTATTTTCGGTGGCAGAGGTGCTTGGACAGGAAAAGAACATTTACAGTTATTAGATGCTGTGGAATTATATGGCTTTGGTAACTGGGAATTAATAAGTGAACATGTAGAAACTCGGACAGCAGAAGGTATGAATTAGCAAAAAAAAATAATTAGAGAAAGAGCACTTTAAAATTTACCATCTGAGCTAGTGTTGTTAATTTACTTATATAAATAAATCCGGCCTTTATTCTGGTAAATTCAAATTAAATACTTATATATCATGTAGAACTGTCAGTCATGAAATTCATGACTATCTATGATGCGGGCGTGGTATTCACAGCCATTGGCCAGTAACTATTACATAATGAATATTCTGTTGCAATGAAATGCATATAAAATACATAAGAGGCAATTATTTCAGAATTTTCTTTCAATCTCAAGAGGGAGAATTTTTTCTTTATGTTATTATAAGTGGTTTCGGAAGAACTACATTCAGTAGTGGCCATGTAGAAAAATATGTTACACATTATATATAGTTATGCATAATTAAAATTTGTACTTTTCAGAAGTTAAAGAGGAATATATAGCACGCTACCTCGATGGGAACATTGGAAAAGCCACTTTGGCCAGTGTTACTGCAAACCAACTAACTTTAACTGACCATGTCTCAGAAGATGATGGTCCTTTATCACCTTCTGTCACCTCCAGGTTACCACCATTGGATGTGACACTCGAGGAAGCTAGACTTTTAGGCTATAAACCTCATAGGGATGACTATGAAAGGGTATGACATTTTTTAAATTTCATTTTAGTTACTGTCATATATTCAATATCTTTATAGTAGCTAGGTATCAAAAAGTTGAGGTTCAGATAGGATGTTTTTGAAATACATATTAAAATTGGTTGATAGTTGGACTTTCCTCGAATGTATAAGTTTTAGAAATCAAAAATTGATGTTATTGGGTAAATTTCTATTCAGTTTTTTTTATTTTCAGGAAAAAGTGAAACATATATTAGAACAAATTATATTTAAATTTGAGAATTTTAAGGTTAAATTCTTTCATTTTTACCCATTTTAATGTTCTTTTTTTTAAACCCTTTGTCCTTATAAAAATTCTTTTATATTTTCTAAACTCTTTTGTCTAATCAGAAAAAATAAACAAAACCATCTTGCAATATTTGTCTTGTTTAACATGGGTTTTAAAATAGGAATATAACATGGAAGCAGAGCAGTTGGTGTCGAAACTAGTCTTGGATCCAGAAGAGGATACAGAGATGGAAATAGTATTAAAGTTGGCTATAGTGGATATGTATGCCAGAAGATTGAGGGAGAGGGCGCGTAGGAAACGAATCGTCCGAGATTACCAACTGGTGGCCAAATATTTCGCCAACATGAGGAAGGATCCTACCAAAATGCCGCAATTAACAAAAGATCAACGGTAAGGGTATTAGTTTTAATGAGTCTTGGCATACCAGTATTTTTAATAGCATTTATCAGCTGTTCCTGGCCTCTATAAAGTCTTGGAAAGTCAATTCGCTTTCTTTATTGTTTAAATGTAAAATGGATGAAACAGAAAGTTATTAGATTTTGGCATGTCATAGAATAATTACATCATGTTATTATGTCAGGTAGCAGTTATCAAAATAATTTCAAATTTGCCAATTAGTTAAAAATTTGAATATTTTGATATTTCAAAAGTTTTTATAAGTATTCAACAAATTGGTGAAACAATTTAGTGACCAATCAAAAACTTTAATCCTAAAGGTAGTTTCCTATTTAAAGAAACACACATTTATTTGTGAGGCTCTTGGATACAACAAATTCTGATTCAGAGTATGTAAAAATAATGCCTAAAAAAGGAAGCCAAATTAAAACAAAAGTCAATTCTTTAATATTAAGTAAGTTGAGGCAAGTTATATATAAGATGTAAAGGTGTGCAACATGTAACAATGAAATCGTTACATAAATGATTTTTTAAAGAAATGCTTGATGAGAAATGTTTTGCATGGTCAGTTAATGCATTGATTCGAAAAATTGGCTTTCACTTCAAAAGAAGTAACAACACAGGGTTTATAAAAAATGCAGACCTCATATTTAAAAGTCAAACAAAAAGCGGGGATTACCATATTAGCATGAACAGAAGAATTTGAAAAATGGTTTAAGACAAAATTTATGCCTAGTCTGGAACATCCTTCTTTGATTATAATCGATAATGGCAGTATGTTGAACCAATTCTATGTTATAGTTGATACAAAAGATAAAATGGTTGCAGAAAAAGAACGTTAATTATCCAATCAATTGTATGAAATATTAGATTTGGGAAGTTGTACGTCAAAATTTACAAAAAAAAAAGAATTCCACCTAGATAGATATGGTGAGGAATATGGGCATAAAATATTAAAATCTCCTCTATTTTTCTCTCAAAATTATAAGCAAAAGCGCCATTTTGCTGTAAATTAACTAGTTCCTGAACTTGGAAATAGTGGCAAATTTAAATTTAATGTTATTTGATCTAGACGATTATTTTTTCAATTTCGTAATTAATGTGAAATTTTCAAAATAGAGTTTTTTTCTTTCTTCAAACTCTGATTTATATATTTTACATTTCCCAGAGAGATGCGGGATAAGATGCGCGTTTTTTCGCAATTCCTTTCGTCTGGAGAGCACGATCGTTTGATCGCCAGCCTAGAGAGAGAGAAAGAACTGAGACTTAGATTGTCGGAATTGATGAAATATAGAAGTTTAGGACTTACGACCCAAGAAGAAATCATCCACTATGAGCAGCACGTTGCCCACGAACGGCAAACGCAGCTAAGGCAGAACAAATCTGTAAGTTTTTGTACATCTCATAAAAAAAAAATTGAAAATTGTATATTCTTTTCGTGTATTGTTTGGTATTTGGAACAAAAAATTATTAAAAATATTAATAGTAATAATTGTAGTCAATTTTTTTTTTAAAATATGTCAATTTATATGTATAAATGGTATAAACTTTAAGAAATACTTTTATAGTCATTTTTTGTTATAAATACTGTATTCCAACCAATTTTTGACAATATCACTTAAAATAATATAATCATCATTTAAAAAAATAACTTTTTTGCACTACTAACCGAATTTAACACAATCCAAATTGTAAAAAACATCACTTCACCTCTCCTTTACACATCCTTCACTACTATTAACTTCACTGACCGCTTATTTTGGTTTTATTTATTTAATCTATAGACTAAACGTTCTAATGTCATGCATATTTTTTTTTGTCTCATTTATTTCATGTCATCTCATGGTTTGGTGTATCATGTGCAGGCTAAACTTAGCGGCAAAACTTCATATGTTAACAGAAACAGATTGTATCAGTTTGCATTTCACTTAGGGCAGCAGTGGCTATGTACCCCGGGAGTTCCACCCCCAAAACGGGTAAGTAAGAGTACCTATATATATTTTTATTATAGATTTTATTGAGATCGCCCAGGAAGATTTGAAAAGTGTTTTAAAATCTTGGTGTTAGGATTTCCAAATGACGTGAGCTTTTGACAATTAAAATGGTGGTCAGAAGTAACAAAATACTTTATGAGCCTTTGATTTTGTTTTCATGAAATACAGCTTAATTTGGTGTTATATATTATATTCTATTTTCTAATATTCCTTGCTATGAATTATTAATTTTATTTTAATATTATTAATCTTTAGACCTGTGGAATTAACTCATTTAGTGAGGGGACAAATGGTTAACGATTTTCTCACCTTTATTAATATTAATCCCTGATAACTGATGGTATTTATATGGTTTGGAATTTTAAAATTTTCTCCATCAGCACTATAGTGTTCACAACTTTGAATTTTACCTGATATAGGAAAAACAAAAGCACTGTCTTTATTATCCAAAAGTCTTTATTATTTTTTACTCGTTTTATACCTTTCAACCTTACAAAACATTTACTATGAAATGAAATTGCTTTACAAATATTAAATAGCGAAGATTTAATGATTTGATTACTCAGAAAATGACCTGTTGATTAGCATTGTTATACTAATAAAAATTTACCAGAGTTTACATTATTATGCCCCCCTCATTCAATTCTTCAATGATTGATCATTCTTGCGAAATTTTGTTAAAGTTCAAACAGTTGTCTGAGCCATAACCCTTTTTACATAACTCAGTATATTGCAGGCTTCTGTATGGGTGTTTTTGAATTATTTGCAATAACTACTTTCCAGTTATTATGTTTCCAAGCCACGTTTTAAGCTGTTCATTTTCTGTTTCTTGCTCTTAACTACTTAGTTTGTTATAATTTTATATGACGCAGCATAATCAAACCGGTTAATTTTTTTTAAATAGAAAAAGCATCGAGGCAGACACCGATTCCACCGAAAGAAAACCCACGTGGGGACAAAGCGACGAATGCGACACCAACAACTTCTCCTCCAACAACAACTCGAACTTGGATAATTCTCCCGCCGATCCCTCGTCCTTGCGTTACTGTCCCATGGGCAATTTGTTGTCTGAAAATGAAATACACGTAAGCCCATTTTTGACGTTATTCATTTTGTTACCGTTGATTTTTATTGCCGGTTTTAATATATTTATCCTTAAATATTTGTTTCAGCTTTGTGCAAGTTTAAAAATTCTTCCCGTCCATTATTCGACGTTGAAATCTTTGATAATACAGGTAAATGAGATTTTTAATTTATTGTAATTGAAATTGCTTAAAATTTAAATTAGTTTACACGTTTAATCTCCTGAGTTTTAATAATTAAAACACAATTTATGATTAAATATTAATTTTTCATTCATATAGGATTAAAAAAAATGTATACTACATTTTTAATCTAAGAGAAGTTATTTGAATTTTTGTGCCCAAAATGTTGAGCTGTTTATTGGTTATTTGACAGTCGGGACCATGTAGACTAAAATGTCTAATAATAACATTTATTTATCTATTATTTGACACATAATGGTTGATAACTTAAAAAATATGAAATATCAGTGTGCTTATTTCGTGTTTTATTCTTTCTAATTGTCTATTAATTCAAAATCAAATATATTAGTTCTTATGAGGATTAACTATAGACAATTGTGTTGATTTTCGTTTTTTTTTTTTTTTTTTTTTTTTTTCTTAAAATGTATTGCTATACCAGATGTTCAAATATTTCACATCCAAAAAGACGTGCAGAAAACAAACTACAACTAATTGGTACAAACAAATCTTGAAAGATAAACCAACTATGAAAATTGTTAATGTTATATCTAAAATTGCTATTTCTGTTGGTAATTGTTGGTAATATGTTCTTTAAACAACAATAATAATAATAAATCTTCTTTGTTTAACAAATTTGGTTTAAAACTATTTTATCTCGGTTTACAAAATAAATTTTCAAGCAGATTAAGCGTTAACATACATATTATTAATCTAAGTAAACAATTCGTGCATTTTCTTATTCATAAATTAAAAATAAACTAAAGGAAAGGCATGAATTGTTTGGCATATGTTAATGCCTTTATATGATTGAAAATTTGACAGCAGTTGTACGAATGAACCTATAAAAAATTTTTAAAAAATCTTAATTTTTTTTTTAAATCTATGTATTTTTATTTATGCTTAAGAAAATGCACGAATTTTTTGGTGTATGTTAACGCCTAATCTGTTTAAAAATCTGACAGCTGTTGTACGGACAATGGCGCCTATAATAATTTTTTTGATGTTTTTTTTTTTTAGTTTTATTTTTTTTAATATGTGAATTAAACAAATTTGACAGCAGTTGTACTAACAATAGCGCCTATTTGCTATGTGTTAACGCCTTATCTGAATGAAAATTTGACAGAAGTTGTACGAACCTATAATAACAACCTATATATGGTTTTTACAAAATAAAACAGTTAACAGATTTTTTATTGTTGTAATACAAGTATAAAGGGAGATTTGGGAATGTACACGGTGTTACCTCATCCTTTAATTTCAGCTTTCCCCTTTTTATTTTGTCAACAGTACCATCAGTAAAAATAGTCTCATAATATTTAATATCTTCTAAAAAGTATAGAACACATCATCTCTAGAAAGTGCTTTATCGGCACTAAGAACGATATATATGCAGCCACAGTTACAAGCGTTTAGTATCCTTTAAAAAACATTTAAAATGACACAATTGAGGTTCAAAAAAAAACAGCAACTCTTTATCCAACATTAAAACTCTATAAAAATAAATTTTCTTTTCTAGTAACTTAAATTTAATGTATAATTATTGTTGTTTGTAAAATTTTATATTATAGAAACTTGTAATAAAATAAACTACACTTTGTAAGATACATATTTTGACTAGTTTACAATAAATATTATATTTAGACATAAATACATTATTTTACTTACATTAGAAGCTTTAAAAAGACATTGATTTTTATCCTGTTTTACAATCTGGAAAGACGTAAATCTTGCTTTGATGTTTTTTGTCACTCATGTTACTTGTACTCAGGTACTTTTTTTTACAATATTTTGATTCTTTTCACCAATTTTTTTAAAAAATCACTTCATTTTACATTGACTTACATAGAAAATTGACACCGCTGTTATTCGACATGCCAACTACAGTCAATTTCGCGAACTTTATAAAAAGAAGGATGGAATTTTGAAATTTGACCATTGCCAATTCGCCTCATTCTCTCTAGCCTTCATAGTTAACGCCTAGTATGTTTGAAAATCTAACAGCAGTTGTACGAAGAATGGCGCCTAAAAAAAAAATTAAAATCTTTTTAATAATTTTTTTTTATTTATGAATTAAAAAATGTACGAATTATTTACACTTCGATAATAACTGCATGTTCAGATTTCAACATTTTTCTTATACATAATTCTGTATACGAAATTAATTATTTATTGAATTAAAATGTTTATTTCATATGCAGTTAATATAATCTTGTTCCAATTTCACTTCGAGTTCAATGGGTAAATTGTAATTAATAAAATTTTAAAATGTTTTGCTTCATATGATACAAAACGTCGTTGATACTTCAATTAGTCGTATATCAAAAATGCACATTTAAATTAATGCAAATTCATAATTCAAATTGACCTGCCCTTAATACTGCAAAATCTCGTATGTCGCGAACCAATAGCAATCATTCAACGTGATTTTTTTAAGAGGTCGTATGTAAAAAAAATATATTGATTTTTTGCTCTCTGGAAAAGTAGCTATTTTGACATACGACATTTTGCCATACGACATTTTGCAGTATTAATGACGAAAAGTCATGTTCAAATTTACCTCTAGAATATATCTAGTAACTTTTTATAACTTTTCCTAGGCTTCAGTTCGCCCTCCTAGATTAAAAATGAAGTACAGCATGTTATCATTTTCGCATAGTTATACAATATATGTAATGATTTTCAGGATAACCTAATGTCTCCCGAAAAATATCGAAATATCAGTACAGACGCCGACTCCCCTGATATTAGTACAAAAGAGGCTGTCACGAAGTACCTGAGCTACAGTGGGTGGCTACCGAACGCGTCTTTCTGACATTTCGACCATTTCAACAGCAATGAGGAAAACGAAGTGCTCGCTACTTAGCACTCTTAACGTGCATTCGTTTTTCTTTACAATCGGAAACTTTTTATTGATAGTAATGTTGAAGGAACATTTTTTTTATAGTTTCGACGAAATATGCTCGGGTTCGATGGGTTTTGAACTTTGGAATTGACACAATAGGGTTGTAATTTCTTTTAACGGTCGTTTTTTGCAACGTCTATAAAGTATAGTCATATTTAAGTTTATGATATTAAAATTTAGTTTACTAAAGGTTTAATAAAAGTTTGGTATATTAAAGAAGTTTAGTTTACTAAACGTTTAGTATATTAAAGTTTGGTGTATTATTTCAACGAGATTATTAAGTTACTTTTCCTAGAATTTAGACGTTTGCGAACCTCGACGTCAAAGAAAACATGCTGGCAGTAAACATGGGAATAATTGTAAATAAATAATATAAATTTTGGATTTAAACTCATTTAACCACACAAAAATTAAATTTATTGTCTTTTTCACCTTTGAAGTTCAGGGATGGTCTTAATAATTCGTAGGGGGATTTTTGAGATTTGTTTCCGAACTTTCAAAATATTCTATTAATTTATTTAAGAAAAAACCTATTGTGTCTTTTCTCAGTTTTGAAAATTATTTATAATTTTCCTTATTGGTTAATTTTCTAAGTTTTTTTTGAGGGTATTTTTTGTGTTGTACATTTATCGTTCTAAGTTCGCTCAGCATTTCGAAAATATGACTAATTAGTTTAAGCAGGACGTTTTGTACTGTCATCGTGATAAAATAACAGGGTGTACGCCTCAAAAATTTCAACCACCGTTGACCGTTTTTGAAAAATCGTTTTGAGAACATTGGTAAATGTGGGAACAATATACATGATCTTAATTACAATTTTTATTGACGTATTTGGACATTATGAAATAAAATTTATAATTTTGCACATTGTTGGCAAATTGTTCTGAATTGTTACGATAATTGCATGTGTATTTTTAGGAGTAAATGTTCTTCCTTAATTAACTGCCTTTTTTCGGATGTGTAATTAAGATCAAATTTCAAAAGCTCCTTTAGCTGTATCCTTGAATAGCTTCCTAGGCAGACAGAGTTTACATCACCTAATCTTAAGGTATTTGGTCTACCTTTTCCAAGGAAGTCTATGACTTTACGCCTCTTTGCTAGCTTTTAAACCTTTATTACAGAACGTCTGCAACTTTGCAAATCTGCAAATATGGCGGACTTACAAATGCAAGTATTCCAAAAAATATCTGCAAATTCGCAATATTTATTGTGGTTTATTACCCCCAACAACACTAAACCCAAATTTGGAATACAAAAACTTGATACTTGCATGTGTAAGTCAGTCATATTTGCAGATTTTAAAAGTTGCCGCCATACTTGCAGATCTGCAAAGTTGCAGACGTTCTGTAATCTCGCCCTTAGTCTTTTTCCCTTTCACGTTTGAGATTTAATTAATCTGTTAAAAGGCGTTTTAACAAAATAGTTTTTTGAATTTCGTAAAAGTTTAACCATTGACCTGTTCGATTCTGTTGATTATACTTTGTATTAAATAATACATTTTATTGAACTTTGTTATGTAAAAGGTTGTTAGTCATCCATCTTTATAAAAAATTACTTTATATTTCTTTAATACTTAGAATATTTTATTTAATTTTATAAAATTGTCCCACATTTATCACCTCATTGATATCAATACAGAATATTAAAAATAAAATTATGTTGTATATATATAATATATATTTTTTGGCGTATATCCTTGTAAACTAGACTGAACTTTCGTGGGACAGATATTTTTGTAAACTTGCAAAAATGTTTGTAATTTTGCACAAAGATGTTTTTCAAATGTTATTTGTTGTTTAAATAAATAAGATAAGTGAATTTGTTTGATTTTTTTAACCTTTTATATATTCAACACCAATAGAAATCCAGAGGTGTATTAACAATTATTGCGATCTTTAGTTCAAATGCGAATCTTATCTAAGCCTTTGAAGGAGTCGCCAATAAAAGTCCGTTCTTCTGCATACTGAAATCCGAGGTATTCTAAGAACTTCGTTCGTTCCACAAGGGTCTCGTCTTGGACCGTTTCTCTTCAACGTTTTTATATTATATTCTTCACAGCTGCAGTACTGAAAATTACTTAAGTTCAAAAAGTACTTAAGTACTGTATTTTAAATACCTGCAAAAATGCTTGTAAATTTGGAGTTAAGTACTTTTTTACTTAAAATAGCGAAGAAAGAAGGTAACTAAGTAGTGCTTATAACGTATGACAATGTACTTAAATACCCAGAATGTACTTCAGTACTTCGAAAATTTTAACGCTTTTTTTCTAGTTTCAAGGATTTTTCTTGTCTTATTGCCGATCGAACGCATACGGACGTCGGGACTCTGGGCGCATTTTGCATTTAGCAGCTGTGAAAGCTTGTGGGTTAGTATTTTGTGTGTAAAGAAACGTGTGCTTATTTTGCAGGTCGTGTTTATTTATGTGTATGTATTTGACTACTAGTATTTTTATTGTGTAGCATAAAAACTATTTAAACTAAAATGTAACTAACTATAAGTATTTTGAAAATACTCGAGAATAGTAATGAAATATTCTTTAAAAATAAGAGTGGAAAATTGTAATGTAAAATGCTCAGTGAACTGAATTTATCTCGATCATGGGAAACCGTTTGACATAAAAAGCTGAATTTCAGCATGCAGATTGATTGATAGGGTGTAGAGGTTTTAAAACTTGAATTTTAAGGGGAAAAACTACCCCTTAAATGATATATTTTTTGCTTAAAAATTGTTAATATAAGAAAAAAGTGGAAACACTTCCATGTATTTTTTTTGTTCTTAAAATATACCCCATGGGGGATTTTACACAGAGAAGATATTTGCCGCAACACATAAGATGTGCCTCACATACCATAAATCTCATTGCAACTATACCGATTACAAAACTTCGGTAAATAGTTTACTGCTTTTGCGACAAAAAAAAACGCAAATATTTTCCAAATGTTCGAAGTTTTGGAATAAATGCGAACGGCCGAAATCGGCTGAAATAATACAAGAACAACTTGGACATAAGTTAAAAGTTCCAGGCGTTATCAGATGGAACTCCACTTATGACTCTGTCGTCCAAATTGTTACTGTCAAAGATAAGTTAGGAGTTCTATGTGATAAAACTTATGATTCCGGTATTTAAGGAACATGAAATATCCTTTTTAGAGGAATATATCAAATTAATACAGCCTCTGGCTGAAACATTAGATTTTTTACAGGGAAAGCATAACACCTATTATGGGTATCTGCTTCCCAGCTTAGTTTCGATGAAAACTAAACCCCAGAAGCTGAAAATATCAGGCGATATAAAACAGCTAACAGTGCCTTTAGAGGCCATATAATTAAGTCTGTTGGGCAAAGATTTAAAGAATTTTTAATTTAAGTCCAGAATACAAAACTTAAATGTTACCACATAGGTATACAGAAATACAAAACTTGGTAGTCTTGGCTGTCGAATACTTTATCAGCCAGGAAAATAAAATAACTGATGAAAATATTCAGTCAGACGATCCTTTTTTTTGATTTTGAGGAAGAAGAACAAATACCAGCACAATGACTTCTAACTCCCTATCTGAATTAGAAGTACTAAAATACCTAAACGACAGTAGAACTAATTTAGACATGCTAAACGATTATAGATATATAAAGTTAGTTTTTATTAAATACAATCCTGCCACCTTCTGCACCAGTCGAAAGACTTTTTCTTCTGCTAGAATTGTTAATGCGCAACGTAGGCATGCTTTGAGCGACTATAATTTTAAAAAACTAGTCGTTCTTAAAGAAAATGACAATTATTTAGACTCAAGATCCAAATAGATTTGTTAATAGTAGTAGTATACTGATATATTTATAAGTTTTTGTGGTACTGTTAATTAAGGAATATTTATTTTACCTTGTACTATTTTATTTTTAAATTGTACGTAAAATATGAACTATTTATTAATAAATACTTTATTACTAATATCTAATATTACTAATCCCGGTTAGCACTGATATTTTAATTTAAATTGAGCTGACTTAGGCCTACCACCAACATAGATTCTCCATTATTTTTATATAATTAAGTAAACACAAATGTATTTAAGTGTTTTGTAAGTACTTATTTAAACCTAAATGTACTTAAGTACATCTGTATATGTACTTAAGTATACAATGTATTTAAGTATCCTACATCAAACTAATAATTTTATTGCAGATAAAACTTGTGATATTCCCGAGAGCATAAGAAATCCCAATAACATCAATACTTTCTTAATTAATTCTGTACCAAATATTAACTCTCCTCAACATTTGTTAAATTTTTATAACTCCAGTAGCATTGTCGATTCTACATTAAAGTTTAAAGAGGTTGATGACATGTTTGTTTTTAATAATATATGCAAAATAAAATCAAATGCAATGGGATGTGATGGATTGAATGCTAGGCTAATCAAGTTATGTTGTCCTATTATAGTACCATATATTACGCATATTATAAACTTTTGTTTAGTGAATAGCATTTTTCCTACTGTTTGGAAAAAAGCTATATTGAAAGTTTTGCCGAAAAAACAGAATCCTACTGAGTTTAAAGATCTGAGGGGTATAAGTATTTTACCGACGCTGTCTAAAGTTTTGGAAGGAGCTATTGAGGTACAAATCAGGCAACACTTGACAGATTTCTCTTTATTGCCATCAGTTCAATCTGGATTTCGTAAAGGATACAGTTGCACTACGGCATTACTCCATATTGTTGATGATATCAACTCAATAGACAAAGTTCTTAAGTATTACGTTTTTATGTACTTATGGCTAATGTACTTAATTTTTAGGATTTAATTACTAGGTACTTAAATACCAATTTTCACACTACTTGGGCACATTAAAATTATTTTAGGGTGTGGTCAAACGTCAAAATATAATTTTAAACCTTTATGAATATTTATTAT